TAACGGCACTTCCTCAGAGAAGTACCTCTGATCACAAAGAGAGTCAATCCGAGGATCAAAAAGGTCCTACACACTAAACTTCTTACGGATACATCCTATCTGTATTACGGACATTTTTGTGCAATTGCAATTACGGATAGATTTTGCTTGTAATACGGATGAAATCATCCGTATTACAAAGAGTTTTACGTCCGTACCATACGGATATTTTCGTCTGTATGTTACGGACGTAAAACTCTTTGAAATACGGATGATTTCATCCGTATTACAAGCAAAATCTATCCTTAATTGCAATTGCACAAAAATGTCCGTAATATAGATAGGATGTATCCGTAAGAAGTTAAGTGTGTAGGCTTTTCTGGAAACATAAGAGTGCACATGGTACGTAGCGAGATGCTACTCTTATTAGGAGTCAAACTGAATTTTAACGGTCTTAATCGTCTAAGATGCAGGCATACCGTTAAAAAAAAGGCGCAAGCAAACGATTACACTCTAATTTGCGGCCATCCTGCCTCGTTTAATAACACAGGCGCATTAGAATGTACCTTGCACCTACCATGGACACTCTGTTTGGTGCATGCCTGTGAAGGAGACGAAATTTTCCGTCAACCTCTGAAGAGTGAACCAAGTACACCGAGGAGGCAACCACCCGCGAAATTCTGTGTACACTTGAGTGGCTGAAATCTTGCGCGAAATCGGTAGAAATCTGGTGAAATTTCATCAGAATCTAGTGAAATCTCGCGAAGTCTGGTTTAGTTTCGACGCGAAATCCTGCGGAATCTCGACAAAACCAATACCTCTGAAGAATCCCGTGGAAGAAAAATTCAAATGGTTGCCCCCCTCGAGCCAACACTCTTCAGTTTGAAGAGTGCTACCTCGTGCGATCGCTCTACAAATCAAAGAGCGTAAATTGTATGCTCTACCTGGAGCATGCCTGCAGGCACGCTGTACCTAGCGCATGCCTGCAAGCACGCTGTACCTAGCGCATGCCTGCAAGCACGCTGTACCTAGCGCATGCCTGCCAAGCATGCCCTTTCTAGTGCATGAGGGATAGGGAGTTGCCTACATCAGGAAGCGTGTACCTGGCATGTATGCACTAGTAAGTGCGTGCTTGGCAGGCATGCGCTAGCTACAGCGTGCTTTCAGACATACTCCAGGTAGAGCATACAATGTACGCTCTTGGATTTGTAGAGCATAAATGTTTATTGCCGCCTTGCAGGAGATGGGTGTCGAGGTGGACGCCTTCCAGGCAGCCATCCTCATCGGCCTGGTGCGCTTCGTCATGGGCCTGGTGGCGGTTTGGCTGCTGGGTAACGTGAGCGTGCGCAAGCTCATGACCATCTCGTCCCTCGGCATGGGGGTCTGCATGGCGCTGTCGGGCTACTTCACGCTCCGCCCCGAACATGGTGAGTCTACACTGAGAAAAACTACGGTGAAGCCTTTCCATTTAAATTCCAGGACTTATTGTAGTTAGCGCACTGGTTTACCCAGGCATAAACACTACGCTCTGCAAGGCATAGAAAGTATTTCACTCCCTTCTAGGGCATAGTTCTTTTTACGCTGTCCATACCGAACCCAAAAAATCTAAAATTGTTGAAATAGAAACCCAATCACAAAACGGATTTGTCCTCAACGAGGCGATAAAAAATTGTAAATACATGTCTTGGTTTAGACTCGAAATGAAAAGGTTCTTGGCCGGTAAGTGTTCGAAACGTCTCCTTTTGGTATTTTAAACTGGACTTCGAAACACATTTAATGCAGTTTTAAATATTTAGGGACTCAATGCCTTTTTCCTGACAGTGTAATCACTGCTTTACTGCTTTCTTCTCTCCTAAAATCATTGCCGCCAAGAAGCATGCTGGTAACACTGAAGCATCGAACTACGCTTGAAGACTTAACACGTTCGCTGCGGAACGAGAACGGTGTTCTTGCCGCGATTTCCCATCCCTTTGAACGCCCTTCTTGAAGCGTGAGCTCCTGTACGTTTCAAGAAAGGCGAACAGACCGTATGCTTTACGATAGGCCTAATGCACTCGTGGAACTAAAGCGCAGTATAACCATCTGTTTTCAAGCGTAATCAGTTTACACTTGAAATCAAGCGTAGCAAGCTCATCTGACAAGATTCCTCCTACCTAAATGCTTGATGACATATCTAGTCTATGCTTCATTTCAAGCGTAACTCTATGCTTGACTCAAGCATAGAGTTACGCTTTAAATTACCAGTGCGCTGCGCCTTAGTTTTACCAGTGACTTGGAGTTTCGTGTCTCGTTTCTTCCCCGCTCCAACCTAGTCCTTCAACTACCTCTGTTCACTGTGACTGTCCTGTGGGTCGGCAGGCCTGCACGGCTGGGTGCCGGTGGGGTTGGTGCTGGTGTACGTGGCCATGTCGTGCTGCGGCCTCATGACGGTGCCCTGGACCATGCCGGCCGAGCTGTACCCCGACCACCTGCGCGACGCGGGCCAGTCCTTCACCGTCTTCACCGCCGACCTTCTCATGTTCACTGGACTGCAGCTCTACCCAACGCTCCTCAACGGCCTGCGTAATTTTTGGCCCGCCCTTCTATTCAAAAAATAGGGGGAGGGCCTATGCATTTGCCTTTGTGTCTGTGTGTTGTTGTTGTTGTTGGCGTCTGTGTACAAGGAAGGAGTTGAGCTAGAGTAACCAGATTTGGAGGGTACTTCAGGAGTACCGTCCAAACAAATAATCCGGTGGTGCAAATCCCGTCCGGGTCGCACAAGGGCTGCTGCAGGTGCATCATGGTTTACATGAGCGGGAGGGGGATTTCCGCCATTATTGGTGCTAGCAGGGCACATAGGGGTATTTTTGGAATCGGGGCGACGAGACAAGATGAATGGACCTGGTCCCGACCCCATCGGCCGCTTTTACAAGTTGGCCAGATCAGGATCTTCAAAAAAAGGGGTCGACCGACTAAAAAAATTTATTGCAGATTTCGATTGGTCTCAGCAAGACCTTTTCAACGAGGGGTCGGAAAGGGGGTCCACACACTAAATTCTTATGGACTTTATTATGCATAGTTATGCATGCACAGCTACGTCCATATGTTATGTATAAAATTATGCATCACTGTGTACATTTTATGCAGGAAGGTGCATAAAATGTACACAATGATGCATAATTTTATTCATATCTTATGGACGTTTCTGCGCATGCATAACTATGCATAAATTATGCGTCATTATGCATTTAAAAAGTCTATAAGAATTTAGTGTGCAGGAGCCCGACTTCGTCTGTTAGTCACATCAGGATCTTGAAAAAAGGGGGTCGACCGACTGAAAATTTTTACTTAAGTTTTCGATAGGTCTTGGCAAGACCTCTTTAACGAGGGGTCGGAAGGGGGGTCCAGGAGCCCACCTTCATGAGTTACGGGAAAAAGTGCGACGGACTCGTTTTGCGCTCCTGCTGTGCCTCTATTGCAAGGAGTTGCAGTAGCATGGCAAATAGGGGTATTTTCGGAATGAGGGCGAAGAGACAAATGAAACGGGCATATTCTAAGGACAGTTGGAGTAAAAAGTGTAAGGACTATTGCATATTGTGAATAGAAGGGCGGGCCTAAGTCACGATGGTACATCGATAACTTTGCTTTACCCGCTCACGGGGTGTGTGATGCGAGCGGGCCGAAGGCCCGGGCCTTCGACTGGCCAAGTTGGGTCTGATGCGAGGGCCGAAGGCACGAGGAAAGGCCGCCGGCAGGCCAAGCTGGGCCGGCCCCCTGTCGAACCGAGTTGCCGGCGCAGCGAAGCGGAGCTGGCTACTCGGTTTGACGGAAGGGCGGGCCCTAGCTTGTTTACGAGTGCAATGATCAATTCTGATGGATTACTCTACAGACTTAACGAGTGTGCATAGCATGCTTCAGGTATTGCACACTAAATTCTTCTTTTTAAATGCATAAGAACGCATGTTTTATGCATAGTTATGCATGCCCAGAAACGTCCATAAGGTATGTATAAAATTATGCATCACTGTGTACATTTTATGCATCTTCCTGCATAAAATGTACACATTGATGCATAATATTATACATAACGTATGGACGTATCTGTGCATGCATAACTATGCATAAAAAAGTCCATAAGAATTTAGTGTGCATGGAGCAGCGCCTGGCGTTATTTTCCTTTTCATTTTAGAGCCTGTCTGGCATGAATAGTGGAGGTGACGCGTACCTTCATGTACTTCACTGCTGCTGAAATTCCGTAACTCGGAGTGTAAAGCAGAACAGGGCACAAAGAAAGGTGTGCGTCGATTGCAGTGTACATGCCAGGCAGGCCTGAGAAGAAAAGAACTTGAATTTTGTTGTGGGTTTCCCTTGAAACAACGTTGAGATGCCCTTGAAATAAGGCTGAAATAGCGGGAATTTCAAATAACGGTGTAGAAAGTTTTTCGAAGTTGTTTGCCCCCGGGGCAGGCCTCAGATCGAAGCGTGCCAGGCATGCCTCCTAGAGGATCACCTGCAGTTGGAGTGTGCATGCAATGCAGGCAGGGGGGGGGAGTAACTCTTGCCAAATTTGCACACGAACAATTTAGAATTCACAAAAATTTATCGAATTCTTCAAAATCACTCAGAACTGTTTGACCTATTTTGAAGTTAGATTCATTTGATTTGTACCGAAATTCGCAGTCATTTCCCCTCACATGTCTCAACTACAAGCAAGCTACAAGCACATTCTTGAGTCTGTAGAGTAGCTCGCGACGATGGTTGAGAGTTTGACCCTTTTCCTTGCAGAGTTCGGTGAGGTAACCGGCACGGTGGGGATCCAGTGGTTCTTCGCGGCGGTCTCGCTGGCCAACGTGCTGTTCGTGGTCGTCTTCCTGCCGGAGACGCACGGCAGGTCCCTGCAGGAGCTGCAGGAGCACTACCAGCTCAACACCATGTGGCTGTGGCGCACCAAGACGAGGCCCGCCGACACCGAGTCCGGCAACAACGTCTCCACCACCAGCACGGTGACCGCCTGCGACTCGGACCTTACAAAGAAGTGAAAGCGACGGCGGAGGTCTCTCTACACACTCAGCCTTTTACTGACTGTTTCTCATTAGCAGACGCATTTCCGTAAGCAACCAAAATACTTAGTTTTTTAGCCAGTATTACCCAGCAATTGCTAATTACTGTACTGATATTACCGTTTTCTTTATAAATTACAAAGGAATTTTTAAGTATTTAAGAACTAAATACAAAGTATTATGGTTGCTCACAGAAATACGTCTGCTAATGAGAAATAGTCAGTAAACGGCTGAGTATAACAAACACTGAGAAAAGTAGCGATGAAAATTGGACAACCTTGGCTCGACCCATATTTACCAAGACATAGATATTTACCAATACATAGATGACTTGTGATCCACATTGTACCTTCACAGAGCAGTACAATCCCGAATGAACCAGACTGATTTGTTATCCCCCAGTGATTTGTTTTGTTGCCCTGTGCTCTTTAGAGCCCAAGAAGCATTTGCTTCATAACTACAAAGAATATGAAGGCACGGTAGAATTGCTTCGTGTTACGAAGGATTTTGCTTCATAATACGAAGCATTTCTTCGTAGATTTTACAATGCCTTCATTTTCGTCGTATTACGAAGCGATTCTTCGTAGAGTGTTTACTGAGTGATTAAAATATAAGCACTCACTCTTTAAAGCCTATGAAGCATTTGCCTCGTAGCCACGAAGAAAATGAAGGCATTTCTTCGTAGATTTTACAATGCCTTCTTCGTATTACAAAGGGATTCTTCGCAGAGTTTCCACTGTGCTCTGATACATTCGTCAGTTTCTGACACGGAAGGGAGGTTTCGGTGCAAAAGTAAACATAGAATCCTGACACAAGAAGAACACTTTAAGAGACTTTTATTGATAGTAATATTAAATCCAGCAAGTCGGAATAGCATATTAGTCAAGGAGTAAAGCAAGTGTAAACCAGTCGAATACTAATTAAACAATCTGGATTGTGATTCGATTCAACCCTGGCAGAAGCCTTGCTAAGTCCTTCATTCGTCACTATCATCACTGTCGTCATCACTATCATCATCGTCGTCGTCAGTATCATCGCTATCTTCACCACTGTCCTCATCATCGTCACCGTCATCGTCACTATCGTCGTCGGTCTCCGCATCACCGCCCTCTTGCCTTTCAAATTCATCGCAGTGACTGAAGACTTGGGAACAGATGCCGTCGAGCTTGCGGGCTGCGGTCCCAATGACTCCATCCAGAGCCTCGGTGCTGAAAGAGTCCAGGTAGTGGCCGATTTCCTTGAGCGCGGCCTTTGCCCTTCGCACCTGCCGATGGAATCAAACAAGTCGTTATTTTCACGCTCAACATCTTATGATCGTTTTTAAACGTACTATGAAGGTTTTTCATCGTAAGGTACGCATAAATTTACGCATACGTAATATGCTGAGTTTGAATCGTAAGGGATGCATGATTTTAATCGTATTACGCATGGTTTCTATATGAGGTACGCATGATTTCATCGTATTACCGTCAACGGGGGTAACTTGGGACACCGGGGGTAACTTGGGACAGTCTGCCCTGTACAGCTTGTTGGTGCTGCCATTCAGCGACGGTGGTTCCTAGCGTCAAACCCGCGGCAGGGTTTTGTTTCAGAGGCCTCAGGGCACGCGCCGAAAGGTAGAAAAGGTGCATAACAACACAATTAGTATTTGAGAAATGGGAAACTACATAATAGGGTTTTTGACAAAATATGTCGAACATTGACAAGTTGACCCTAGTGCAAGCAGTGAAATGCAGATTTGGCCGATTAGTCTCTCTGGGTTGTTAGAACATACACAGACAAAAACGTTTGCAAAAGGGCGTTGTTTATAGTTTTCTCATCTTCGGTCCAGACTTCAATTTATCAAAAAACGAAATGTTACGGGGTAACTTGGGACAGTCTTTTCCTCGTGTTTCCAGCAGTCCTAGCCTCCGAAGAGTTGACCGACCCGGTCCCTGACATAACTTAAACTTCGGATTTTACGCTGATGATGGAAAGAGATGCCTTGCTCTGCAGTTTTGTCTTCTGGTAATCCATATTTTGAAATCTTCAGAAAATGCCTGGAAAATACCAGTAGAAAAGAGAGTTCCACGTAGAGCCCTAGATATAGTCCAATATCGGTCCTACAAGAGTTCCTAGGCCTGAATTCTTGGTCTACATGTTGTGACTTAAATTTATTACGTCCATTAACATCAATAGATGCATGGGAACGTAGCTAATTACCTACTGTCCCAAGTTACCCCCGGTCATGGGGTAACTTGGGACACTCTTTCGAGACCGCTTGGAAACGATGTAATCGAGGCAAATGAACCAGACAAGCATGAAATCATGGGGAAAGGGTCAAACTTTAACATAGTTAGGATCCAATGGTCTGGGTTGAGAATCTTGCCTCTGGCGTTCAAAAAACGTGAAAAAGTGTCCCAAGTTACCCCCGTTCACACTAAATTCTTATGGACTTTTTTATGCATAGTTATGCATGCTTAGAAACGTCCATAAGGTATGTATAAAATTATGCATCACTGTGTACATTTTATGCATCTTCCTGCATAAAATGTACACAGTGATGCATAATTTTATACATACCTTATGGACGTTTCTAAGCATGCATAACTATGCATAAAAAATGCTTCATTATGCATTAAAAAAGTCCATAAGAATTTAGTGTGTTGACGGTACGCATGGTTCACTCTCTGACTCGTATTGACTTTCTCTCTTGTCTTAAAGGTTTTTGTGCAAACGTAATATATACTATTTTCTCTTTAGCTGTGCACTATTTTGTTCATTGTATGATGTATTTAGTCCATTAAACCGGACTTTTTGTCATTTGCAATGTACTTTCCAATTTCTACATGATCTATTGACAATTTTATCTTTATAGCGATCAAAATTGTGCATAGTTAAGGAGAAAATAGTACATTTTACGTTTGCTCAAAAACCGCTATAAGCAAGACAGAAAAAAGTCCATATAGGTCTGAGAGTGTTTCTACATAAGGTATGCATGATTTCGTCGTATTACGCATGAATTCTATTGTAGTACGTTTGTTCTCATTTCAACGTATGTTACGATGACCCTTCCATCATATGAATCTGAGGGAGTTGAGATCCGTCTACAGAAAATAGCACATATTGCTTGGTAGGTTGCTTCGTAAGCAGTAGCCAGTGACCACTAGCTCTGTTTGAGCTATAACATTTTATAACAACTCAGAATAGATAGGACGATTTGGACTATGTAGAACTTAGTCACCGCATAGGCCAGTGGTAAGTTTGCTTGCCACAAATTTAGCAGTTTTTGAATGCCAAAATTTGGCATGCCATTACCATAAACCGAATGAATCAAAATCTTTCGTTCTTTTGAGCACTGGGCATTGTAGAACTGCTTCGTATTACGAAGGATTTTGCTTCTTAATACGAAGCATTTCCTCCTAGATTTTAAAATGCCTTCGTTTTCTTTATATTACGAAGCGACTCTTCGTAGGTTTTTTTTAACTGTGAACGTACCTTGCGTTGCACCCTGGCTCTGCGACGCCAACGCCGGTCTTGCCTCGATGCGGATGCCCGTTGCGCGTCCGTCCGGTCGGAGCGGACGCTCAGCATCCTCACTTTGTGAATGTGCTTGCACAAAGTGTTGTCGTCGGGGCAGGTGCAGCGGTACATGTGCGCGCACAGACCCCCGCACCGCGCAGCGTGGCACCTAAGGGGTGGGTCTGGTGAGAAAGTTACTTGCTACTTTGGAGCTTTTTCGACTTCGACGCGCCCACGCACGAAATAAAACATGCGTTCAGTGCACACATTCATGCGCAACGAAACGCATGCTTGATTTCGTACGTATCGTTTAAAACCATACCAAGTAATTTGGTGTGGAAAATGGGTCATGCCCTTCAAGATAGTTTAGGTACACTCTCATTCCAGGAACATGACATCACGTTGAAACGAACGTGACAAAGTGTCACGTTCGTTTGAGCATTGTGTCGCATTCGTTTGAATGTGAACAAGCTGGTTTTTGGCCAATTCACACCCACAGGAATGTGACACAATGCTCAAACGAACGTGACATTTTTGTCACGTTGCGTTCCTTGAATGAGAGTGTAGGCTTCATACAGACAATACAGAAAACTTTGGACCTATTTCAACCATTTTCAAGGGTCGTTAAAATGTTTGGGTTTTAGAAGACTTTGATCGCATTTTGGCCAAAACCCGAGAGGGGGGAAATCGAAGAGACTCATCTCTAGTTGCTTCACAAATTTGACAAGCGAATGAAACATAAATCTTCAATTTCCAAGACAAAAATGAAACACGCTCAGACCTATATGGACTTTTTCCTCTCTTGCTTAAAGCGGTTTTTGAGCAAACGTAAAATGTACTATTTCCTTCTTAACTATGCACAATTTTGATCGTTTTAGGGATATAATTGTCAATAAAGCATATAGAAATTGAAAAGTACATTGCAAATGACATTAAGTTCGGTTTAATGGACTTTAAACATTATACAACGAACAAAATAGTGAATAGCTAAAGAGAAAATAGTACATATTACGTTTGCACAAAAACCTTTATGGCAATAGATAAAAAGTCAATGCGAGTCTGAGAGTGAAGAAAATCCTAAAATCGTTTAAATAAGACAAACTGCTATTTTAATCCGAGTTTTAATCTTTTTCTTGAAGACAATGGAAATTAAGACATATTCTGATCAAATCTATATGACGTTACTAGGCATGAGTCTCCCCGAATAATTTACCACAGATGTGAACAGGAATGCAAACAGAACCTTACGAGAACCAAAATTAACGTTCCTTTACAATAAACAAAACAGGTCCAAAGACACATTTCTTTTTGTCAAAATGAAGCTTACTCGAGTATCTCAAAGAGTTTTAAAGCAGAAATAATAATGTCTTGATCCTTCTACAGACAAAATAATATCAGAAAGTACTGATGAGGCTCTGTTTTATTTCAAACAAATTTTCACAATGAGACACGACAGAACTTACTTGTCCCACTCCCGGCACGATCTCTTGGGGCAGCTGTCGTTCTCCAGGTAGACCTTGTAGGAGCCCTGGCCCGCTTGGCTCTGGACGCGCCACTTGGTGTCGCTGAGCGCCTGCACGTCGCCGCTCGCGATGCCCCTGCCGCGGTGGTGGCGCACGTCCACCCTGTCGCGCTTCGTGAAGCGGCCGCCCCACATGGCTCTACGAACAAAGGGGCTACACTGTAAAACCAAACGTAGACAACTCCACATTTGAAATGCAGAGGTGTGGAATTTCCAGTCCCCACACTTGGAAGTGCAGAGTTTGCAGCCTCCACACCTCAAACGTGGAGTTGTCAACGTTTGCACCATGCTGAGAGATAGGGGCTTTGTGAGCTGCTCCACACTTGAAGTGTGGAGGCTGCGTACTCTGCATGTTCAAGTGTGGAGGCTTACTCCACACCAGGAAGTGTGGACTTGTCCACGTTTGGTTTCACAGTGTAGGGTCAGTTGGGGTGATTACGGGACATGGGGTTAAAATGGGACAGCTGATTCTCAGTCAAGAATCGAGACTTTAGAACTTGTGCCGTAGCAAATGTTATTTTCTCAATGAAAACATCACATTTGGTACGTCATGCGTTCAAAAATGTCAAACCTCGACTAAGAATCAGCTGTCCCATTTTTACCCTGTGTCCCATAATTACCCCAACTGACCCTACATCATCAGTCAAACAGGAAAGTCGCACGGACAAAACTCTGGAAATCGCTTGTCTTCACATTACGATACATGGGAAAACCAGGAATTGTTTTTTGCCGTAGACACAGAGCAGGACTTGAAACAGTGAAAAAATTACAGCCAGGAATAGGATACAGGAATAGGTGTAAACTTTAATTAACAAATTATAGTGACTTAAGAGATTCGGGACGAAAACAGAAAGTTACAAGTGACGTTGATGATTGTTTCGTCAGCCCCATTTAATTTCTGACATCACATTGAAAATACCTTCAGTACAAGTTCATAGTAAGTTGCTCCAAAAGGTTTTCATTCCCGAGCAATCAAGGCCAAAAGAACTCGTCGTACCTACGAAGGCACAATAAAATAACCAAGATCAATCGGATATCAATCTGTTTTCAAGGGTTCCACCCTCAATACCTCAACTTCTACAACACAGAACACATCAAAGAGCTCTAATATTTTAAGTGTGAACTTGGTACGAAACAGGAAAAAAGGGAGCATTAGATTTGAGACACGGAGGTTTTAGGGCTGGTATTTTTAGATGGGGTTCATCGTTCGAAGAACATTCATCAGATGAGAGTATTCCAGACTATGTCTTGGCGTATCTGATCCTTTTAATACACCTGTTTGCTCGTCGCCGAGTGAAGAACAAGTGGAAAAAGTACATCCTTGAGGCCGACACTCTGAACTGGTAAAAGCTGAACCGTGATTGGATAAAAGCGTCACGCTTAAAACCTTACTAAGTCCTTCGAGCAGACATAGTACTAACTAGTTCACTTTGATATACAAAGAAATAGTTTGTAAATTACCAAGTATTATCTTACGAAGCTTATGTACGCTCGAGATGAGTTGTAATAAGATGCTTCTTTTCCTTGGAAGGCCTCAAATAGGTTGGAAAGTTTTCTCAATGGTGGATCTCACCGAAGTTCATAGCAGCGGCCGTCAAGGTGACACTCTGATGCTTCCTAATTTTATTTTACTTGTATTGTGCTCGTTACGACGAGTGAAAGGATCCGTTGCGCTTACACTTAAAGCCTGCGTAACGTTACGCAAGCTCTACCCCCCGACCACGTGACACTTGTACACTTGTCCTTGTGCCAATGTCGTCTGCGTAATGTTGTTCTAAATAGTGAATCCTATCCTGAGTGGCAGTGAGAAGGCGGTAATTCCGAACTTCCAGATTGATGGATCCAGTCTCATTCGAGGAGGAACGTGACATGAGGTTGGAGAAACTTATGCCAAATTGTAACGATCATTTGAGTATTTTGACACATTTGTTTGGTTGCTAATCAGCATCAATTTATCTCGACTCAATGCTCAAAGGAATGCGGTGTCCACTCTAAATGTCTTACGAAGAAATTTCCCATATTACGAAGGAAATGGCGCAAGCATAATACGAAGGTGGTTTTTCTTCGTATTACGAAGGTCTTTCTTTGTATCTTACAATGAAAAAGCTAAAAAGATTCGTATTACGAAGGAATATTGCTTCGTATTATGCTTGCGCCGAATTCACTGTAACATACGAATAACATAGGTCAAATTTCATTGTAAGACATTTAGAGTGTCGCACGTTCCAGGAAGGGGAGGGTCAAACAGGCTGATTTGAAGAATCCCTAGAGCGGAAGTCCGAGAGCAGCATCAAATGTTAGTCCGCCGTGACGCATGCGCTGGCCCGTTAAGAGCTCAAAGTTAAAATGATAGGTTTGCGAGAGAGGTTTCAGGACTTAGTTCAGTTGTTTGGCTTCCCGACCAGGGGTTTGTCAATCTAACGCAGAAGATTGTTGAAATGTTCCCAGATACCCTGGGCGTTGGGCTCGAGAATGATCCAACCTTCCGTTCCCGAATTGCTCATTAAAAATATTAAACGCGTCAACAGTCAAAAAGCGAGCAGAGATATATGATAGTACATAATACATAATAGTTCGGACCATCCAATTAAGCGAACATACCTTGGCTCAAGATTCTCAATGTACAGCTGAAGTCAGTTCAACGTAGTCAACCGGTCTTATATGGTAACTCACCTTCGAAGCGGTAGATCTTGAGTTCTAGTTGGGGGAAGTGGAGAGACTCGCCCAGGGAGTACCGAAAGCGGCAGTTCAGTAGTCGTGGTATAACTGGAGGTTGCCGACAGCTATTCGATGCACACAGTTTGCCCGACGCGACGACGCTAGCACCGTTTGCTTCACCGAACGTCACAGTTGCTCCTGCCCAGCGCCGTCAACGAGAACTAACTCTGGGTAACCAGAATCAAACAAACATCGGTGCTTCTTGGAATCAGGACTCAATTAGGTAAACCCACGTTTGAGCCCTACTAGTAACTCGTGCAATGGCGCATTAACTTGCAGTTTGCCAAAGAAATCAGTACAATTATGTTTAGGACTGGAAGGTGCTGATTTATTTGAATACCGAACTCAAAGAGGACAGGTCATTGTAATGTACCCCTGGACCGGAAGTCACAGATCAAAAGAGCTTAAACCGCGTCAATGCATGCGCAGACGCTGCCTCAAAGTAGAGGGGGGATGTCTACGCATGAGAAGATGCGGATTTAGTTCTTTCTTTTGTTTGACTTTCTGTCGAGGGGTTCGTTGAAATACCCTAGTAAAGAATCAGGGGACCGTTTCAGAAGGCTCATTGGGTATTTACCTTCCTGGATGAACCCGACCTAGATCAGCCCACATACCGTATTTCACTTCCGGTCTAGCTTTTTCTCCGTTCGGGTACCGTCAGTTTTCAGCTGAAGAGTATACGTAAGTAAATCATAGCTCAACTCACTGATGACTTCTGCTCCGGTAAGAAATTGAGGTAGTCCAAGCCGCCTTTTAAGATTTGACGACGTTTGGTGAAGCCTACTCGTCCGCATTTGTGATCACTGCGGCGTTGAGTTGATTCTTGATTTTCAACTTTCGATCTTAGTATTTCCGGTCTGCCGATTCAGAGTATTAGTGTGCAAGTATTTCCGGTCTTGCCACTGTATCAAAAGGGCCTGCTGCGGATTCAGAGTATAATTGTACTAGCATTTCCGGTCTAGCCACTGGAGCTAGAGGGCTTGCTGCCGATTCAGAGTATTAATGTACTTGTATTTCCGGTCTAGCCACTTAACCATAAGGGCCTGCTGCACACTAAATTTTGCGCTCAAATTCGTGCGTTACGAAGTGCGTGTTTAATTTCTTGCTCTAGCGCTCAGAACAACCTACATAGTAATTTAGTGTGTGGCGATTCAGAGTATTAATGTACAAGTATTTCCGGTGTAGCCAACTTAACCTAAAGGGCCTGCTGCCGATTTAGAGTATTATTGTACAAGTATTTCCGGTCTAGCCACTTAGCTACAAAGGTCTGCTGCCGATTCAGAGTATCAATGTACTAATATATCCGGTGTAGCCACTTAATAATGGAGCCTGTTGCGGATTCAGAGTACTACTGTACTAGTTATGTGGTGGAATGCCGCACGGCTGATAATCGAACCTAGTACGAATAAGATGTTTAAAGGAGTCCCTCAACCAGCATTTAGTGATATGACATAGTGAGAACGTAAACTTCTACTGCACAGGCGTCCTCACTCCAATCAGAGCTAGCGTCAGAGCATGCGCAGACGCGATTGAATTTCTTACGTTCGTTGTCTGACTCCTGTTTAGGGATTCTTCATAATACCCTAATCGTAAGCTACACCTGGAGTTCTTGTACTTACAGTCGATAAACGACACCCCGACAGCCAGATAATTCGACTTGGTTCTAACTTTCCTAGAATGTCCACAGCTGAGTCAGGGTATCTTGATAGCTGACTTCAAGCGCTATCACTTACCTACGATTTCTGCAATCAGCTTAACAGGGTCTTTTTTCCTTTTTTTCAGACAGTAGCTCCGAGCAGCAAGTGCGCGGTAGAGTCTCCAGCCATTCATCCCAGAACATCAAGGTTAGTGGAAGTAGTGGGACTCGACCTCTTGGGTTGTTTCGGACCTCTTCTCTGAGCACCCAAGCTGTGGCCCTGTAATGTCTAGGCGGTCGGAACACCGGGGTCAGTCGTATTCGGGTTCTAACCGAGGAGTCGACAACTCATATATTACTTAGTAGGCGGTGGCTACATTACTTTGTATATTTCCACAATTTTGCCTCTGTAACAAGAACCTATAAAGCCCCAATCCGACTGACTCACTCACTCACTCATAGAAATGTTTGGGGTGAAGGAGTGGTCGTAGAGACTTGCGGTTTTTTCCATTCAATTCCAAATTTTATGGGAAAATTGGGAAAAATCCCAAAAGTTGAAAATTCCTCACCGTTTCCGAGAAAACCTACTTTATCTACAAAAAAGGGGAACAAATTTCTCACCGTTTCCGAGCAAACCTACTCAATCTTCAAAAAAGGGGACCGACCGACTAAAAATTTTTATTCGCCCCATCGGTAGGTCTGGTCGAGACATTTCCGAATCTGTGCCGCAATCCGGTCTCCGTCACTGGCAACATCCTCAAAAAACGATTAAATAGGCCTAAATTCAACAAAATCCACTCAATCTTCAAAAAAGGGGACCGACCGACTGAAAATTTTTATTCGCCCTATCGGTAGGTCTGGTCGAGACATTTCCGAAACTGTGCCGCAATCGGGTCCCCGTCACCAGCAACATCCTCAAAACGGTAAAATAGGCCTAAATTACACAAAATGCACTCAATCTTCAAAAAAGGGGACCGACCGACTGAAAATTTTTATTCGCCCTATCGGTAGGTCTGGTCGAGACATTTCCGAAACTGTGCCGCAATCGGGTCCCCGTCACCGGCAACATCTTCAAAAACGATTAAATAGGCCTAAATTCAACAAAATCCACTCAATCTTCAAAAAAGGGGACCGACCGACTAAAAATTTTTATGCGCCCCATCGGTAGGTCTGGTCGAGACATTTCCGAAACTGTGCCGCAATCGGGTCCCCGTCACCAGCAACATCCTCAAAACGGTAAAATAGGCCTAAATTACACAAAATGCACTCAATCTTCAAAAAAGGGGACCGACCGACTGAAAATTTTTATTCGCCCTATCGGTAGGTCTGGTCGAGACATTTCCGAAACTGTGCCGCAATCGGGTCCCCGTCACCGGCAACATCTTCAAAAACGATTAAATAGGCCTAAATTCAACAAAATCCACTCAATCTTCAAAAAAGGGGACCGACCGACTAAAAATTTTTATGCGCCCCATCGGTAGGTCTGGTCGAGACATTTCCGAAACTGTGCCGCTATCGGGTCCCCGTCACCGGCAACATCCTCAAAAACGATTAAATAGGCCTAAATTCAACAAAATCTACCCTATCTTCAAAAAAGGGGACCGACCGACTAAAAATTTTTATTCGCCCCATCGGTAGGTCTTGTCGAGACATTTCCGAAACTGTGCCACAATCGGGTCTCCGTCACCGGCACCATCCTCAAAACGATAAAATAGGCCTAAATTCAACAAAATCCACTTAATCTTCATAAAAGGGGACGGACCGACTAAAAATTTTTATTCGCCCCATCGGTAGGTCTGGTCGAGACATTTCCGAAACTATGCCACAAACGGGTCCCCGTCACCGGCAACATCCTCAAAACGATTAAAAAGGCCTTAATTTAACAAAATCCACTCAATCTTCAAAAAAGGGGACCGACCGACTGAAAATTTTTATTCGCCCTATCGGCAGGTCTGGTCGAGACATTTCCGAAACTGTGCCGCAATCGGGTCCCGTCACCGGCAATCCGACTGACACTGACTGACTCACTCACTCATAGAAATGTTTGGGGTCAAGGGGTGGTCGTAGAGACTTTCGGTTTTTTCCATTCACCTCTATCCTCGTCAAAGCAGTCTTCAATATTTTCCGGCCCTTGTGTGCACCCAATGACTGCCACAGTAGCCAATGCAATAAAAGCTATCTATTTGGGCAGTAAAAGTAGCTTAATTATATGGTCAAAAGTTGTTAAATAGACCTTTCAAAGAAGCAGTACATTTACTTCCTTGGAAAATTTGCCTTTGGTCACCTTGGACGTACTGAAAATACTTCGGCACGCGCCCCACACATGGGGGGTCTGGGGGCGGAGCCCCCAGCGAGCAGCGCGCACTGTTCGGGATTATTTTGTGAAATTACGATTAATTGTCTGTTAAATCTGTACCACGAACTGCTCGTAAATTTCAAAAACGATCTGATCATCCATCTTTTTTTCGTCAATTTACAAAAATATTCTTAAACTTACAAACTTAATCCTCAAATTTTGGTCGTTTCAGGCATTTTTTCTTCCTATATAGTAAGGAAACAACGGACGAAAACGCACTTTTTCAGACTTGCTTTTACAATCATACTTGTAAATTAACGATTTCACCTGTAAATTTAAGAGGCAGTTTGTAAAATGATGAACAGATTGTCAATTTACAATTTACTTTGTAAAAAAACAGTGCAGTTCGTGGTACAAATTTAACAGGCAACTATTCTTAAAAATAAAACTTCATTAGTAAGAAAACAAGTTTACGCGTTTTAAAACGAGAATAGTCGTAAGATAACGATTTTATCAGTAAAACTACGATCTTTCGTCAGTAACATTAAGATTTCATCGTAAAATTACGAATTTATTCCTAAATTTATGAGTAAAGTTTGTCGAAAATATGACAATTGTTCATGTCATGAATCTTGTAGTTATTTTACGAATTATTATTTGTAAAATTACAACACTAATAATTGTTGGGATTACTGTTGTAAAATAACGACTTCTCTTAACAGTGCGAGTTACCCCTATACTACTAAATATTACTGGAAATTACTTATGTTACTGGTTATATAGTACTTATTAAGGGGTATTGAAATGCACGTTTTTTTGAATTCCATACCGGCACACCCGGAAAAGGGTTCATTCTTACCTAAAACCACCGCAAACCAAATTTGAGACCGATCGAAAAATATTTAGGGGTCGCTACAATGGCTGAAAGTTGTAAATTTGACGTAATTTTTAAAAAAATACAACTTTCGAGTATTTAAAGCCCTGCGCATCCGGTGTTGGTCCTAGCTTGTTGCCCCAGGAGACTTTTTTTTTCCCGGGATCCAGGCCGACCAAAAGAACCCTACGGGATGCATTTTGAGCGAATGATAACGGAACTGGGTCCATTTTACGCTCAAAAAAGTGTATTTTTTCTCCGGTTTTAGGGTTTTAGAGGCCTACCAAACTTTTGCCTTGTTTGGGTTTGGATTTCTTGTGACGCAAGGCAAAAGTTTGGTAGGCCTCTAAAACTCTAAAACCGGAGAAAAATACACTTTTTTGAGCGTAAAATGGACCCAGTTCCGTTATCATTCGCTCAAAATGCATCCCGTAGGGTTCTTTTGGTCGGCCTGGATCCCGGGAAAAAAAAAGTCTCCTGGGGCAACAAGCTAGGACCAACACCGGATGCGCAGGGCTTTAAATACTCGAAAGTTGTATTGTTTTAAAAATTACGTCAAATTTACAACTTTCAGCCATTGTAGCGACCCCTAAATATTTTTCGATCGGTCTCAAATTTGGTTTGCGGTGGTTTTAGGTAAGAATGAACCCTTTTCCGGGTGTGCCGGTATGGAATTCAAAAAAGTTCCGCCAAGGCAAGCTTAGCAAAGCGGTCTTGCCGTGGACCGGCCGGGGAGGCCGGGCAGAGAGGGGGCAAGAAGGGTGGGGGTGGCTGTGAGGAGTGGGGACTGGCGCGGCGAGGCGGCGCAGGACGACGACAGACGACGACGACGACGACCAACACGACCATGCAGTCCCCTCCGAGCCCGAGCGCGCTGAATGGATGGATGGGTGGATGGGATGGGATGAGTGGGATCGGATGCAGAGCTAAAAGCGGTAGCAAGACCGCTTAAAAACGTGCATTTCAATACCCCTTAGTACTTATCCGCCCTCGTTCACGGCTAAGGGGAGTTGTCGACCTCTTGGTTCTAACGTTCAATTCGTCACGGCGGCTCTGGCGCTCGGTCACTGTCGTTTCTTTGCACAATAGAAATAGCTGAAGAGATTCTCAGTTAGTCGGTGCAAAGGGCGCGGAATAAGGTTATTGTGCTGAAGATCTAGAACGGCAGTGAAGTCACTAAGCAAAACTACGTTTGCGTCGCCGTCCTGCCGTTTGCTTCGAGCTGTGTCTCTGACGACTCATTGTCATTCTCAGTCCTTGCGGGAACTTCAACCCTTCTCAGTATGCTAACTTTTCTGATTGCTGTGGTAGACATTCACAACTGGGCCAAGGGGTGACTCACTGTAAAATTATGTGTTCAATGATGATTGTTGTAATGTGTTCGAATGTGCAAGATTTTTGGCGTATTTTCCACGCCACACGTGTTACCTTCTTTCAGGCCCCTATGTTGGCACCTTAATGTGAAATGTGTTCAAACACTGAAATTCGAAGGGTGAGGCATCTCACTAATTTTCTGCGATACAATAAGTTTCTCGATAAAAGGTCGTTCACGAATGTATCACCGAAAGAAAGGTCGTATATTAATGTATCACCAAAATTTCGGTGATACATTCGTGTACGAACTTTTTCTCGGTGATGCATTTTAGTACCGCCCTTTTCCTGTGAGACAGTTCTCTCACCCCGCAGAGAGTGTGGTGTACCACTTTGATTTTAACGTGTTTTTAACGTGTCAAGTTGCTAGCGCGTGGACTGGACTCGTTTCGGGCGAACTTCGGGTCATGACCGTAGTCCGTAGGCTGCTTCCCGGGTCGGAGCCAGAGTCATATTTTCGTCTTTACTTCGGCTTAATTTGGTTTCCGCATTGAGCCCGTTTGAAGCGCCAGCCGCCGCGGCAGCGTGAGTCAGGAGTCAAGCTGAGACACCCAGCCTCCAACAAGTCGCCCTGGCCCAGCGGCTTGCGGCACCGATTTCCGAGTCTCATGGTTCGTAGTTCGACGCTGCGTCGAAGCGCAGGCCGTGTTTACTTTTCGCCAGTGCGGTCGCTGGCCCCTCACCACCTCTTTTGCCGACCGGAGGCAGGCGGCGCTCAATCTCGTCTTTTTTTCGGCTCCTGCCGGGCTCGTACGAGTCTTCTTTTCGTCTTTTTTTCGCCTTCTTTTCGGCTTCCGCAAGCCTAAATCCAAACGCGATAGAGACAATTTCAAGACGAATAAGATAAGCTTGCGCAGCGTCTTTTTTTCGCCTGATCTCAACCTTTGTTTCGCCTCGTTTAGCCCTTGCGCGCGCCTTGAATGACCATTGCTCTCGCCTTCTACCGCGCTTTAAACGGGCTCAATGCGGAAACCAAATTAAGCCGAAGTAAAGACGAAAATATGACTCTGGCTCCGACCCGGGTTGCATTGACTTGTTCACGTTAGAAATCGAGTTGCGTCTTGGCGTCTTCTCCACGGACCTGCAGGGTGTATTATCTTGAAGTGGAGAACATTAAAGGTATGTTGGGACTGACGCTGATGGGTCTGTAACCTAGTGGGGCACTCTTTAGGAGTTTCAGCCCGGCAGGAGAGGCGAATCGAAAACTGATATCAGACGTAATTGGTTCGTCGGGAAATGTGCGCGGTAGGAACTGAACGTTCTGACTTCCGGTTTTCTTTTTCTTTCAACACACTAAATGTTTATGTACAAATTTGTACGTGGTGATGCATAATTTTAAACTTGTGTGCCGTCGTGCATAAAATTGTGCGTGAATTTGCATAAATTTATGCATTTTCACGCATAATATTACGCAAATTCCCCGCATGCACAAAATCGTGCAAGTGGCACGTACAAAATTCTACATAAACATTTAGTGTGAAAGCTAGAGCTTTCATAAAATTCCATGGTCGCAGAGTACGTTAAGGGGGCAGTAGCGTCATTTGCACGTATTTTGACGATTTTCGAACCTCCTGTTTAGACGTTAATATAAAGATAAGTATGAATGCCAGAGACAAACGGCAGGCGCCATTTTAAGGGGGGACCCTGGTGAAAAAATCGCCAAAATTCCAAAAAATGGTATTTTCAAAGTTCATAGATAAAAATATGTATAGAAGGTTTCAGATTCAACAGGTTGAACACCTTTAAGCTAAGTGGGTAGTTTCTTTATCATTTGGAAGGAAATAACATTGAGATCAGTTGTCGTTGGCTTCTACGCTCAACTTCACAGCTTTGCTCAGTCGACAAAAAATTTTGAAAGACTTCCTGCGTTCCTGGTTGACACCTACATGAGTCGTCTTGCATGGACTCTTTTCATTGATGACTTGTCTACAAATTTTAGTGACGGAATCTTGATATCAGCCCTACTTTTTTTTAATCACACCTAAAAGTTTGAAAAAAGGGAAAAAAACCACTTTTTTTTAATGTTAAAATTTGAAAACTCATATCTCAGGAAAGAAGTTGAATTTGAAAATTCCGTCACTAAAATCTCTTCTATACATCTTTAGGATAACCCAAAAAAATTTTCAAGACTCTCCGTCCCAATGAAAGGCGCAGGAAGATTGTTCCCCAACGCTCCAAAAAACACTAAAAAGCCACTTTTCTCAGAGACCGTTCAACATTTTGGATTGAATTTTGTTTTGGGAACTCACCATAATGAACCTAATAATTAAGCAAAGATTCAACTTGCTGGGATTATTTTGAAGCCTACTTGAAAGTTTCACCAGGGTCCCCCCTTAAAGAGGAAAGTTTTTACAACATTTTCAACATAAAATATTTTGTTTTACCATTGAATTAGGATGTTTTGTGTTCTATGCAAAAATGGTCTGCAAAATTACATGGTGTCACTGCGCGCACGATTGCAGCCAAAGTTTTTAACTTTTTACCAATCGGTAAAATGTATCTGAAAAAGCATGAAATTGCCCATAAAAAGACCCTTGGGTTTGGTCGATTGATGTGTTACATGCGAACAGGGTCAGGTTAATGTAGGTCCTTGCAAGGTACTTGAAAGAAGCTCTGCCTTGGGAGTTGAGGGTGAAGGATAGAGAAAATTTTGTATGACAGTTCCGTACGTTTCATAGAATCTCTCATTTCTGACTTTTCTGTTTGTTCTCCCGGGTCAGACACTGGTAGCAAAAAGTACGGAAGAAGTACAGAACGTGTCTGGTCAATTTTTTACCTGGACCGTCCGTACCTTGCTAACCACGGAAGTTCTGTACATGTTTTCCATACCAGTTGACATGAGATCCTTATGGAGACCACAGAGAACCAGTACGGAAGGTCCGTACCATTTCCGTACATTTTCCGTACCCAACCACCGCAAACCACGAATTTTTTTAAGCAGATGATTGTTAAATCAGTTAGCTTTGACTCTCGTCGCACAGAACCTTAAATAGTTCAATCAAAATTAACATTTTCGTCCAATAAACCATGCACGTGTTTGTCAAGAATTGCGATACACTAAAATTAACATTCTCGTCGACGGACCCCATGTTTGTACGACATTGGTGTTCATTCGGCCCTTTTCTCGGTTGCAGATTTCTTCATCGGACTCCTCGGTGACTTCATCCGCTTCATCACACTTTCAAAGACAATGGCTGGAAACACCTTTGATTGCGAAGTTTGCAGTAAAGTCTTTCAACACCAAAGCAGTCTCACAAGGCACATTCTAACCCATCGGGGAGTGAAGCTTTTCCATTGCTCATCCTGCACAAAGAAGTTCAGCGACAGTCAGAGTTTGGCCGCCCACCATCGAACGCACACTGGTGAAGAACCATTCAAGTGTGACAGTTGCAAGAAAACGTTCAGTGACTCCAGCAATCTTAGAAAGCATGTGAGGATTCATACGAAGGAAAAACCCTTTTCTTGCCAAACTTGCAAACGTAAGTTCAGCCAAGGAAGCAACCTGAAAAAACACGAGCGCACGCACACTGGGGAGAAGCCTTTTCAATGTTCAATTTGCAAGATGAAATTCAGCCAAAAAGGCAACATAAAGAAGCACCTTCGTACTCATTCACAGGAAGAGGTAGATAGTGAGGGTTATGATGACTAAGCTTCTTTACAATTAATTGTAAAATTAATGTAATTCATATTGTAAAGTTGTAAATTAAATAAGCTGAATAGTGTTCATACCCCCGTACCAGGGGTGGAAGTTGCTGTACATGTCTTACTTCTGTGTAAGATCGTGAAAATCGTAATTATTTTGTTAGAGATTTCTAGTTATGTGAATCCGCTCCTGTGTTTTAAGTGCGCTCAGGAAATTACCGCGGTGTTGAATAAGGTAGTCTTAAAAACCTGTAAGGTTAACACAAAACCTTTTCTGTTATTGTCTAGTGTAAATTGTTTTCATTTTGCAGTTTTTGTTCTTTTTGGCCGTACCTGTGTGAGCCCATTTGTGCGTCGTACCAAGTTTTATCTTAGTTCTTAAGTATTTATGTAATGTGAATTATATTGGTGAGAATTATCCCTGTAACGTGAGAGTTTCTTTCTTACCCTTTCGATGCCCGTTTACATTAAATTGGATCAAATAAGAAATGGGGAAACCATTCACATCAAAGGACTCGTCTCGACGAGACGAGCAAAATATTTCAATATACATGCATATGCTGACATGTGAGGGGTTAGGGAGCGCAATGAAGAAGAAACTGGCTGCCGAAAAATTCGAAAACATCAAAAGAAACGTGCCGTTTAGACACTTCTTGCTCCCGCCTCATACCGTCGGTGAAGCATTGTAATCGGGCTTCGATGTTTATGACAGGGTTGCCAAAAGTGTGGAACACACTTAGAATCCTTCAAAGAACTGCTTGTTGTAATACAAAGATTTTGTTTGCAATTTAACGGAAAAATCCTTTGTAGCCTACGAAGAACTTCTTCGCAGCATTACAAACAAAACTGTTCGTATTTCAAACGATTTCCTTCGTAGGCTGCGAAGCCTTCGTTTTCTTTGTATCACAACGAGCAGTTCTTTGTAGGAATTTATCTGTGAAAACCTTGAAACCCTAGAAAAGTCAGTTTTTTTCAAAACGGTCAGGGAAAACGAAAATTTCATATTTGTGGCAACCATGTATGATCAGTTAGGTGTTCTTTGTTGCAGTTCTACTGTCCCTGTTCGCTGCTACACCCATCAAACCTACCCGATCTGAGTTCTTCCGTCCGCAAGGAACTATTTTCCTAAGAGGATGAGTTTGGAGCCGCAGCGAAACTCTCTTCTCCCCGCGGCGGAAAAAGTGACGCAGTGGCTGTACCAAGGGACCACTCCACCGCCACGCCCGCGACAGTGTGCCAGGTTCGTTGGAACTTGAACGGGTTCACGAGACATTTGCAGTTTTTTTTTCAACCAACTTGACGGCATGTCAATATGGATAGTGCCACGTCGGTTCGAATACGATGTCAAACACGTGTGGACGTTGTTTCACGTTCCTACGAGTGTTTCATCAAATGTGAGAGGATTCAAACGAACGTGACCCAATTCACATGCAATTGTAAGTGACGTCACATTCGTTGACATCTTCTTTGTATCCACACTGAGAAAACCTCACAAACTGTTTTAGACCTTTCAAAGAAAAGCAACTTGTCATATCGAAGTACTTTGAGCATACATAAGCTCACAAAGAAAATAATTCGTAATTTACGAACTATTTCTTCGTATAACTAAGTAAATTTATTTGTACAATGTATGCTCAAAATACTTCGTAATGTATTAACCGTGCACAAAAAAAATAAAACCATGTGTGCGAAAGAAACTTCGCTCTCCGTAGAAGACTATGCTGTAACCCTGTGTTGCAGTCCTACTCGCGCTCCGTCGGGGTGGAGTCTGTCTCTGTCCGTGTCGCGAGCCAAGCGTGCCCTGGAGGAGGAGGGGCGGAGCCAAGCCGCCAAGGCCGCGAAGACCGATGCAGCGCAAGATCCGAAAGTGAAGGTATGTCAAAGCACCGTTAGAGCTGAAGCGAACTTCTACCAAGGACAAGGACGGATTCAGAAACGGGTTCAGTGAGGGGCGGCGCCCCATAGTGGGCCAAGACCGGTGGAGGCGGACAAAACTCCAGACGCGTTTTGAGCTCCAGAGTTGCTGAATGGGACTCGAACCGACCGTGTGACCCCACCAATGGATTGCTCTCCGAACGAGGAATCCATTGGTGGGTCCACACTTTCGGTTCTAGTCCTATTTGGCGCCCCCGTTCCCTCCCCCACTGGATCCGCCTCACAGTGGGCCAGAGACCAACTCTGGTGGCCTAAGCTCTAGACGCGCTTTGAGCTCCTAGTTTGAGGGAAGTAACTATGAATTTCGGCGTGATCAGTTTTTTTTTCATTCCAATTGAATTTTCTACAAATTTAAATGAATTCCAGTAAAATTTCCATGGAATTTCGGTATGAATTTAACTGCTGTGGGTAGTGAGGCATGCTCTTCAAGGGCGTCAACCACAATGTGCATGCAAGCACGCTCTGCAAGAGCATGCACTCTAAATGTCTTACGAAGAAATTTCCCATAATACGAAGGAAATGGCGCAAGCATAATGCGAAGGTGGTTTTTCTTCGTATTATGAAGGTTTTTCTTCGTATCTTACAATGAAAAAGCTAAAAAGATTCGTATTACGAAGGAATATTGCTTCGTATTATGCTTGCGCCGAATTCACTGTAACATACGAATAACATAGGTCAAATTTCATTGTAAGACATTTAGAGTGTGCTTGGAAAAGCCTCCTATCAACGAAGAGGCACGCTATTCATCCTGGTGCGCGCTTTGAAGCATGCTGCTCCACCGTGAGGCGTGCTTTGTGGTTGACACCCTGGGGGAGCATTAGGGTGGAGCGATGGGTCAAAAATCGACAATTCCTTCACAGAAATGGGACCTTGAGGATACTGTAAGACCAGTGCCAAAGCAGTTTTGGCCGGGGCCGCCCCCTTCTTGCCCATCAGAGGCCTCAAAAATGGGTCTGAACGTCTAAAATGACACTTTTACGACCATAACATTGGAACCAGGGACCAATTTGACATGCCCTATCTCGCTTTTGGTGCGGAATATACGTCAGAATGATGTGAATTTTTTGGAGAGCTGTCGGACAAGGTCCTTGGCCGGGGCAAAGGCCGTTTTTGTCAAAAAGCGGCGTGAACATCGTCGTTTTTCATGTTTTTCGAGATCTGTGCGGTGTGTTTTGCCGTTTAAGACGATCCATCGATCCATCTTTAAAGACCCATTCTGATTGCATCCAATTAACTCTGGAAGTAAACTGAGTGGAATCGGAAATGGCCCAGATCGCGCCGGAGGTGGACACGTTTCGGTCAAAATACGTAAGGGCCGTTTTCGACATTTCGTCTTCATGCACACTTCCGGCGCGATCATGGCCTGGACCTGTTCGATTGTTTCTAGGACCCGGCTCTTCCTAATTTCGAACCTAGCATTAAGGCCAGGGAAGGTGAAAGAGTAATCATCGGCTGGTCACAGGGATCGCTGACGAGAAAAACGGTCGAAACGTGGCCAAAAAAAGCGAAATTGGGCGATTTCTGCACGTTACAAGCAGAAACGGACCTTAAAACGCAGTCTGGCCAAAAAAAGATGGAAACTTTTTTGTTTGCCTTAAGAAACCGAACAAAATGACAGCTGGGGTTTGAAGATCAGAGGAAAATTGCGGGCTCACAGCTCGACAGGTTTTTCTTCATATTGAAAAACAAAGACATGCTTGCCCTTAGATGGTAGGCAAATTGATTTGCACAGCTCCATTTCACGTGATCGGGTTGTTTTGGGATAGGGTAAGATAAAAAAGTAGACAAGGACCGATCTCAGCCGTCCGAAAAAAAGTAATCTCAAAATAGTAACCGACATATGTTTTTTTGAGTGAAAATCGCTAGTAGAATACTGAAGACGAAGTCTGAAAAAAAATTGGTGGATATGTAATTTGTTTGCCGTCGAAAACAGAACATTTTGCCGTCTCGATCTTGAAACTCTAATGAAAATTGTAATTCTCATGACAAGTTTCGTGATTTAAATGGATAAAAAATATCTTTTTTGCATTTGAGCCGGTATTCAAAATCGTCTCAGGACAAAACGCCAAAAATAAGGGTAGTTATTTTTCGGTTCAGAATCGATTTCTGAGCGGATTTGGACAGTCGGAAAAACTTCGATTTCTTTGGGCCAGCCTACCGCGGGCCGCGCTGGACCAAATGGCCCGCCGGGCTCGAGTTGGAGACCCCTGTTGTAAAGTTTTCAGAGTGTGGTATTAAAAGAATCGGCAGACGAAGAATGCAGCAGTTTATTCGGCTCGAGTCTCCGCCAAACTTAATTTTTGGCTCGAGTGCTCCCACGGCCCACGTGGAGGTTGGGCTTGCCGCTTTACTTGCCGCCAGTCCTGGGCCGGCCGCCCTGTGTGCCCCGTCCGCTGCTCATGTGGTGCAGTGGGCTCTTGAAGCGCTGGTCGGGGGGCCATTGCAGACTCGGGAAAGCCGCCCTGCCCACGCTTGGGGGGCTTTCGGGCCGCTTGCCACAGGCGGGCTTAAGGCAGCCTCCCGGTGTCGGGCTTGGCGCGCAAAGGCACACCTGTGTCAGATTATGATCAACAAATCAGCGGCGCGCTTTGCAAAACCGAGGTTCTCAGGAAAGAGCAGAGTGTGCACTCAAAAGTATGTACCGAGTAATCATCTTTATGCTACAAAAAGTCTGCAACACAGACTTTCTTTTTTAGAAGTCACGGTGCAGTTGTACAAAACAATTCTCTAGTAATCACTGAGAATGAATGGGTCACCACCATCACCCTTTAAATGGGTGATGCAACTTCGTTGCCCAATTTTTGGTAACGAAAAATTTATCACCCGAAATTTGGTAACGGGCGTTAGGTTCCCCAAATTTGGGTAACGCCGTCGACGATGCCGTGAGGTCCCCGATAGACGTCCTTCCGGGGCCACCACGATGACCGGAGGCCTCAACGCTACATTGGATCATCGTGGTGGCCCCGGAAGAACGTCATCGGGGACCTCACGGCCTCGCCGACGACGTTACCCAAATTTGGGTGACGATTTTATGACTGCCCAAAATTTGGTCACCGCTGGCTCGTTACCCAAATTTGAGCGACGATGCGTGCGTCATTCAATATCAGGGAGGTGGTGGTGACTCTTTCATTCTCAGTGATGCTAAGCCGTCTGCACTACAAATCCAAAGGTTAGACTTCTCGCCACTCCGGACGCGAAAAATAAAGTATCGCCAAGTTTAGGTCAGAGAAGACAGTCTCGCCAAAATTTGGTCAGACAAAAACGTCTCGCCACAAAATGGTCAGACTGAAAAGTCTCCCCGCAAAATGGCGAGACTGAAACTAAGCAGTCTATTTGTTGATATTTATTGATTTTTAACGTAAATGTATGCACTGCAATTTGGATGGAAAGACTTCACGCCAAAATATGGCGAGACATTAAAGTCTCGCCAAGATTTGGTCAGACCTGAAAGTCTCGCCAAAATTTGGTCAGACAAAAAAGTCTCGCCACAAAACGGTCATACACAAAAGTCTGACCACAAAATGGCGAGACTTTTGTGCCTGACCACGGCCTTTAGGCCGTAACCGTCCGGCGCATTACGGCCTGTAGGTAGCGGTCAGACACAAAAGTCTCGCCATTTTGGGGTCAGACTTTTGTGTATGACCGTTTTGTGGCGAGACTTTTTTGTCTGACCAAATTTTGGCGAGACTTTCAGGTCTGACCAAATCTTGGCGAGACTTATATGTCTTGCCTCTGGAGTGGCGAGAAGTCTGACCTTTGGATTTGTAGTGTGGGTAATATACAAGAAATAAGCAGCCTGTGTACGAAGTAATATGGGGGTCTTGCCTCTGGAGTGGCGAGAAGTCTGACCTTTGGATTTGTAGTGTGGGTAATATACAAGAAATAAGCAGCCTGTGTACGAAGTAATATGGGGGTTGATGACCCCTCGACAGAGCGTTCTACCTGACATTGGGGACTCACCACCAGCGAGGCTAGAAACACCAACAGGGAGCTGATACTGGAGGGTCTCATGTTGAAAACGGTATGACGACGGCTCCATCCTTCGGTGTCTCTTATACCACAAGAACACCTGCATCGGGGGCATGTGGGCCACGTCGCATGTGCACTCACGATAAACGTGACACCCAGCAGACTGATACTGACATCCCAGTGTAGGTGGGACAGAGACAGGGCGACGAAACGACTCCCGGAATGGGTCTGTGGAACTCCCATTCTAGGAACGTGACGTCACGTTTAAACGAACGCCACAAAAAGTCACGTTCAACTATGGTCCTTGGACTAAGTTTTTCAGCATAGTCAGTCACCCCGTCTATCATCCTTATTTACTAAGCTGCGGCTGTTTTAAAAATAGTCTGGTTTGGCCCACAACTGATTTTTGGAACCAATTGTGGGTCAGCATTGTAGGAAGCTCAAATTTCGATATGATTTGCTTCAATACAACAGGATTTCACTTTTGAATTTATTTTTCGGAATTGTGAAAACTGCAGGATCTCACTGAGAATGAAAGAGTCACCACCATCGCCCTTTCATTGGGTAACGCACGCACTGTTGCCCAAATTTGGGTGACGAGCCCGCGGTGACCAAATTTTGGGCAGTCAAAAAATCGTCGCCCAAATTTGGGCAACGCCGTCGGCGACGCCGTAAGGTCCCCGTTGACTCTCTTCCGGGGCCACCACGATGACCCAATGTGGCGTTGAGGCCTCCGGTCATCGTGGTGGCCCCGGAAGGACGCCATCGGGAACCTCACGGTGTCGCCGACGGCGTTACCCAAATTTGGGCGACCAAACGCCTGTTACCAAATTTCGGGTGATGAATTTTTCGTCACCAAAATTTGGGCAACGAAGTTGCATCACCCATTTAAAGGGTGATGGTAGTGACCAATTCATTCTCAGTGCTATAGCACCATGAATCAATTGTGGGTCATATCAAGTGTGGGCCATTTCGTCTTTTTGCTTGTAAATTGACCGCTTTTGCAAGACATTTTCTTATTTTCACTAACTAAAGGCCCCTGGTTCTTAATAAACCAAGCAGGCACGTTTTTCACTCAAAGAGGAAAAGTACATAAACAGGCTGATTGCACTGTGAGACAGATGTGACTTAAACGTCCTGGGATTGGAGACGAAACTTTTATAGTGCATATTCTAGGGCCGCCGGCGTGGTAGACAATCCAACACCACACCCTGTCATCGTGAGGTATTGCTACAGTATATTATCTCAGTCAGAATATTCAGTCTGTAGGGATTGATTTGACTCGTTATAACAGGGCTGGACTAGCCTCGGGTGCCTAGCCTGCAGTTGCAGAGCGGTCCCCTTCCGGGCGCTTTGTAAGCCCTGCAATGCGCCGCCCCCTCCCCAACAAAAAAAGTCTTGGCGGACGGGAAGTAAGAGCTAACGTTGTCATTCGGGGCTGTAACATAACCTTCGTATCGTAGAACTAAATGTGACGGGGCAGAAAAATGGAATTTACTGTGATACATCAGTCAGAAGCGCAGAAACAAAGAAAATATAAGAAAAACTACCGTGAAATTCGTCTAAAGTAACGGGTCTGACATGGTAGCGAACACTATAGTTTGCCATCACCCGCGCACCATGGCATCGAATGATTTCGGCTGTACTATGGTAAATTTTTGTTCCCTGACCTATTATGAACTTAAATCAGCAAGGGCGTCCCGTTTTACCTTGTAATAGCTTCACGGTGGCAATTTGAAAAACACGATTTTTCGCCTCGTTGGATGGGCGCTTTTTTCACGACTTTTTGAAGGGCCTTCCTTCGAAGCCTGATACGAGCCGTTACAGCCGTCGCTCGGACATACACGCTATTTGGGGAGACAAAGAAAGGTTGCAGGAAGGTCTACCGCGAAATTCAAATCGATTCAATCTCCACAGGGTCTGCGGTGACCCGTCGAAAAAAATGACCCACAATTGATTCGTGACCCACAATTGATTTTTTACCTTAACTCATGGCTGGTTCACATCCAAGTGAATGTGATACAAGGCTCAAGAGAACGCAGTGGCGGATCCAGAGGTGGCCTATGGAGGGGGGACAAAGCTGCACTTTTTGCCTACTAACTTTTAGGTGGCTATCTAGGGGCCATTGCCGCCGCCCCCCCTCCCAGAAAAAAAAATTCCAATGCTAATCGCATTGCACGGTGTTCCCGTTTCCATAACGGGTTGAAAATCGAGGAAAACATGACAAGACAACCGCAGCCTTTGAGAGCATGCCAAACAATCCAACCTCAGCAACAATGGAGGGGCAGTTTCAATGGGCGCCTGTTCGTTCTTTCAGCCTCGCGATTTTCGAAAGGGCGCAGACGGGAAGCATATTGGTGCCAACCCACGAAAATTAATTTGATGCGTCGTTTCTGCTACGAACTTTTTAGTAGTGACAGACTTTAAACATGTTCCAACGTTGAGACACCGTGCAATGTGTTAGCATTAGCATTTTCAAATTTCACGGCGTTTAGATTTTTTTTTAATGGGCGACTTTAAATTTTGACGGGTGGTACGATGGGACCATGCCGTTGCCATGGAGATTTTTTTTCATGTTTTGACCATTTGCTCAGAACATATACGATTTCTTGTTACTTTGATGAGCCAGGAGGTTTAGTTTTGAGGAGTGGCACATTTTTTATTTGAACCATTTTTTCATATCATTAACGGTTTTCGTTTTCGATTGTTGCAAATTTATGTTTTTCGCGTTTACGGAAAATTTCCACGATGAATTTTCGAAAAAAATTGGAATTTTCGTTTTTTTCATGGTTGAAATAGTTTAGAGTTGTTTATTTGAAAATCGGAGAGGGGGGGGGGAAGAATCCACGGACCTCGGACAATAGGGGTTCTTGGGAACCCCTAAAAACGTTTCAAAATCGACGAGCGCCGCACTGAATCCTGAAGTTAAGCCAAAAACAAATTTTTCCGCATTTTTTTCGATTTTTTTTTTACCATGTTTGAGGTTGCGCAACGCGTTTGAAGCTTTTAGCCAAGTAATGAGTTTCAGTGAATTATACTTTCTGGTTCTGTATTGCGAGTTTTGATCGTTAAGAGATAAACGAAACGCTCAATTTCTCATTCCTGTAAAAGAATTTTCGATTTTAGACCCATCGCTCCACCCTAGGGATAGTCCGGAGGTTAGTGGAACCCACCTTGCAAAATGTGATACCGGAATGCCACTTGGCACAGTTGTTTTACTATCCCCAAGGATCATTTTAAGAGGTGGAGCCCAGGTGGACCCCCCTGTAGAGCGGCGGTACACGCGTTTGCCTATTTTCCAGGGGCAGAATTGGAAATCATTCGAAATAGACCTTATCTGACTGGCTATGGACCTTATCTGACTGGCTATCAACTTGATATTTGGTACAGGACCTCTTCTTTGGATGCCCAACGTGATTTTATTCTGGTTGGTGACGTGGCTATGCGTCAAACGGGAATTGCCCACCTCCCAGAAGCAAAATACCGTTTTCGCGAATGTAAAGTTCTTGACGTCCATTAATCGGTGCATTCAAACTCCTGGGTAATCGATTGAGTATAAAACACATTTCATCACTGCATGCGTTTAGAGTGTGGACGTGGAAGAGCCTCGAACGCGCATTGAGGGTACGACATTGGTGCACGCAGTCCAATAGCTTACATGCAGATAGAAATATATGCTGGGAATGATCCACGGGTGCTGCCGTATGTGGGCTACTTGACGTCACTGAAAACGTGATGGTCGGACACATGGCCAACTTACGGCGTGACAAAAAGTCACGCCAAAAGTTGGCGTGTCACGAAATTCACGCCGAAAAACGGCGTGACATGTGAGTCGCACCCTCATTTGGCGTGAATGACAACGCGTTTTTTGAGTCAAGTCACGCCAAAAAGCGGCATGCCAAGAAATTCACGCCAAAAATTGGCGTGAATTTTTGAGTCACGCCGATTTATGGCGTGACTTTTCTGCCATGCCGTTTAATGGCGCGACACTTAATTCACGCCTCTGCAGCGGCACGAAGTCACGCCGATAGATTTTCAGTGGTGAGGGCACCCTCTTTCGCAACAATTCTCTCGTGCACGACGCCCCCTTTTTTCATGGGGGGGGGGGCCTCTGCTGTCGCCCCTACTTTGAAGCGACCGCCCGATACATACTCTAAAAAATAATGGCATTTCTACAACACCGTCGTATGGTAAAAGTACCAACTTCGGTATGGGAAACGACAATCCTATACGTGATTTGGAAAATTCCTACGCTTTTCGTTCTTTTGCCAATGCGGTGTAGTAAAAATCCGAACCGAGTAAAGGAATTTGATTTCCTATACTCGTGATTGGTTTTTTGCCACACTTTTTAGTAGAAATCCTATTACTTCAGGCCGTTGTATAGTGCTTTTCCTGCAACGCGTTAGTAAGAATCGGGGCGGAAATCTTTGGGATTCTTACTAACGCGTTGCAGGAAAAGCACTATACAACGGCCTGAAGTAATAGGATTTCTACTAAAAAGTGTGGCAAAAAACCAATCACGAGTATAGGAAATCAAATTCCTTTACTCGGTTCGGATTTTTACTACACCGCATTGGCAAAAGAACGAAAAGCGTAGGAATTTTCCAAATCACGTATAGGATTGTCGTTTCCCATACCGAAGTTGGTACTTTTACCATACGACGGTGTAGTAGAAATGCCATTATTTTTTAGAGTATGTATCGGGCGGTCGCTTCAAAGTAGGGGCGACAGCAGAGGCCCCCCCCCTCCATGAAAAAAGGGGGCGTCGTGCACGAGAGAATTGTTGCGAAAGAGTGTGCCCTCACGTCAAGTAGCTCACATACGGCAGAACCCGTGGATATTCTTAATTCCCAGCATATATTTCTATCTGCATGTAAGCTATTGGACTGCGTGCAGCGTGCACCAGTGTCGTACCCTCAATGCGCGTTCGAGGCTCTTCCACGTCCACACTCTACACTGAAAATCTATCGGCGTGACTTTGTGCCGCTGCAGAGGCGTGAATTAAGTGTCGCGCCATTAAACGGCAAGGCAGAAAAGTCACGCCATAAATCGGCGTGACTCTAAAATTCACGCCAATTTTTGGCGTGTTTTTCTTGTCATGCCGCTTTTTGGCGTGACTTGACTCAAAAGACGCGTTGTCATTCACGCCAAATGAGGGTGCGACTCACATGTCACGCCGTTTTTCGGCGTGAATTTCGTGTCACGCCAATTTTTCGCGTGACTTTTTGTCACGCCATAAGTTGGCCATGTGTCCGACCATCACGTCTTCAGTGTAAACGCATGCAGTGATGAAATGTGTTTTATACTCAATCGATTACCCAGGAGTTTGAATGCACCGATTAATGGACGTCAAGAACTTTACATTCGCGAAAACGGTATTTTGCTCCTGGGAGGTAGGCAATTCCCGTTTGACGCATAGCCACGTCACCAACCAGAGTAAAATCACGTTGGGCATCCAAAGGAGTGGTCCTGTACCATCCAGTTGATAGCCAGTCAGATAAGGTCCATAGCCAGTCAGATAAGGTCTATTTCGAATGATTTTCAATTCTGCCCCTGGAAAATAGGCAAACGCGTGTACCGCCGCTCTGCAGGGGGGTCCACCTGGGCTCCACCTCTTAAAATGATCCTTGGGGATAGTACAACAACTGTGCCAAGTGGCATTCCGGTATCACATTTTGCAAGGTGGGTCCCGGTATGCGCCGCTAACGTCCGGACTAGGAGCATGCCATGTACTCTCTCTAGTTTCTAGAGTGGTTTTTGGAGAGTTTGTTTGCATTTCCACTTAATTTCAAGAACATTAGAGAAACTTGGCCAACAAGCGGTTTACAAAGTCTTTGCAGTTGTTTTCCCTATGGCTATTTCCCTGTCATTGAGAGTTTTGTCGGTTCGCTTCTTCGTCCCCTGTCAATGGTTTTGTGTTGCAGTCTGAACCCGAGAAAGCTGTGGAGGTGCCACAACCTCATGCGGACGCTACCGCTCCCCCAGCTCAGCATGCGGCAACTCAGACATCGACCATTGTCTTGAAGAAAGAAACTGAAGACCGACTTACACGCATGGAGCAGCAGGTATGCATCTCAATCCATTGCGCTTCTACATGGAGAAGCCGAAATGGCAGGTTAGCGGCACCCGAGGGGTGAATCACTAGTGTACTCATGTGTACAAATTTGCCCGTACTCAGTGTACTCACAAGTTTAAAAAAGGCGGAATTCTGTAGGTTTTTGACCGATTTAACGTCGAGTGCCGTTGAAGACGTGAAATAAAGCCTGAAAACGTTTTAAATTATGAAATTTGTGAGCAAAGCAAGGTGTACTCACCCGTATTCATGTACTCATGTGTACACCAGAACGCTGAGTGATTCACCCCTCGGCGGCACCGACAACACGCGCCAGCCTCGTTCGGTGCAGTGGTCGCCAAATGCATGCACGGTCAGGGCTCTTCAAAAACGGCAAAACGGCCGCACTGGCCGAGCTCGGCCGGCGACAGGCACACGACAGGCCGCCGGGAGCGGCCAACGCCAGGGCTGGCCGGCCGCAGCGGCCTGGACACCAGGCCGGCCGGCCAGCGTAGGCCGGCTGCCCAGTAGCCAATAAGATTCACGGATGCGACCAAGGTGGCGCCCTCATATCAAGCGTACAGGTGCGACACTACCCGTTCGCGGGCAGGTGACTCACTGGGCGGCCTGCTTGCGGCCTGGCGCTGGCGCTGGCCGAGCTCGGCCAGTGCGGCCGGCCTATTCTGCCGTTTTTAAAGAGACCTGTGCAAGGTGTGATTTTTGCGATTTTCCGATTAATCGCCACACTGAAAACGTGATGGTCGGACACATGGCCAACTTACGGCGTGACAAAAAGTCACGCCAAAAGTTGGCGTGTCACGAAATTCACGCCGAAAAACGGCGTGACATGTGAGTCGCACCCTCATTTGGCGTGAATGACAACGCGCTTTTTGAGTCAAGTCACGCCAAAAAGCGGCATGACAAGAAATTCACGCCAAAAATTGGCGTGAATTTTTGAGTCACGCCGATTTATGGCGTGACTTTTCTGCCATGCCGTTTAATGGCGCGACACTTAATTCACGCCTCTGCAGCGGCACGAAGTCACGCCGATAGATTTTCAGTGCAAGGTTCAAAAACCAAAATCGCATCACGATTTTTTGAGAAAATCGCATCGCACCTGCGATTAATCGCAAAGTCACCCGTCCCTAATGGAAACAATACCATTGCAGATCGCTTCGCTGAGGAAGGCCAACGTGCAGTTGCTGAAGCGTCTAGCCGAACAGGAAGAAACCCACTCCAAGGTAAGTAACCCGCACTGGTGGAACCAAGACAACGCCCACTGTTAAAAAAAATCTGAAAATTCAGACCACTTTTGTCAGACTTGGTGGTCTGAATCTACTTTTCAGACTTGTTTCAGACTGCTTGTCTGAAAATTTTGCCTTCCGGTATGAAAATTGCGACCTGATCGTCTCAGAACCTGAATTCAGACCAGCGCAGTCTGAAAATTTAGATGGTTAAGTCTGAAAATTCAGACCAACCCAAGATTTCGTTTGTCCGCTAGATGGCGCGCATGTTGTGGAACATACCTACTTCTGTTTAAAAGGCTTCTAATGTGAAAACATATTGGTTCAAAAGTTCCAAATTGATAGGACTTAATCGGCCATATGAGAACCATTCTCTGCCGCAAGATTTATCTCCCTAATATGGGTGGAAGTTGAACAATCCACATTCTAATTTACCTCTCGCGAGTGGCTCCGTGTCGCCATTTCCTTGGGTGCCACAGGCCGGCCTCTCGAGAGTCAGGGAAAAGGACAGAGAACCTTCTCCCTCATCACAATTTTTACTCAATGTTGTCCTCTCTGGAGGTTCACACACACCTGAGATTCTTTCTATGTCATATTGAATATGTCACGAACCTTAAAGTTCACAATCTTCGTACAGGACTGAATTTTCAGACCACCAAACTCTTAAATGTAAGACTCTCGAGTTCTGAATTTTCAGACCATCTAAGTGGTCTGAATTTTCAGACCTCAAGTCTGTTAATAACTTCTTACCAATTTGGTCTGAATTTTCAGACTTTTTGTGAAGCGTACGTAGTCTGCACTGCATGACAAAGTGTGAATAGTACAACTAAAGTACACAAAAACTTTACACCAGAAGTACTACAGGGATTGTACTATATAGTACAACGAGAATTGCACCATCCACAACGAGGCCTGGACTTCCCAGCACTCGTCATGCCGGTTTCATTGTATTTTGTACGGCAGTTGTTGTACTTTGAGAGTACAATAAATTCCTAGTAAAAAGAATTGGCCAGGAATTTGTGTACTTTTGTTGTGGTTTTTTCTTGCAGTGTTCTTGAAGCGTACAAGCGCCAGCTCATGCGCTCCTTCCCCCCGCATGGAGAGAACTGCGTGGAAGCGTAATTTTTCGCTTCAAGAAGGGCGTAAGGTCTCCTGTCATTTGGCCCACGCTTTAGGTTTACTACTCTCTGGCATTCTACACACTACAAACCTAACTGTCTACTTAGTACACACTTACAATTGCATGCATGCAAGTACACACTTACAAACGCATGCTTCGCCAAGTACCTACTTACAAATGCATACTTGGCAAGTACACACTTACAAACGCATCCTTGGTGCCGTATAGCTCCATGTTAAACGTAGGCATTTGTAAGTGTTTACTTGCCAAGCACAGGCATTTGTAAGTGTGTACTTGCCAAGCATGCGTTTGCAAGTGTGTACTTAGTAGACAGTTAGGTTTGTAGTTGTAGGAACGTGTCACGCGATCCTTTGAGCATTGTGGCACATTCCTTTAAACGTGAATAAGCTAATTTATGGCTTATGAACGTCCAAACGAATAAGTCACAATGCTCTTAGGAACGTGACGTTTTGTCACATTCATTTCAACGTGATGTCACGTTTCTTGGATCAGAGTGTAGTGCCTGGACTCCTTGCGGTGTGGACACTCTCATTCCAGGAACGTAACATCACGTTGAAACGAACGTGACAAAATGTCACGTTCGTTTGAGCATTGTGTCACATTCAATTGGGTGTGAATTGGCCAAAAATCAGCTTGTTCTTATTCAAGCGAACGTGACACAATGCTCTAACGAACGTGACATTTTGTCACGTTCGTTTCAACGTGATGTCACGTTCCTAGAATAAGAGTGGACTCAGCAGTGATTTATTGCTAAGGGCGAAAAGATATGCACTTAATTATTCTATTTGTACCTTTATCTATCATCACTGTTCGGTTATTGCCATAAAAATAGAACGAGTATTGTAACACTATCCCTTTGTACAATTTTTTAGTGGTCGCTCCCACATTTTTGCGCATACGTTCTTTTCGTGCAAATCTGTTCGCAATTTGGCACGAATTTGTGCGATATGCGTTCAAATTTGTACGAAAAAGTTCGCATGCTCAAAATTCTCATGAGGCCACGCCCAAAATTGTTCAAAACTATTCAGAGTGTCGCTCGCTTCCTTCATGGACAGCCTCTCTACGTTGTCCTTGTTTTTGTTCTTCCTTGACCATGTAATCGTGTTGCAGTTCAAAGCAGATATATGCGTGGAACCAGCTAGTTTTACTCCGGCGCGGGGTGTGCAGTTTCCAGTTTCCGGCTTCAATAAAGAGGCCGAAGTTTACCGATTGAGAACAATCGCCCTCGAGCAGCAGGTAAGATTCCTCCTGCCGAGCAGGAGAAGACACACTTGTGTATCCTTTTGATTGGTTTCCTGGCAACAATCCCCTTGGGAGTTTACTGAGTTCCGTTATTCTTCGAATTTCACTGAAAGTCTAAGAGTAAGACAACTCACCAATTTTCAGCGACATATGTATCATAGGGTCGTACGCAAATGTATCATCAAAAAGCGGGTCGTGCTCGCTCAAATGTAACATCTAAGAAATGGGGAATACTACAATGTAAGAAGGTCAGTCATCAGCGAAACCTGGCCTTTGTTTTTCTGGGCTAAATATAAGCCACTAATGGTGATACTCGTTTTTCTGTGGTACATCGTACCATTCTTTTCTGTGGGAAAACGTCGAAGTATCTTTGTGCTATCATGATGAAACTGGTGTCTCTAATTCCATTCAAATCCCAAGTCGCATGCCGAATATCTTCTTGTTTCGAAAAGTTAGATTGATTCGTCTGACTTCTCAACGCCAGGAATAAATCTTCGATTCGCAGTTCTCTAAATTATACTTATCTCAGTTACGCTATTGTATTACAGATCACTTCCCTCAGGAAGGCCAATGTTCAACTTCTCACGCGGTTGAAAGATTGCGATGCTGTACAAGAAAAGGTAAGGAACTAGTGGGGTGGCAACTACTCGTAGGCACGGTGGGCACAAGCAGGGGGTGGCAACCGCCTAGAACGAGCGTGAAGCGATGCTCGCGCCGTCAGTGCAGAGGTTGCGCACTTGTTCGAGATTATGAAAACTATACTGTGATTTTCAAAACGCTTTGCACCGGTGGAAAGGGCTTGAAATTTAGGGTACATGAGGCTAATTGCTCTTCTCGTAACTCCCCCCTTACCTGATATTAAGGCGCAGTGAAAACACCGAAAAACACGAGAAATTATCAAATTAAGGAAAAATCTCGGATGCGCCATGTTGATGTAAATGATTCCGCCCTTGTCTTTGGTTGAATTGGAAGTATCGGGCAGTCTACTAGGCCTAATGCACCCCAAATTTTGTGTGCTCTTTTGAACTGTGCAAACACTGTAAAAATTTTTTTTAGTTAAATTCCTATACATGTATATGAAGCTATTTACATATACACGCATAGGAATTTTACCATGCACTCGTATGGTAATTTTCCTATACATCAGTACGGGATTATACCTATTACGTGTATAGGCGTTCTCCCATCCGTTGTATAGGAATTTTCCTATACATCGGAATGGCGTAACTGCAATGCATTTATGGGATCTCCACCACAATATCTAAATTAGACGGCTGAACCGGATGAACTGTCAGATATTTAATACAACGGCCGAACTTTCCGCCGTAATAGATCGTCGAGCATGGATCACTACTGATCCTTCATCACGGTCTTCCAAATTGGCAAAGTTCGACTTTACCACAAGGACACCCAAGGTGAAAGTACTATCACTTCAGTAAAAATGATGTAAGAGTTGAAAGGTCCTCAACTTTCTTACAACGTGATGGGTCGCGAGCCCCCTGACCTAACCAAATTCCTAGCCGCAGCGTGCACCGAGAAGTAAGTCCGTCGAAACGACACTAGCGCCATCTAGCGGATAATCCGGAAAGTGGGCAAACAAGCACCTTTTGTGAATTGTGTACGTTTTTAACAAATAATCGCACTGATTACCAGTGTTAAGACAAAATACAATAATAAGAATAGCTGTTCATGAGGTTGATAGCAAATTCCTTTTTTTCAGTTGGCCATATTCCTATACAGGGCTGCAAAATTCCTATACATGCATAGGAATTACTCAAATTCCGATACATGTACAGGAACATTCCTATACATTTTCAGCCCGAATAGCAAAAAACCTATACAAATCGGAATATTCCTATACATGTATCGGAATTTGAGTAATTCCTATACATGTATAGGAATTTTCCTAGACCACTGTATGGTAAAATTCCGAACATTTTTTACAGTGAAGCGTTTTGCAATCAACGGCCTAGATCTTACAATCGAAGCAAAATAAGTAACCCCTGCATCTTACTCGCGCATTGCTTCACGCGCTTCCTAGGCCGTTGCCGCCCCCTGGCACAAGTGTCTAACCAGATTTAGTTTTCTAATCGTTTTCTTTGCCTATGCATATTTCTTAATTTTTCAGTGATCACAAATGTACTTTAGATCGTTTCTTTTTGTCCGATTGAAGATTAATTATTGAGTTTTTCTTTTGTGGTTTGAGGTGGAGGAAAACAAAAAGTTGAAGGAATCTAACTACGCTTTGTCTCAGCAACTGGGAGCATTGCAAACTGAGGTATGATAAATTTCGCAATTGAGTAAGTTTTCCTGTGAGTGTCAGAATTAAAATGCATGTTTCAAACTCCTCGAAGCGCCCTGTTTAAAGCGTCCTACCTTATCTTAGCGTTTCCGGGTAAATGACCTTTTTTGGTCGTTCCCGCGTTGAGAATCCTTTCCATAATGCGCACACATTTTTCTATGTTAGTCTTAGTCAAAAATCACTCCTTTTAAGGGGGCAATACACTGAAAATGGCCCAAAACTGACTTGTGCGATTGCTACCATGCGCATTGTTGAGCGTTGAGCGTCAAGTTCAATTTAGAGTCAGTTTGTCAGAAGAAAAAAAGATATGCGACTGGTCGAATTTTTTTTCGATTCGTTACGAAATTTCTGAGACCGATTGGGTCCGATTCGGTAGATTGTAAGCAGATTCCATTCAACCATGGAGGAAATCTTTGACTCGCACATGTAGATGAAGCAACACTAAATTACGCTACGATTCTGTTTTAGATCGCTTCCCTGAGAAAGGCAAATGAGCAATTTCGCATGCGATTGGAGGATTGTGATGCTGCACCAGGAAGGGTAAGCAACGAGTGGAGTGGCAACTGCTAGGAATAGGTTTAGCTTAATTTTCAAAATCCAGTGTACGTTTCATTCCAATCAGGCTTTCTTGGAATCGGTGTATTTGTATTTAATAGATATTAAGTGTGTTTTCTTGTACGATTGAAGATGAATGACTTAGTTTTTCTGTTTAAATTTGAGGTGGAGGACAAGTTGAAGGAATCGAACGTGGTTTTGTCTCAACAGTCGGAGAAATCGAAAACTGAGGTGGATGAGCTCGATAGGTTGAAGGAGTCTAACTTCACTTTGGCTCAACAATTAGAGAAATCGAAAAGTGACCTGGAAGAGATCAACAAGTTGAAGCAATGGAACCTCTGTTTGTCTCAAGAAGTAGAGAAATCGAGAACTGAGGTATGACTGAATTTGCGAGTGCAATCATAGGCAGATTTGATTTTAGCATACAGTGCAGTGCACATTTAATTGCTGGGCTGTCTCTTACTGTTTATTTGGCATGAATCAAAATGTCTCCCTCTTAATAGTGTGAACCACGTTTATCCCACGTTTGCAAGAAAGAGACAGCTGTCTATCACCTGCGAATGTGAGGCACTTTTTTCCCCACAATTTCTGCCTTTGGTTCCCTGTGGTTGTTCACTGCCACGGGTCCCGCGCTCGCAAGTGAGTGACATCGATGTCTCACGCGCGTGGGACTAGCGTGGTTCAATCTTGAAAGCGTGAGACAATTTACTCTTCACCAAATAGGGCATACAGGACAAGAGCCCCGTCCCGTTTGAGCCCCGGATGGTCTGAGCCCCGACCTGAGCCCCAACCTGAGCCCGGGTTGAGCCCCGACTTGAGCCCCGACCCAAGCCCCAATTTTCAGAGCCCGGATTGAGCCCCGACCTGAGCCCCGTATGAGCCCTATTTGAGCCCCACTTGAGCCCCGTGGCAATAAATCATGCAAAAATGCGTGATTTCAGGTCGCGGGGCTCAAATGGGGCTTAAACGGGGCTCCAACGGGGCTCAGGCCGGGGCTCAATCCGGGCTCTGAAAATTGGGGCTTGGGTCGGGGCTCAAGTCGGGGCTCAACCCGGTTTCAGGTCGGGGCTCAGACCATCGGGGCTCAAACGGGACGGGGCTCATGTCCTGTATGCCACCAAATAGTGTGATCGAGTGTGATACTGTCCACACTTGGATTTTCAGTGTATTCGATCCGACCAGAAAACTTCGGATTCGCACATATCTGGGTGAAATAAAAATAAATTACGCAACAATTCCATTGCAGATCGCTTCGCTGAAATATGCCAACATGCAACTCCATACACGACTAAAGGATCAAGATGGACTTCAAGGAAAGGTGAGCAACTACACGTTAGCACACTGGTAGCCAACGAATGTGACATCACATTCGTTTGAACGTGAAAACGGCGATGTCAGTTTGAACGTGACAAACAGAGAAAATTCATACTCAAACGAATGTGACACACCGCACCGCTCTGCCACATTACTTCGGGTGTGACACGAAATCAGCAGGCAAACTGTCACATCAAAACGAATGTGAGACATGGTACCCATTGACGTGTCACATCCAAACGAATGTGACACCCATATGCTGTCACGTTCGTTTGAATGTGACATGCCCGAATCGTCACATTCAATTGAACGTGACACGCCATAACCTGACACTTATGGCGTGTCCGGGGCGTGTCACGTTCGTTTGAATGTGACAATTAGGGCATGGGTAATTCTTTCCCAAGTCACCCGAGGTCCCGAAATCGATGTCTCCGATTTCGACGAAACTTTGTGGGTGTGTTCCCTATGTAGCAAAGAGCTCCAGAAAAAATTTTCAACTTTTTTGGTCGGCCCAAAAAATTTTAATTACGTATTTTGTAAAAAACACTGAAACCTGCACTAAAAATTTGTTTGTTGCTCGAGGGCGACCTGCCCGGTGGATTTTTTTTCTTTTCATGGTACTGAAAAAAAAAGTCCCCGAGAGCCACTTTAAAAGTCACTTGTTCCAGGAGATATGGACCAAAAAATTCGTTTTTCGCGAATACCCAAAAAATGCATCCGAATTTTTTGATGATAAATTTTTTTTAGGAAGGTCCTGTGGTGGTCTACCACCCTTATTGGTTTAGGGTTTGGCCAGTGGAAAACCGAATAAAAATTGCGTTTTTTCCGTTTTTTTCGCAGTTTTTGGCCCATAGTATCGCCATTTTAAGTCCGACTTAATGAGCGCCATTAGACTTCTTTTGCGCCTTTTCAAGACGAATCGATTGATATAAGTTGAAGTCAATCCGGAGTATTTTGAAAAATCACCTTTTTTACGATCGGGATCCAATTAAACTAGATGCGTAAAAAAGGCGATTTTTCAAAATACTCCGATTTGACTTCAACTTATATCAATCGATTCGTCTTGAAAAGGCGCAAAAGAAGTCTAATGGCGCTCATTAAGTCAGACTTAAAATGGCGATACTATGGGCCAAAAACTGCGAAAAAAACGGAAAAAACGCAATTTTTATTCGGTTTTCCATTGGCCAAGCCCAAAACCAATAAGGGTGGTAGACCACCACAGGACCTTCCTAAAAAAAATTTATCATCAAAAAATTCGGATGCATTTTTTGGGTATTCGCGAAAAACGAATTTTTTGGTCCATATCTCCTGGAACAAGTGACTTTTAAAGTGGGTCTCGGGGACTTTTTTTTCAGTACCATGAAAAGAAAGAAAATCCACCGGGCGGGTCGCCCTCAGGCAACAAACAAATTTTTAGTGCAGGTTTCAGTGTTTTTTACAAAATACGTGATTAAAATGTTTTGGGCCGACCAAAAAAGTTGAAAATTTTTTCTGGAGCTCTTTGCTACATAGGGAACACACCCACAAAGCTTCGTCGAAATCGGAGACATCGATTTCGGGACCTCGGGTGACTTGGGAAACCCGCATGTCACATTCAAACGAACGTGACAGCATATGGACGGCATGACATCACGTTGAAACGAATGAGACAAAATGTCACGTTCCTTTGAGCTTTGTGTCCCATTCGGTTGGTTGCGAATCAGCATCAAATTGGGTTGTTCACATTTAAACGAATGTGACATTATGCTCAAAGGGACGGGACACTTTGTCACATTCGTTTCAACGTGACGTTACGCTCTTAAAATGATAAGGTGAAACATCCTAAGAGTACTTGCATTTGTTTCCTCTTGTCCTGTTGAAGATGAATGACTAAATTTTTCTGTTGCATTCTGAGTTGGAGGATAACAAGAGGCTGAAGGAATTGAACTTCGTTTTGTCTCAACAACTTGAGAAGTCGAGAACTGAGGTATGACTGAATTTGGGAGTGCATGGTGCAACATTATTCTAATTCTTACTTATCCAATGATTCACTGCTCCAGACTGAACTTGCCGTCCAACAGTGGTGCGATGAAGCATCCAAGCTAAAGGCTAAAGTGGATAACCAGAGGAAAAATCTGCAGGGTTTGGAGGCCAAACTGTTAAAGGTAATAATGCTGGATGCAGCCGTGAACTTCGCCGAAAGTGCCGCTACAGGCAACTCTCAAAACATTTTTGACGTTCTTCAAGTTCATATAAACAAATTCGGAGTTGAACTAACGATTCTCGGATCAGAAATTAATTTCCAAAATGATGGTTTCATGAATATCTCTGTTTGCCGATCGAGATTCATTATCACTTGAGACCACCAGAAGCCTTCGCATTACTTTTGTCAACCAAAATTATTCTTGTCAGAAGCGTTTTGGTTTCATGACACTGCAAGAAAAAAACAACAATAAAAGTACACAAAGTCGTGGTAAATTGTTCTTCAGAAATTTATTGTTCTATCGAAGTACTTCCAAAGAACAATGGATCCGGCATGACGAGTTCTGTGCAGTCAGTGTGCAGTCCAGGCCTCGTTGTGGTTTGTACTTTTCTCGTTGTACAGATGTTGTACTTTTCTCGTACTATTCACATTTTTTCTTGCAGTGCACGACTTCTGCATTCGCATGTTCAAGTGCTTACTTTCCCCTTGCTTTCAGGCGAACCTTCAACCCGATCCAGCGGCACCCGCTCCCAAAGGAAAAGAATGTTCATCCTCTGAGTGTCGAAATAAGGTGAAGTAAAACTCGGTGTTTCGATTGCATGGGCATGACAACAATTTGATCAATTGTTTTGATGACATTGAAGTATAGAAAATTAGCCTTGAAATTGTCATGAAGTGAAGTCTCAAATTATCACGGCGTGTCATTGAACGCACTACAAACCTAACTGTCTACTAAGTACACACTTACAAATGCATGCTTGCAAGACACACTTACAAACGCATGCTTGGCCAAGTACACACTTACAAATGCATGCTTGCAAGTATACACTTACAAACGCATGCTTGACACGTATAACATCTATGGTCAAGCATGCTTTGTAAGTGTGTACTTGCAAGCATGCATTTGTAAGTGTGTACTTGCAAGCATGCGTTTGTAAGTGTGTACTTGCAAGCATGCATTTGTAAGTGTGTACTTGCAAGCATGCGTTTGTAAGTGTGTACTTGCAAGCATGCATTTGTAAGTGTGTACTTGGCCAAGCATGCGTTTGAGTGTGTACTTTGTCAGCTAGTTGTTGTGTCGGCTGGTCGCTGCTCCGCCGGGCCGCCTCGCGGCGGGGTGGTGGCGGCGCGTGGAGGCCGCGTCAGCACTCGCCGGCGTGGAAGACAGGGCCGCGGCGTGGGTGGTGGCCGTGTGCCCCCGCGGTCGTGGGAAATTCTCCCACGGGGTGTCGGCGCAGGGGATGCTCGCAGTGTCGGTGGTTCAGTGGTGGTTGCGCGACACACCGCAAGGGGTTGCGTGTGGGCCACCGCCGACGCAGTCCAGCACTTGGGAGACACTCACTCGCTGTCGGTCCGTGGGAGGGTGGGGTCCAGTAATAACGCACTGTCGCTACACTGTCAGGCAGAGTAACACCGTAGACTCGGATCTTCCGCGGAGCCGCGTGCGCGTATCGTCGAACAGAGCGTGGTGGTCAGAACTGAGGCCCGCTTCGCCGGTGCCTCCCTATATAGTGCTTGCCCGTGGTCCAGGGCGCCGCCCCGGCGTGGTGCCGGGGTCCGCCCCAGCCCGCCCCCGGCCGGGCCTACCTTGAAGAGGTCGTGGGCCCGGTCGTTTGCCCTGCGCGCGTCACGGGCGCGTGTCGCAGCGCGCGTGGCCGCGGCTGGCTGTCGGGCGGGGCGTGTCTGCGGGGGTGTGCGCCGGGCGGGTAGGCCACCCATCGGGCTGGTGTGTGGGTGTGGCTGCGTTCAGGGGGAGCGCGGCGCTATGGCGGCCGCTCCCTCTGACAACTTGCAAGCATGCATTTGTAAGTGTGTACTTAGTAGACAGTTAGGTTTGTATTGCGTCCAAACTACCATTGCTTGCCGCGTGCGTTTGAAAGCAATATCGCCTCTTTTTGACACCCTCTCCCTCGAGAACGATTCCTTTACCCGCGGGGGAGTGCTGAAAGGTAGGCAACCCATCGCCTTTCTATGCGCGATAGTTTCCCTGCCTAGTACGCGCTGCCACTGACGATCTATCGGCGTGGCTTGTACCGCTGCTGGGGCATGCCAAAAATTGACGTGACTCAGAAATTCACGTGACTTTTTGTCACGCCATGATTTGGCCGACCATTCAATTTTCAGTTGCACGGAGATCGCGGTTTACACGGCACAGTAGGCCAGAAGATCGGTGGAGGCGGACAAACTCCCGGACGCGTTTTGAGCTCCTGAGTCGCCAAACAGGACTCGAGCCGAACGTGTGACCCCGCTAATGGATTGCTCTCCGCATGAGAAATCCAGTGGTGGGGTCACACGCTTAGTTCGAGTCCTTTCGGCGCCGGTCCTGGTCCACTGTACACGGGTCAGGGAAATGAAAGAAGCCATGGCAAAGTCATGGCAAGTGAAAGGGGATCCGAAAACCGGGAACACTTGCTTTTGGTCAGGGAAAATTCTAAAAGTAGGTCTAAGCACGGACCTTTTTTCAACAGCGTGTTGCTGGAAGCTAGTTACGTGCATTTGGTCTTGGAGCGCACAAAAGAAACAACGGGGGAAAGGTGTCAGGGAAAATTAGAAATTTTATCCTGGACATCGCAGTAAAGTGAAGCGAACCCTGGTTCCTTTTTAAACCTAGTGCACTAGCAAAACTAAAGCGTAACTCAGCGGTTCCCAACCTTCTTCGGTTCGCGACTTCAAATTTGTAACAAAAAATTTCCGCGACCCCCAGGAAAAATTTCGCGACCCCACGCGACCTCTCCTTTAGCATGCCTTTGATACAAAGTGCGATAATCCACCTTAGTTTGGGAGCAGTATTGCCGCAAAGTTGATCAAAACGCTTAGAAATGTCTTTAAAAAATCGTGTTTTGGGCCGACTTTAAGCAGCCACTGCGTCTGATCCGACAAGGTATTTCGTCCTCCCTCGACGGGCATTTGGTCTTTGGACCTTCCTTTAGCATGCCTTTGTTACGGAGTGCGATTATCGGCCTTAGTTTGGGAGCAGTACTGTCTCAAAGTGGATCAAAATGGCATGCAAAGGCATTTTTTACTGTTTTCATCAACTTTGAGACAATACTGCTCCCAATTTAAGGCCGATAATCACACTCCGTAACAAAGGCATGCTAAAGGAAGGTCCAAAGACCAAATGCCCGCTGAGGAAGGACGAAATACCTTGTCGGATCAGACGCAGTTGCTGCTTAAAGTCGTCCTAAAACACGAATTTTCAAAGACATTTTCGACCGTTTTGAACAATTCTGCCAGCCGGGAAACAGCCGCGACCCCAGGCGACCCCAACCACCTCGCCGCGACCCCTCGAAATTTTTTCGCGACCCCATTTGGGGTCGCGACCCTAAGGTTGGGAACCGCTGGCGTAACTCTATGCTTGAGCTCAGCATAGAGTTACGCATCGCTTGATTTCAAGCGCAAACTGACGACGCTTTAAAACAGAGGGTAATACTACGCTTTAGTTGTACCAGTGTGTTGATGTGTGTTTAACTTCAGAGGCAGGAGCTGGAGGCGCTGGTGGTCAGACAGCGGACTCGCTTGAGGAACCAGTCCGCTCACCTCTCGCAGTTGGCGGCTGCTTTGGCCAGGCAGAAGCAGAAGTCTCCGCATCCAGGACAGTTCATCAAACAGGAATTCATCAAGCAGGAACCCGGCTGTGACGCGAACACGCAGACCCCTTCAGACTGCATCAAGACGGAACCCGAATCCACTGTTGTGTTGCAGGTTAGCGGACAGCGGAGTACACTGGGAGGAAAAAGTGTGGAAAGAGTCTGGTCAACGAACCTTGACCGTCTGTACTTGTCAACGACGGCCTGTTAGGAACAAGTTAGGAGGGGCATGCGCAACATGACTTCCACATCTGGTCCTGGATGTTTTCTCTGATGAAGTGAATTACTTGAGTTCATTTTGCAGAACGTCCGGTGGTCCTGTCCATTAGTACTTGGACGGTTTTACTGTTTCCTCACCTGCTGCACGGTGATTTTCCCGTCTTTTTTCACCTTTTGTAGGGTGATTTCACTGTTTTCCACCTTTTGCATGATGTATAGGATGTTCCACAGGGTTTCAAATGTAAACACATGCAGAATATCCGCTATGTTCTTTTACGAAGGACCTCCATGTTTTTAGTCAACAACTTGTTTCAGCCTCAGCCTGCTGCTGACCTGGGGCCACCTGCTTGCACCCCGATGAACTGGGGCGGAGATGCTCACCTTCAAGAAGTGTCAAAGCCGGACCCACGTGACATGAGCATCTTACAGGTACGTTCACACATCAGGAAGAGGGGGCATCGCATCATCTAACAGGGCACTTCATGAGCTCTGGCCCGGAGGATGAAGAACCGATAGGCCTTCCACTCGCTAAAGTGATGCACTGAGAAAACCTTACAAACTATTTTGGGCCTTACATAGAAAAGTAGTTTGTATAACAAAGTATTTTGAGCATACATAAGCTTACAAAGAAAATACTTTGTAATTTACGAACTATTTCTTCGTACAACAAAGTATTTTAGTTTGTTATATGTATGCTCAAAATACTTCGTAAGGTTATAAAAGTGTGCACAATTGAGTGAGTGTTGTGGTTTTATTTCCGCCGAATTCAGCCATTCTCTTTGCCTGCTTACAGGCGTTCTAGCACAAATCGCCTTCATGCCGGTGGGCCTTCATTTCTCTCAGAAACTTTCATTTCTGACTTCCGAATTTGTTGTTCATCTTCCGGGCCAGAGCTCCTCTGAAGTAACCCATTAGCGTATGAAACGCCCCCGTGCGCCTTCATATGTTGGCCCCGTCTTATGGCGTGCCGTTCCTAGGAAGGTAGTCACGTGACGTTTCTACGACAGTCGTGCACTCTAAATGTCTTACGAAGAAATTTCCCATAATACGAAGGAAACGGCGCAAGCATACTACGAAGGTTAGTTTTTCTTCGCATTACGAAGGTTTTTCGTTGTATCTTGCAATGAAAAGGCTGAAAAGATTCGCATACGAAGAAATATCGCTTCTTATAACGCTTGCGCCAAATTCACAGTAACATTCGAAAAACATAGGTCAAATTTCACTGTAAGACATTCAGAGTGTGTCGTTTCACAGTCCTCGGAAATTCAAGCGTGCATTTCCTTCCAGCTGGTCACCAAGGCCTTCCCGATGGGCAACTGCATCATCGGCAACTTCAAAGAGCTCGGCCTCAGACTGCCAAGTCTGTGGCCACCCGTCCAAGCGGCCATCGCCGCCATGCCGCCCGCGACGAGGACCTGGCTCTTGGGCAGAGTGCACGCGCTCGGACTGCAGCTCCCGACTGGGACCCAGTTTAGCCCTGTGACGGTGATTAATTTACTTCTGTTACTTTTCTACTTCTCACAGTAAAAACTCTACGAAGAGTCGCTTCGTAATACGAAGAAAATGAAGGCTTTGTAAAATCTACGAAGAAATGCTTCGTATTATGAAGCAAAATCCTTCGTAATACGAAGCATTTCTTCATAATACGAAGCAATTCTGCGATGCCTGTATTTTCTTTGTAGTTATGAAGCAGATACTTCGTAGGCTTTTTAGAGTGCTGTCAATTTACTACTGTTACTTAACTGTTCAAGTTCTACGAATGAATTGATCGTTATGGCAGTAGCGCGAGTGTGAAAAGAAGGAAACAAGAAATTTTCAGGGGATTCTTTTACTGGGGAAATTGGGAAATTGAGTTTTTATAGCTTTGCCTGAGAGTTCAGATACGTGCAACAGTGTATTGAACACCAAACTTTGTAAAATGCTTTCCCCGCCCTGTTCTAACACATGCACGGATTTGCTTATGTTACAGAATAACAATTCCTATGCTGTGGTGTCACACTCCTCGGCTCAAGTCAGGCCAATACCGTGTTCATCGCAGGAGTCTGTGGTAGCTGCTCACCACCAGTCCAATGGAGCCGTCCCCGAGACCCCTGTGGCTTCCTTGGTCGATGCTGGAACCCAGACCAATGTTGATGCTTCCTTAGTTGATGCTGGCTCCCAGACCAATGTTGATATCTCTGAGACCTCAATTGATGCTGGCACCCAGACCAATGTTCATGCTTTTTCGGTTCATGCTGTCTCTCAGACCGATGTCCATGCTTTTTCGGTTGATGCTGGGTCTCAGACTAATGTTGATGCTTCCTTGGTTCATGCTGGCACTCAGGCCAATGTTGATGCTTTGTCGGTTCATGCTGGCACTCAGACCAACGTCGATGCTTCCTCGGTTGATGCTGTCACCCAAACCAATGTTGATATTTCCTGGGTTGATGCTGGCTCCCAGACCAATGTTGGTGCTTCCTCGGTTGATGCTGGCTCCCAGACCAATGTTGGTGCTTCCTCGGTTGATGCTGGCTCCCAGACCAATGTTGGTGCTTCCTCGGTTGATGCTGGCTCCCAGACCAATGTTGGTGCTTTCTCGGTTGATGCTGGCACTCAGGCCAATGTTGATGCTCCCTCGGTTGATGCTGGCACTCAGACCAATGTTGATGTCACTGAGACCTCAGTTGCTTCCTCGCCTGGCACGGCAGCAGCTGATCGAGGTTGGTGTATTTATTTAATAAAGCTTGCTAATGTACTGCAGTAACTAGTACTGACGGGCCAAATCATTGTCTAAGGCGAGGCCGTCCATAAGATCGTAAATTTGTCCATTATTCATAATCTTGTCGTCGAGAAGAGAAATCTCGATGTGTTTTAAAACAAGTTTTTTAAACTTTACAGAATGCTCATTGAAGTTGACACCCCTTGTTACGGAGCCGTCCCAGGATGATGGATCTCCAGACTGTCAGGATCTGGATGACGTCAGAGGGCAACTTCCAATTTCATCGCCGATCAAAACGGAATCGCCGTTTTCGACGCCGATGAAGAAAATGAAATGTCTATTTGCGACTTCGGTGGAACAAGGGTCTCCAGTTTCGACGCCGGCAATGCTTCACTTTCCACTTGCAGTGCCGTTGAAGCAGCCAGTTGCTCTGCCGACGACACCAAAGACGCAACTCCCGCTGCCGACCAAGACGGAGACCATCACTGGAGAAACGCCTTGGGACGTCTCTGACGCCATCGAGGAAGGCACAGGTCAGGAGGTGTAGCTTGAATCGGGAGGCATCTCAAGGGGTGGCCCGCTGTTAAATTTTGCGTTAAATGCTCTACAAATCGAAAAGCGTACATTGTATGCTCTACGGAGCATGCTTGCAAGCACGCTGTAGCTAGCGCCTGCCTGCCAAGCATGCACTAACTAGTGCTTGTGCATGCACGCTACCTGAAACATGCATCTTGTGCAAGGGATAGGAAGTTTTCTGCTTCAGGAAGCGTGTGCATGGCATGCATGCACTAGTTAGTGCATGCTTGGTGGGCGCTAGCTAGAGCGTGTTTGCAAACATGCTCGCAGATAGAGCATACAATGTACGCTTTTCGATTTTTAGTGATTTGGAACGTGCTCATACTACAAACCTAACTATCTTCTTCATACACACTAAATACGTACTTGCAAGCTCACACTTACAAATGCATGCTTGAAAAGTACACACAAATGCCTTTACTAAGCATGCAGTTGCTCAGTGTATTCTTGGGCAAGTATGCATTTGTAAATGTGCACTTGCAAGTATTCATTTGTTGGTCAGTACCAAGTAGTCAGTTCAGTTTGCAGTGTACCTCTACTTAATCTTCTTTGCGCTTCTACAGTGTATGGACCAAGCTTGCCACCCTCATTCTTGAAACCCCTGCGACCGGAAGAGTCTCCGAAGCGCGAAGAGCCATCGGTGGTCCAATTTAAAACCCCGCTGGCCACACCGCTTAAGATTCCCCCGAAGACGCCGACGAAAACCATCACTGACAAGGAGTTTATTGGTGTATCTGACGTCACCACGAAGTGCACAGATGAAGCTGTACCGCAACCTAGAGGTAGCTGCGCGCGTAGATTTCATTGCATCGCTACTTTTCCTGCGTAATTACTTTTGAGAAAAATGGAAGGATAGTCGCGTTGTGCAGGCCCCGGAAGTCAGGCGCTCTCTCTAAATTCAGTACTGCACACAGCATGCTTCAGGATGAAGCACGTCTTGCACGCTCCTCCTGAGCATGCCTGGCGGAACACACTCCGACCTGGAGCATACCTCGCATTGTATACTCCAAATGGCGCATACCTGCACATTTACTGTTGTTGAAGTTCCCTTTCCGAAGCATGTCTCGCGTATATCAGCGTTTGCTAGTGTGCACCATCTGCTGTTCGTATGCCAAGCATGCTCGATGCTCATGTACATGCAGGCATGCTTCAACATGCAGATTGTTCAATGCATTCCCAAGTGTCAAGATTAGAAAACGAAAAACGAGTTTCGGTGTGAACTGTTTCCCGTCATGTGTCAAAATGGCGTCCGTTTGGGTCCGTTACGCGAGGCAGTACTTCGAAACCAAACATTACGGAGCAGTGGTTTGAATACTAAACGTTAATCAAGGTGAAAGCGCACTGCAGGTAAACACTTCTGTTTTCAGTGTACGGACCACATTTGCCCCCCTCCCATCGTGTACCGCCTCAGCCTGAAGAATCTGCTCCGTGTCGTGAGCGGGTGGTTTTCCATGCCAAGCATCCAGTGTCAACGAAGACGCCCAGCAGCAATGTCCATGGTGGTGCTGCAGGAAGTACTGACCCGGTGATGTGGCGTGGACCAGCAGGTATGGGACTTTGCAAACCCGTCGGTAAGATAGGTTCCTTGCCACTCCAGCCACTGGCGCTCCGATGTGAGTGCCAAGTTTGGCCCTCCGGCCCCGGGATCGCCCTCTGATGACGCCGAAATTTGGCGGGCCAGGCCGCGGGAATGCCAAATTTGCGCAGTATCAGAGGGTGCTCCGGGGCAAGAAGATCAAATTTTGCCATTGTAGACGGGGTGCCAATCGATTGGCAAGGAATTTTACCATTGGATTGGAAGTTCAGCTCGAATACACTTCTTTATATTTTCTCATTCTTGTAACAATGAACTCCGAGATGAGAAGCTTATGTGATAGGTGTTTACTCTGAAGTTTTACAAATCAGAGCCGTAAATTTACCGAACTTTGAGAAGTTGTCCGGCTGTCTTATACAAGCCCACTGCCGTACCTTTCCTAAAGAGTACTTCTCATGCACCCATTTGGTCTGTGTAAAGCAAGGGGGTACTCACTCTGGTATTAGTCGGTTGTCCGCTATGTAATTGATCTGTAATAGATTGTAATGTAATTGGTAATAAGGGCAGCAAGGAGGAATAATAAGTGGCAATTTCGTTTCTTTTTAGACCATTGTTGCCTTTGGAACTCTTTGTAAAGTTTTTCGGTTCTGATAGATTAACATCACGCATACAAAACCTGCACCCAATAAAAGGGACGCATCACCGCATTCTTTTAAAAATTAAAATAGCCCGAAATGGCCAAAAATGCTTGTTTTACGCCTAAAAATTCCAGCTCTGTAGTGTAATAGGTGTAATTGGTGTAATACTTCCGGAAACGTAATAGTCGGTTGACCATTTTCGAGAGTGAATACCCCCTTGGTGTAAAGCTGTGTTGAAGCCTTTCAGTGCTGATGATCACGTACAAACATGGGCCTCTCAAAGAAATTTGTTATAGTTTAGTGGTCTGAGTAGTTCCTTTCACATGTTCCAAAGCTTTCATAAGTTTTTTTTTACCGATTTAATCTTGAATTTTGCAGTGTACGGGCCGAAGCTGCCCCCGCCAGCGTCTGCGCTTCCTCCCCCTCCCTTCGCCTTCCCCATCCACCTCCCGCTGCCGCCCCCTGCTGTGGAACTAGCAGTGGGCCGGACAGCCCAACTCCCAGTGCAGGTGTCCACGGAGAGGCAGACGAGTACGGCTGCAGCCACGAGTGTAGTGTCAGGCGGCACCGCGAGGAAGAGCACAGGTAGGGATGAATTGGCGCTTTTGGAAAGAGCTGCAGCTAGCCATTAATGAATTTTAAGGGGAGGTTCTACTGAAAATCTTACTTTCTTCAAATTGAGTCCCATTATCAATATTCATTGTAAATTTAAAGTATTTCATAGTAAATAGTTAAATTTGAAGTTTGGAGAGCAATACCTAGCCCCCAACCCAGTCGAAGAGGAATTTTCTGCTATTTCCAGTCGTAACTTGAAAAATTCTCCTACGCAAAGTATTTCAACGTAAACTGATGTTCTGGGCATTTTTCACTTCTTTGGTTCATAATTGATAAACCGTGGCATTAGTAAGATACTGGGACCATTACAAAACCATAAGCTGTGTTTTTAAGACAGCATGTCAATAAAATTTCAAGAAAATGTTAAAATTTCTGATATTTTAGTGACTTTTTTTCTGAAAAGCAACGACAAAATAAATTTGTTGGGTCCCATGTCTTGGTGATGCCACGCTTTATTGCATATGAGCCAAAGAAGTGAAAAATGTCCAGAACATCAGTTTACGTTGAAATGCTTTGCGTAGGAGAATTTTTTAAGATATTGCTACAATAGGCTGAAAAAACCTCTTTGACTGGATTTGGAGGGAGGTATTGGGCTCTAAACTTCATGTTTGACCACTAACTATGTATTACTATACATCTGCAACAAATTTTTACACTGGGTCTCAATTTGAAAAATGCAATATTTTCAGTAGAACCTCCCCTTAAACAAAAAATGAACTTGCCTGTGGTTCTAGAGCTGAAGGAAATTAGCTCTTGGGTCCACTCAAAATTGTCTCTCTCGCTTTGTCATGACGCATGGGAAACTCAAAATTTTCAATGCACCATGTGCTGTGCAAATTTCGGTTGCATTTTTGCAAGCACAAGCCAAACTCGGACCAATCGTGTGCCTACTGCGGACTCTAATATGCTTTATCCTCTTTCTCTCAGATGCCCTGTCCGCCACGGCTGGTCTGAAACTAGCAGTGGGCATGCCTACCGCAGTGTCACTGTCACTGTCCCCAGCTGGGCGGCCACAGGCAGGAACCGCTTCCTCCACAGCCGCTGCAAGTAGTCTGTCGTTCGCCGCGGCTCGCGCAGTGCCAGCAGTGCCGGCCGCGGTGGGCTACCCCCGCTACTTGTACGAGGGGCTCAGATTCGACCAGCGTCGTGCGCCTTCGCAGTCAGGTAGTTACTTTGCTGACACTTACTTCTGTTAATGTGCAGGCATCTGATCCGGAAAGGGGGCCCCGCTCTCTCGGTCTCATGTGGACTATTTATTCTCTTGCTATTAAGTTTTTTGAGCAGACGTAAAATGTACTATTTTCTCTATGCACAATTTTTATCGTTTTTAAGATAAACTTGTCAATAGATCATACAGAAATAAAAAAGTATGTTGCAACTGACAAAAAGTCAGGTTCAGTGGACCAAATACATATCTTACAAAATGAACAAAAACGTGCAAAGCTGAAGTGAAAACTTTTTGGCGACACTCTCATTCCAGGAGCGTGACATCACGTTGAAACGAACGTGACAAAGTGTGAACATTGTGTCACATTCGTTTGGATGTGAATCGGCCGAAAACTAGCTTGTTCACATGCAAACGCATGCGACACAATGCTCAAACGAACGTGACATTTTGTCACGTTCGTTTCAACGTGATGTCACGCTCCTGGAATGAGAGTGGAGAGATAAAAAGTCATAATGAGTCAGAGAGTGTGGGATGAAGCCCTTATGTTGCTGTTGAACTTACTGTTAAATTACTTCTTACCTTTGTCTGAAATTTCAGAAAAAAAATTTCAACATTTTATTGTTGCTTAGGTGGCACATCCATTTGGGCAAAATTGTACATTTCCCTGGGGGGAATAAAATTGTGCGGCTGACAAGTTCTTGTGGCTACTGCAGCAATCAATGCGATTGCCTGCTCCCAGTTAATCCTGACTTCAACTTGACACTGACCATGAGACTGGTTTCTAACACTGAGTTTTTACTTATAATTTTGAGCTCTTTTCTCCTCAAATGCTCTGGTTAAACTTACGTGAAACTCTATGCTTGAGTCAAGCATAAAGTTACGCTTGGAGATGTTGCGGTCCTAATGAAGCCTAGACTAGAAATTCCCCCATGCATTTAAGATAGGGGAATCTTGGAGGATGATCCTGTTACTCTTGGTTTCAAGCATAAACTGATTACGCTTGAAAACAGTGGGTCATACCTGCGCTTTGATTTTACCAGTGTGGAAGTTAAAAATTTGCACCGACATGTGTGGTGTACACTGCTCTGTTGTCACTTACCTGGTGCCTCCCTTTTCAGCCGCGACCGCTGCTGGTGTGGGCGTCGAAGCAGGCTCGCAGTTCGGCCCCAAGCTGCCCCCGCCCGCCTCGGCCCTCCCTGCCCCTCCCTTCGCCTTCCCCCTCCACCTGCCGCCGCCCCCCGCGGCCGTGCCCATCGACGCCAGCTGCAGGTTCAACCCGCGGAAGCGCCCGGCGCAGGAGGACGACGGCGCCCCCAAGGGGAAGCAGGTGAGAGCCTCGGTGAGAGCCGACGCACAGTGGACCCAGACACGGAAAAAAACGGATTAGCTGTGGCAGATAACATGTTGGCTGTTAATTCTTCAGCTCATTGTTGGAGCTAAGGCATCGGAAAAGGGTTGGAGATGCCTGCTTGAGATATCTTTGACTGCCGCAGAGTGTGTCATCAGTTGTCAGAGCTAACGCCAGTGTGCCCAAAATGTGTTTAGTTAATAAATGGAAAAAAGATTTTTGTGGAAATAATTCGTTTTAATTTGTTCACAATATATAAACCAATAGCATAGGACACTTATAAGAAAACACTCACAAAAATTGTTAATAAATAATAACGCATTTTCAGCTCCTGAGTCCCATTTAGCGACTCAGGAGCTGAAAACACGTCCAGAGTTTTGGCCGCCTCCACCAGTCTTCTGGCCCACTGTGCCACATGCATTTCTGTGTGTTAGTGGGGAAGCACTGTCTACGAAAGAGTCTTGATCAATTGCACTTTTTTAGCGAGGCATACACTTTTTCTTAAATTGCTATTTCTGACAATTGAACCTTCATAAAGATGCAAGGACCCTATTTTGAATTTTCTGCCTTAGTGTCCTTGAAATCTTTGAGAGTTCTGCAGAAATCATACTGTCCTGATAGTGGGTCTGACTATCAAAATTTATATCAAATATTAGTAAACCGTTATGTTTGGAAATCAATGAGAAGGTTCAAATCTAGTTCAAGAGGAATTTTATGTCAGTTGCCGTCGCATCTCTTTCATGTCTCCTACGCTTTGTAGTTCAATGTTACTCTGCTGTGGGCATTTTTCTCTTCCTCGATCAAAACTTAATAAACCATTGGCATAAGACACTAAGACCATTACATGTTCATGATCAGTGTTTTAAAGACAGAATGTCAGAATTCAAAATTTCAAGAAAATTTTGAAAACCCTAATAGTTTTGTGATACAATTTTGAAAACAATGTCAATCGTTAATGTTTTGTGTTCTCTGTTGTGCTTATCCCATGGTTTGTTCTGTATGAGGTATATGAGACAAGGTGGAAAAAATGTCCAGACCATCAATTTACATTTGAATACTTTAAAATCACTGAATCAAGTTATAATTGTAGATGGTGTCCCCTGAGTGACAGGACCGTGGAAGCCACTGCTTCAATTAAGACACTCATGTATTTGGTTCCAGGCACCTAGCTCAAAAAGAAATCCGAGGATTTCGTCCGATATTGAAGTATTAAAGAAGAGGATTGTGCAGCACTTAAAGCTGGATGGAAAACGGTAAGAGTTGGTTACGCATCTGCAGTTGCGATAATCAGACTTAATTGCAGCCAGGAGAAAGCACCGCTTTCTCGGAGAGTGCCAATTTTATTCCCAGCTTTAATTTTGGCATTAATCTTATTATTGGTTTATTATAATATGATTGTACTTATTATCCAAAGCATGCATATTTATTTGATAGATCTTCATAGTATATTGTGTAATTTAACTTCTAAACTGATTGTGAAGTTTCCCCTACATCTTTCTGTATTGCGGAATGCCCCTGATGAAAGTTTAAACTCACAAGTACTAATTGTAAATGATTTTCTCAAAATTCCGATAGATTTGAAATTGTTAATCTGCAACTTGTATTTTACATGTTGATGGTTCAAGTGCTTCAATTACCCAACAGCATTAATTGTTTCATGTTTATGCTTGTTTATGCATTATTATAGATGTAAAATAAAGTGTTCCTTAGTTTTGTAAGGATTACCAATGTCACCCTGTGCACTCCACGGGACCCAGTTGCTCCGTCAAAGTGTCTTGGTTGTTGTCTATGTTTGGTACATTATCAGACACTTTCGTAAGAATTCGAAGCATTTTTTGCCGACTCATTTTAGGTTGTATTGTATTTTGACAACTCGTCACACTTTGACCAGAGCATTGCTCAAGGCATCAATTGTTGGTAAGGATGCTTCAAGTTTGTACATGGGTATTTTTGGTTTCTGTTTTCTTTATTAAAACTCCTCCCTCTCAAAGTTTGAGGCCGCTGTGTTTTGGAGCAGGACTCTACTTCAACTTTCACTTCTTTCCAAATTTGCCTATCAATAAAGGATGTAGTACCGTAGTACCCACCCAACCCAGCCTCTGACTTTCCTCCTACCCCCAATCCCAGCTCCGGTTAGCTCGGTCTACCTCTCCTGCCCCCAGTTCTCCAGCCCCCAGCTACCCCCAGCCAGCTGAGCGGTATGGATGTTGGGGGGAGGCGATCCCCCCTCCCCCCTCATCCTGCCGCCCGCCTGGCTGCCTGCCAGCCTGCCTTGCCGCCACCCCGCCTGCTTGCGCCGGGGCCCGCCGACCGCCCGCCAGCCAGCCAGCCAGCCGCTAGGCCAGGGCCTGGCCTGGCCGCCAGGCAGGCAGGCAGTGTTGTTGTGACTTGTCCAGAGTGCAGTCGTGTGTCGTGTCGAGGCTCAGCCACCCGCACAGCGCCGCCGTGACGACGACGTGACGACTTACATCGCTTTGGATTGGATTGCCCGTCAGAGGTGAGCGGTGAACCGTGAAAGGGGGTGCGTCCCCCTGGAGCAAGGTGTGCACGCGCCAGGGCTGGGGCTCGCGGTAACAAAGGAGCGCCCACGGCGGCACCTTGGGGCACCTTGGGGCACCCAGCGTGCGGCCTCAGAGTCCAGAGGCGCCTTCTGTTGTGCGACACAAAGGTGCGGTTGGGTTTTGCAATTGAGTGCGCGACTGCAGTCTTTTGCTTTTGCCGTGGCTGTGATTAGTCGTGTGTTGTGCGTCTGTGCTTCCTCATTGCGCATCCGTCGCTCTGTCACGTCGCCGACGCACAGTGGGCCAGAACCCCAAACGCGTTTTGAGCTCCAGTGTCGCTAAATGGGACTCGAACCGAGCGTGTGACCCCACCAATGGATTCCTCGTTCGGAGAGCAATCCAATGGTGGGGTCACACGTTCGGTTTGAACCCATTCAGCGACTGGAGCTCAAAACGCGTCTAGAGTTTAGACCGCCTCCACCGGTCTTCTGGCCCACTGTGCGTCGCACTCACCAAGGCGCTCCGCAGGGGTGCGAGAGAGACAGCGACGCAACGGGGATCGGAACCAAACTGCACAGGGAGCCTGGATCGGCCTGGACCCGTGCCGTTGCTTTTCACGCAAGCTTTCCCGCGTCGCGAACACTCAGTGGTGACTTCAGAGGTTCTATTTACCACCCTCGCGCGGCTGGAGTTTGGTGAGATCGGTGCTGGGAAAGTGCGAAAAAATAGAGAGGAGCGAGGTCTGAGAGTTGACCGGATCATGTCCTGCGTAGCAGCGGTACGAGGGCGAGAGGACCGGCCGGTCTCTCCGAGAATTTTCAGTTCGCCCAATTTCCCGGGAAAAGGACAGGGGGCGGCTGTAAGCACTGTGCAAGTGACGTCGTACAGTGGGCCAGAAGACCAGCGCAGGCGGCCGGAACTCTAGACGCGTTTTGAGCTCCAGAGTCGCAAAACGGGACTCTAACCGAACGTGTGACCACACCAATGGATTGCTCTCCGATCGAGGAATCCATTGGGGGAATCCAGGTCGGGCCCCATTTAGCCACTCTGGAGCTCTAAAAGCGTCCGAGATTTTGGCCGCCTCCACCGGTCTTCTGGCCCACTGTGCGACGTGGGGAGCACGGCACAGTCGCAGATCCAGAGAGGGGGGGTAAAAAGACAGTTGACCTCCACCTTGGCCTCCGACAGCCATGATTTTCCCCTGCAAGTGCTACCCTTCGTTCCTCCCTCTGACCGACGCTGGATCCGCCACCGGCTCGGCAGGGCGTAACGGCAGCGGGCGCCGTTGGACTCAAAAGTTCCAATCGCAGACGCCCAAGGTCGAGCCGTGAAGGAAGAGTGACCCTCCCAGGGACGAGGTGGGAAAGGGTTCACGGCGCCGCGTCAGCAAGTCGCGGCGATAGCGCGTCTCGCTGGCATCCGCAGTACGCAGCCGTCTGATTCCGAACATTGCTTCGTCACTCTGTCTCTCTCGCACCCATACGGACCGCCCCATGAGTGCGAGAGAGACAGAGTGACGAAAGCAGTGCTCGGAATCAGACGGCAGCGCCGCGCAGCGCACAGTGGGCCAGAAGACCGGTGGAGGCGGACAGAATCCCGGACGCGTTTTGAGCACCTAAGTCGCGAAGCGGAGCTCGAACCGAACGTGTGACCCCACCAATGGATTCCTCGTTCGGAGAGCAATCCATTGATGGGGTCACACGTTCGGTTCCAGGCCCGTTTAGCGACTCTGGAGCTCAAAACGCGTCTTGAGTTTTGTCCGCCTCCACCGGTCTTCTGGCCCACTGTGCGCAGTGCCGGGCGGGAGCAATGGGACACTGTTTACATTTCACGCGGGGCGGCGGCCCGAGGCTGCACACTGATTCCGAGAGTCGTTTTGCGTCGCTGCCTCTCTCGCACTCATGGGGCGTCCCGTGCAGGTGCGAGAGAGACAGAGCGACGAAAACGACTCTCGGAATGAGTGTCCTGGCGCGGCACGCTTGGTGGCCGGCGGCGGTGAGAGCACTCCAGAGAATTTATTTCCGGTTCTAAAATGAAGGGACTGCGGCGCGTGCAAACCCGAGTTCACTCGTTGGACTCCGTTGGACTCCCGAACTTGGACTTGAACTTGAACTTCGGTGCGGCCGGCACTCCGTGTGCACCCGGTGGCTTTGCGGAGAGAGAGAGAGAGAGAGAGATAGAGAAGAGGGAAGGGGGAGGGGAAAAAGGTGTGAGGGGCCCTCGCCACGCCACGCCATCTCTTCGCTTGACTCACTCCGGGCGACCTAGTATTTACTTTACAGCAAAATTGCTGCAGGTTTTTGGAGAAACCTCACCCTCCCCGTGCCTCTGCAGGCGTAACGGTACCGTAACAGTGTCCACAGCATCAGACGCGCTCGTGCGCCCTGTCTTTCGCGGGAGAGGGAGCGAGACGGAGCGAACACATGCGTTGCCGGGGCCCCGCCGCCCTGCAGCTTTTGTTTCCTCGCAGGGGATTGATTCCGAGAGTCGTTTTCGTCACGCCGTCTCTCTCGCACCTACACGTATGTATGCGGGGTGCTCCATGAGTGCGAGAGAGACAGAGCGACGAAAACGACTCTCGGATTCAGTTGGCTGCCTTGCCCTACCTTGCCCGAAGGAGCGTCGAAGGGCACGGTTTGACCTTCGGCTGAGTTCGGCAAGGGCACCAGCGAAAGGAAAAGGAGAGTGCCTTTAGAATACATAGAGGGATATCTCCCAGCAAAACCACGGATCCGTGGTAAAACAGGCCGCGCTGTCAAGGGCCGCGGCATTGGACACGATCGGGTGTTTCCGTCGTCACTTCGGGTCCCCCGACGCGCCCCCGGCCCGAAGGAGGCTCTCCAGCTACGCGCTGCCACTTCTCCCGCGAGCTCGCCGAGTCCCGAGTCTTGAAGTCCGCCCCCCTCCCTTTTCCCCCCAAACCAACTATTTAGAGCCCTATCGCCCTCTCTCTCTCTCGCTCTTCTTGGTGCAGGGCAGGGGCACTACATTTCTACGTTTCGTGCCAATAGTTGTGCGGATCTACAGCTTGAAGTCCTGTCGTTGTTCAGACCTCACCGCCGCCGCAGCGCCGTGTCTGTCTTCATCGTTTTGGATAGCCTACCAGAGGTGAGCAACACGAATCGCACAATCACTGCACTCCCTGTCCAATGCAAGATTTTGTGCCTAATTAGCATAAAGAGAGGCTTGTTATTTACTCTCAACAATTTTTTCATTTTATTGCATGTCTTCACTTTGCTGACTGAAGTTCTTGCTTGGAAACTGCAACCTAACCCTCTTTATGATATTGTTGCATCTAATCCCTCATAAGCCAAGGACAAAAAGGGTGAGAGTGAATGCACTAATTGATCGAGGTAGCGGAAGACATATATCTTGACTCATCTCCAATTTGAGTTTTTATTTTATTATTGTGCCCAAGATTGGTTTACATAATAGCCTAAAATTTTTTTCACTCTAATGCAGTCTAACAGAAAATCCACATGGGTAAAGAGTAACTCAATTTGATCTCTGCTGTGGTCAAAATTTCAGTAGAAAATGGATATAACTCTACCAAAGTCCTTACGACTCCGTAATATATTAGCAAAAGGAGATAACTCAATTTATATTTTTATAAGCCTTATGCTGAAAGAGTCAACCCAACTTCTTATTCTAGAAAAAAGAAAACTTCAAAAAGTTACGTAGACCCCAACTCCTCTTTCGTTGTTTCCAAGTTCCACTTCGTGTTTGAGTACTTAGTCAACATAATTCCGTAGTCTATTTTAACGTAAAGATTCAAAAATGTATAACACCATTGTCTAAAACCATTGTGGCTGCAGGATTGTTCCTTGGTTTCTACTTCTTCACTAAAACCTGAACTTAATTCCAAAGCCATAGCCTTCAATTCCCTTAAGTTTCTGAGTCACGAGATTAAAGTCCTTATGTTGCACATTTTGTCGTTTCTTCCACAGAGTCCTCACAAATACAGAAGAAGTTTCCAGGCTTCAGCTCCTGTAAAATGTATTCTAAACATACTAAAATGTAAGCATAGGCTGTTTACAAAATCCCTGTTACATTTTTAACTTGAGACAGGAGTTGTTAAAAATATTGCTAGAAACCATGTTTACCACCTTAAAAATTGATGCATATTGAATTTTCTATGGTGAAGAAACTATTGTCCGATTATTGCATGAAGCATGTGGTATCTTATTTATATATCCTTTACAGTTGCTTTTTCAAGAGCTGAAGGCTGGAAATGTTTTTGATCTTTGTGAGGAAACTTTTCGAGAAACGACTAAATTTGCTACATAAACCTCATCAACACTGAAACAATTAGGAGTCGGGAGCCTTTATTTTAGGCTTAAAGGGGGACCCTGGTGAAACTTTCAAGTAGGCTTTAAAATAATCCCAGGATGTTGAAACTTTGCTTTATTATTAGGTTCATTATGGTGAGTTCCCAAAACAAAATTCAATCCAAAATGTTGAACTGTCTCTGAGAAAAGTGGCTTTTTAGTGTTTTTAGAGCATTGGGGAAAAATCTTCCTGCGTCTTTCATTGGGACGGAAAGCCTTGAAACTTTTAGGTGTTTGTAAAAAAAAGTGGGGCTGATATTAAGATTACGTCACTAAAATTTGTTGACAAGTCATCAATGTATAGAGTCCATGCAAGACGACTCATGCAGGTGTCAACCAGGAACGCAGGAAGTCTTTCTACGACAAAATTTTTTGTCGACTGAGCGAAGTTGTGAATTTGAGCGTACAAGTCAACGACAACTGATCTGAATGTTTCTTTCCAAATGATAAAGAAACTATCCACTTAGCTTAAAGGTGTTCAACCTGTTGAATCTGAAACCTTCTATGCACATATTTATCTATGAACTTTAAAAATACTATTTTTCGCAACTTTGGCCACTTTTGTACCAGGGTCCCCCCTTCAGTTCATCTTGTAGGGAGCAACTTCAAACCAAAAAGCAAAACTGCTGGCACAAATTTTTCTAGAAATTTTAGCTTTTAGTACCTTTAGCCCCAAAATGTTCTTCCACTTTTGGAAATTTACGGAGTTATTACTCCTGCCTTGTGGGATGATATCCATCTGCATCACTTTAGTGTTTAACAATATCTCTTTCTCTGCAATCAGTTTTTGTTTCGAATGATAAAACTGGAGTTATCTGCTCTTCCAACTCCTAGATCCAAGTGAAAGGAAAGTGAGTTTGTTCTCGAGAGGTGTGCCAACCCAAAATGGAAATTTGTTTTCCCTTCCAGCAGAGAGAGTGAAAGAAGGGTCGCGATTCCGACGTTACGCCAAGATGTGTCACCTTTGCTTCAACTTTTGCGAAATGAAGCGTTTTCTGATATTCCGAGGGGCTTTTTCAAGGAGTAGCTAGCTAACGTTTCAATTCGATGTGATGCACTCCGATTCGATATGGCAAGTCATTTGCCAAAACCTCACGCACTTGGACGAAACTTGCAAAATTTTTGTCATTTTTATCTGTTGAAACTGAAATGGTGGAAGCACTGTGACTGTAATGGAATTTGAGGTCACTTCACACATTAGAAATTCACTTCATATGAATAATTTTATATTGTTAGAAAAAAGTTGAGGCAAAGTAGAGATTGTTTGACTTAGCTCGTTTCTTTTCCTCAGCCATGTGGTCGTCCTACCCCATGCGCAAGACGAAGCGCGACCAGGTGGACGTGCGCCACCAGCGCGCCATGGACATCGCGGACCAGGACGTGACGGTGGTCAGCGCGACGCAGTGGCAGGTCAACAGTCAAGGAGGCGCGGGCCGGGGCGCCTACAACATCTACCTCGAGAACGCCAGCTGCCCGAGGGGCTCTTGCAGAGAAACGCAAAAGTGAGTATTTCCACGAGGCCGCTGTCAAACAAATTTGCGAAGGGGTGAATCACTAGTGTGCACTCTTAAAAGCCTACAAAGCATTTGCTTCATAACTACAAAGAAAATGCAGGCATTGTAGAATTGCTTCGTATTACGAAGAAATGCTTCGTAATACGAAGGATTTTGCTTCATAATACGAAGCATTTCTTTGCAGGTTTTACAATGCCTTCATTTTCTTCGTATTACGAAGCGACTCTTTGTAGACTTTTTACTGTGTGTACGAATTGACCCGTACTCAATGTTCTCACAAGTTTAGAAGTAGCAAATTTCGCTAGTATTTTGCACGATTTGGCGTTGTGTAAGAAAGCCTACAAACGTTTAAAAAGTGTGAAATTTTTTAGTTTCGTAAGATGAACACACCCGTACTTATGTACCCATGTGTACACTAGAACACTGTGTGATGCACTCCTCGCAAATTTGGTACTTACAAAAGGTTTCTTGGGGGTAAAGTGATGGGATGTGTGAGTTATTTGTGCTATTTTGTCTTATAGAATTCTTGGATTGTTTCATAGTGTGCTGTACACCACACAATTTTGCCCGTAACTTATTTCAAATCGAGCTTTTATTCCACTGCCACCATAAAATGTGCAAGAAAGATTTCAGATTCATAGCTTTCAACCTTAATGTTTGGTCACTAATTTCTTAATCATTTGGAAAGAACATAACTCACAGTTTGGTTGTTACAATAGCTAATACTCTTACGATCACTGCTATATCAAATCAACAAAAAAATGTAGTCCCAGAAAGACTTTCTGTTCCGAGCAAAGATCTACATGAGTCGTCTCACTAGGAATTTATTGTTTCACGTTTTGTGGAACTTTCAATAAGATTCCCTCGACATCAAGTATACTTTTGTGTATGGGCACAAAAAAGTTGAAATTAAAGACAAGGATATGTTTTTTGAAAATTTCCTAACTAAAATTTGTACTGCACCTCTATAAAAGTAACCACAAAATTTTTGAAGTCTTTCCATTTTAGTGGAAACGCACGAAACGCTAAAATGTGACCTCCCCAAATATCAAGTTAATTTTTTAAGCTGAATTTCTTTTTAAGAACCTACCTCAATAAATGGCTGAGTTTTCAACATTTGGGGGTTTTTACAAGTATACTTGCAAGTTTTGCCAGGGTCCCCCTCTTAAGGGTATCATGTGCTTTGTTGTTTTCCTAGTTTGTTTATTTTGTTATTTTTTGTGTGTTTGTAAACTCACGTCTTCGTTTCTTTCTGGTAACTTCTTACAGGTGTTACGCTTCGGGATGCGGGGGCTTATGTGAACACATGTATCGGTGCACGTGCCCCGACAACAATACCATGTGTAAGCACGTCCACAAGGTGCGAATCATGAGCGTCCGTTCCACCCAGACCGCCGACCAGCGGGCAGCCACGTCGAGGGAGGACCAGCGCTGGCGGAAGGAAGTCGACGTAGATCGCGAGGTACTTATTAACTTTTGGTCGAAAATTTGGTCTGTGTTTCTCAGTTTAGGTCAAACTGTTAAGTTTGGAGGCACATTCTCGCATTGTTAGGTGTCAAGACATGTCAAGACATTTATTTCTCTCTTTTGGCTTTCATTTTTAAATACACTCCATGTGCAGTCTTTTTTTATTGTTTAGTTTGATCCAAGTATCTGCCACTTCTTTTATTCATGTTTGAAAGATTCCGCCTTGTTCAACAGAATAAGTAGGTTCACTACATAATCATTTAAAAAATTTGTTTGCTGGAATGTCACTAATAAGTCCAGATTGTGTGAATTTGATGTTGTAGTGTTTTGGCATTCTAACCTGCGAAACACGAGAATTCTATTCTTACAGGTTAATTGTGTTTAACATAGTAGAAAGATTTTAAAATGGAGTAAAGAAGCGCAACCTTTCTCGTCAAAAAAGTGTGCGCCTGGAGTTTTAGAAAATTGTCGAAGTCTGGAATCAATTGACTTGGTTTGGGTTTGAAGGTAGCATTTGCCAGCAAATTTGTGTTTTCTCCCTTGAAATATGTTCTTTGTCTTCATATTTCCAACTCATTGGCATAGTGAAATCTGTCTTCAGGACAGTAAAATTTCACCAGTACTTTCCACTTTCCCTTCAAACGGGGTTGCAGGCCTCTAAAATTTGAAGGGTCGCAATATTTTGTCGAGCAGCTATTAATTATCCATTGACTACGCATTTCAGTTCTGTTTTCACCTACTGAACGAAAGCTTCGACTAATAAATGTTCTTTACACGTTTCAGGTGCGAAGGGTGCGGTCTATCCTCGGTGAGATCCGCTGCTACCTGGACAGGTACGAGTCCGACGCGCTTCAGGGAGTCATCGGGGAAGCAGCCGAGGAGCTGGCCGGCATTTCCGCCAAGATCTTCTGCCACTGCGAGGACTACGAAAGGCGGGAGGAGTACGGCGAAGAGGAGGAGGAGGAGGTGGAAGAAGAGGAAGCCGAGGAGGGTGATGCCGAGGAGGGTGATGACGACGAAGGCGATGACCATGGTGATGGTGAAGACGTCAACGGCGATGCTGATGACCATGGTGACGGCGGTGATGCCGTCAACGGAGACGGCGAAGTCCAAGTTGACGGCGAAGGCTACATGATGGACCCTGGCGATGGCTACTATGTCTATGACGACGGCGATGTCCTGGATGACGGTGGAGAAGGGCGCGTGTTTGACGACATTGTTTAGAATCGCGCTGAAGTTTGATTTATGGATAATATTACTGTCCCTTTCGGACTTGACTGTTACTGTGTCACTTTTTACTATTTTATTTTATTTGGAAATAAAAATGTCCTACGTAATTGTACTTATTCTGTTTCTGAAGTTATCTTATCCCGGCTGTGTATGGTCAACCCTGAGGATGTTTCCTATTCACTTGTGATACAAAACTTTTGAAGTTCACATTTGCCATTCTCTTATAAGTACATTTTTAGTTCTATTAGCCCCTTAAAAATGTTACGTGTAAGATTTAACTTTTTTTTCAACCTTTACTTGAAGTCAGCAGCTTCCGTTAACTTGTCACGGACGTTTGGTGATTTTTTTTTCTTCAAAAGCGCCTCAGGTTCAAAAACCATTGTAGTTTGAGTGGACAAGGATTTTCCCCGCCGTTGCAACGCGTTGTCAGGCAATGGCCCAGGGAGTTGGTACCTTGGCGACGGGGTGCGCATTGTTTCCGGACGCTTTGCGGCGCGCGTTGGATGGGTCGGCAACATCGGGCAAGGTATGCTTTCCATTGGAGCTGCACTTAGCATGTTGAGTTAAGGTTTTTGGAAAGTAAAGGGGGCATTCCAGACCCAATTAGCAGGCTGCGTAGGTGACCACTGCCGATTTCGTTCCTTTTGTGGTCAAATGTTACCTACCACTAGAGTAAGATGACCCTAAATTTTTAAGGTCGAAATATGAATACTTCAGGAGATATCGCAATTTGAAATTTTCTCTGAAATTTCTTTTAGTGGTTCTGAACAAAGTGTCAACTTTTGCGCGAATCCCTCCTGCTTCTTAAATTTTCGACTCAGAAGGTCGAGATCACTGCTCCTTACGTAAAATTCATCAAGGAATCAGAATCCGTCGCCAAAAAGCACCTACGATCGAGTTTAGAGGTCAAAAAGTGGCCTCAAACACAAAATTTTGTTATTTTTGTGCCTAATTTCAAGGCAAAAATGTAAAGGGAAGCGGGTCTAAACATAAACTTCCCAATAGTGGAAAATGTTACTTTAGACTCCCTCTAAACAGCTGCGGCTCGAAAAAGATGGTTATAGGTCAGGATCAGGCAACACAGCCTGAAAATTAGAGGGCGAATTTCAGTGAATTTAATAAATTATGTTAGCAGTAGGGTGCGTCGATATAGACGACTTTTTGACTACGACTCTTGGTAAGCGCTCTATGTTGATGATTTTTTGGTGCTGATTCCAAAACTGACGTCGGTACTACGATAGGACAACTTCTTCATGCCCCTATAGGGTGTTAAGTGCCAAAAAACGCAGAGTTTCAAGAGTTTTTCTAGGTTTTTGGTCCCGCACACCATCCCAAACTGTCGGGGCGACTGTTGCATGGTCTGTTGGACATCACGTCCACAAAAGACAACTCTTGCAGTGTGGCCGGACTATCGGACACCTTCCATGTGAGTTCCAGACGTCAATTTTTATGCTATTCTTACTAATGTCTTCGTTAATTTGCCTGTTTTTAAATGACAAAGTATTTTAGCGGGGGGGGGGGGGGTCAGCACACTGAAAATCAAATAGTGATACATCTCACTCTCTGAGGGGTGAGACATAACTGTCTCGGCCCGGAAAAGGGTGATACTCAAATGTATCAACGAAGAAATGATCGCGTACACGCATGTATTACCGAAAAAAAAGGTCGTACACAAATGTATCACCGGAAATAAGGTCGTACACAAATGTATCACCGGAAATAAGGTCGTACACAAATGTATCACCGAAAAAAGGTTGATACTTCCCCAGGAAAACAAGGGCCAACTCGCCTTTTCTCACCTTTTTTTTCGGTGATAAATTTGTGTACGACCTTTTTTTCGGTGATACATGCGTGTACGACCATTTTTTCGGTGATACATTTTAGTATCACCCTTTTTCGGTGATACATTTTGTTCCGCCAAAAATTGGTGCGATGTTTCACCCTTTGAATTACAGTGGCAGAAATTCCCCGAAAGGCCCCAGCCGCTCTTGCTGCGCGCCAGGTGATAACTATATGGGCCTGCATTGGGCCTGCAGGTCTTACGTTAGCTTGGAAAGGTGTTTCTACTCCTTTAAGAAACTCCCTCATACTTTTAAATACAGCATTCTAGTCGTTGGCGATTGAAAAACGAAAAGAAGAACAAAACCGGAAGGCGGGAAGGAAGAAAGTACAAGGCGAGCCCGGTTTCAAGGAGAAATATCGACAAATATCCTCAATTCCTGGGTTAAAAAGTATTTGAAACAGACGAAAGTGCATTGGAGAATATACGCCTCGGACATCTCTAAATCCAGTCCAATAGCAGGAGTCTGCAAAGTTTGTTGCCGACGCGAGTTCCAGATTTGTACTTCTTCGATCGTGGACGACTAGAATGCTCTATTGACACGAGTCTCAAGGTCGCAGTGCCAAATTGCTTTATTTGGTTACATAACACCTCTGTCAAAATACAGTGAAGCTACGGCAGAACAACGAAGAAATTAGTAAGAATAACATAAAAATTGACGTCTGGAACTTACATGGAAGGTGTCCGATAGCCCAGCCACACTGCAAGAGTTGTCTTTTGTGGACGTGATGTCCAACAGACCATGCAACAGTCGCCCCGACAGTTTGGGATGGTGTGCGGGACCAAAAACCTAGAAAAACTCTTGAAACTCTGCGTTTTTTGGCACTTAACACCCTATAGGGGCATGAAGAAGTTGTCCTATCGTAGTACCGACGTCAGTTTTGGAATCAGCACCAAAAAATCATCAACATAGAGCGCTTACCAAGAGTCGTAGTCAAAAAGTCGTCTATATCGACGCACCCTACTGCTAACATAATTTATTAAATTCACTGAAATTCGCCCTCTAATTTTCAGGCTGTGTTGCCTGATCCTGACCTATAACCATCTTTTTCGAGCCGCAGCTGTTTAGAGGGAGTCTAAAGTAACATTTTCCACTATTGGGAAGTTTATGTTTAGACCCGCTTCCCTTTACATTTTTGCCTTGAAATTAGGCACAAAAATAACAAAATTTTGTGTTTGAGGCCACTTTTTGACCTCTAAACTCGATCGTAGGTGCTTTTTGGCGACGGATTCTGATTCCTTGATGAATTTTACGTAAGGAGCAGTGATCTCGACCTTCTGAGTCGAAAATTTAAGAAGCAGGAGGGATTCGCGCAAAAGTTGACACTTTGTTCAGAACCACTAAAAGAAATTTCAGAGAAAATTTCAAGTTGCGATATCTCCTGAAGTATTCATATTTCGACCTTAAAAATTTAGGGTCATCTTACTCTAGTGGTAGGTAACATTTGACCACAAAAGGAACGAAATCGGCAGTGGTCACCTACGCGGCCTGCTAATTGGGTCTGGAATGCCCCAAAGAAAAGAGGGACGATCAGTTTTATCAGACATTATGGGGTCAGAAGTGTAATGGCCCCATTTCCGGTCTCTTATCCTTCCCAAAAATGATTGTTTGAACTTCAGGAAATTTGTTTGCGTTTAAGATACCCGGAAACGATCAGATGAAATCGTTCGAAAGGAACCCTTGAAAACGCGCATAACTGCGTTCAAAAATTGCCCACAGATTCTGAAAAATTTGACCGCGCTCAGTGTGGCATGGAGAGCAATGCAGAGAAATTAAGCAATTTCTCTACAGTCAGTAAAAACGCAATATTTCAATTTTTTCCTAGTAGAATTTTAACATTCAAGAAACATTCGTCGCATGAGAGAACTTGCAATTTATTAAGAAAACTGGGACGTTCTGGTAAAGTTTATTTTTACAATAAATTAATGACAAGTTTGTGTAAAACTCAAGATTTTTATAAAAAACATACTACGAGTGAATTTTCTAAATTATCAGTTCAGCATTGTGTATTGTCTTTTGCCGTTGTTTAAGCTGCTGCGGGTTGAGACTCACTTGGATTGTATCACGTGAGATTGAACCTTCGACACTCGCGTCGTAGTTGGGTACACTCTCAGACTCGTACTGAGTTATTGTACAATAAATAACGTATTGACGTTTGTGCTCATTAATAAGCGTATTAACATTTTTGTTTGTTATAAAAACATTATTGCCAATTTCGTGTTAACAAATTCTTATCAAAACTCTATCAATGAGCACAAACGCCAATGAATATTGATAAAACGTCGATTGAAGGATGAGAGTGTAGGATCAAACTCGTCGCGTTAACCATTGAGGTAGGCAGCACACCCACTGCGCCCTCTTACTTTTCAAGACCTTCTCTCGTCCCTGCACATCACTCTTATGCTCGTTCAGAATCTTCACCACTTCACTGTGTCCGTTCAGTGACGCCACATGTAACGGAGAGAAACTCATATGGTCCCTGACGTTGACGTCACACTTGTACGCGAGCAACAGTTTGACGACTTCGGCGTGCCCGTTCTCCGTGGCCACGAGCAGAGGCGACACCCCTTTCTTGTCCTGCACGTTGGGGTCGCACCTGTGTTCGAGCAGCCGCTTGGCGACGTGCGCGTGCCCGTTGAGGGCGGCCAAGTGGAGGGGCGCGACCCCGAACACGTCCGTCGCGCCGGCGTCGCACTCGTACTCCAGCAGCAGCTCGACCACCTCCAGCCTGCCGAAGAGCGAGGCCACGTGCAGCGGCGTCGCCCCCTCCGCGCCCCTCGCGTCCACCTCGCACTCGCGTCCCCGCAGCAGGGCCACCACGGCGGCGTGGCCGTTCTTGGAGGCCAAGTGCAGCGGCGTCAGCCCCTCGGCCTCCTTGCCGTTGACGTCGCACTTGGCGTCCAGCAGGAGGCGCACCACCTCGGCGTGGCCGTACTCGGACGCCACGTGCAGCGGGGACACGCCCTTCTCGGCCTTGACGTTGACGTCGCACTGGTGGTCCAGCAGCAGCCGCACCGCCTCGGCGTGGCCGTACAGGGACGCCACGTGCAGGGGCGTCGCCCCCACCAGCCCCTCCGCGTTCACGTCGCACTTCCGGTCCAGGAGGAGCCTCGCCACCTCGACGTGGCCGTTCTGCGACGCTAGGTGCAGCGGCGCCCAGCCCAGGTCGTTCTTGCCGTCCACGTCGCAGTGGCGGTCCAGCAGCAGCGCGACGACGCCGACGTGGCCGTTCTCGCACGCGCCGTGCAGCGGCGTCGACCCCTCCTTGTCCTTCACCTTGACGTCGCACGGGCAGTCCAGCAGCATCCGCACCACGTCCTCGTGGCCGTCCTGCGCCGCCAGGTGCAGCGGAGTCCAGCCCGTCTCGTTCTGGCCGTCGACGTCGCACTTGTGTCCCAGCAGCAGTCTGACGACGTCGACGTACCCGTTGAGGGCGGCCAGGTGCAGCGGCGTGAAGCCGGCCTCGTTCTTCGCGTTGACGTCGCAGTCGTGCTCCAGCAGCAGCGCGACGACGGGCGCGTGGCCGTAGAGCGACGCCACGTGCATGGGCGTGGCTCCGACGTCGTCCTTCACGTTCGCGACGCCCTCGTACTCGAGCAGGAGCTTGACGAGCTCGGCCTGGCCGAGCTGCGACGCGATGTGCAGCGGCGTGACCCCCGTCTCGTTCGTCACGTTCGCGTCGCACTTGCTCTGCAGGAGCAGCTTCACGACGTCCGCGTGGCCGTTGAGCAGCGCCGTGTGCAGCGCCGTCATGCCCGTGTTGTCCTTCGCGTCCACGTCGCACTCGGAGGCCAGCAGCAGCCTCACCACCTCGGCGTGCCCCTTGAGCGCGGCCACCTTGAGCGGCGTCGAGCCGACCATGTCCTTGACGTCCGCGTCGCACTTGGGCTCCCCTAGCAGGGCGGCCACGGCGACGGCGTGCCCGTTCAGCGAAGCGAGGTACAAGGGGGTCGAGCCCGTCCGACTTTTCACGTTCACGTCGCTGGACGCTTCCAGCAGCAGCCGCACGACGTCGGCGTGCCCGTTCATGGCAGCCCAGTGCAGCGCCGTCAGAGTCGCCTCGCCCTCCACGCTGACGTCACACTCGGCGGCAAGCAGCAGCGTCACCACTGCCGCGTGGCCGTTTTGCGAAGCCACGTTCAGCGCTGTGGAGCCCTCTTTGCTCCTCGCGTTGACGTTGGCGTCGGCGTCGAGCAGGAGTCGGACGACGTCCGCGTGGCCGTCCTGCGCCGCGAGGTGGAGAGGGGTCCAGCCCGTTTCGTTGGCAACGGTGACGTCACTCGCGTGCTCGAGTAGCAGCCTGACGACGTCGGCGTGGCCCTTCAGTGCCGCCACGTGCAGCGGCGTCAGTCCCGCTTCCCCCCTCGCGTTCACGTCGCACTCGTCGTCCAACAGGACTTTGACGGCGTCGGCGTCGCCGCGGAGTGCTGCCGCGTGCAGTGGACTCCAATCCTCCGCGTCCGCCAAGTCGCCTCGGCATTTTTGTTGCAGATTCGCGACTTCCGCGTGGCCCCTCTCTGACGCCATGCTGTGAGATTTCCAATCTCTTTCTCACGTTGGCACTGTAACGAAACGGACATTGTACTTTAGCATGCAGTTACTTCTTAAATTTGCACAAAAGTTTTCAGTTTGCGCCCGAACGGATGTCGCATGTTTCAGTGGCATTTTTAACGCAACGTCAATGATTAACTCTCAGCGTGTCACTGACTCTTTGCTCTATGTAATTAGTTTGTAGTTACTCCAGCAATTTGTGCAAACATACTCGTAAGTGCTGTATGTTTAATAAAAACCTAATACTTGGTGAATCACGTAACAATTTTTAAGCAGTTATTTAAAAATTGTTAAGTAATTCACCAAGTAATTAGGTTAGTAATAAATTTTATGGGTTTATAATCAAGAAAGAGTTGGAAACGAGCTGAGAGCGGATATTGTAAACGTGTATGGTCTTATCCGATTGGCACACACTCACACTTCAAAGAAGCGTTTCCTGACAACTTGATGTTCCGCTGTATTACGCTAGTATTCACTGTGTATTACGGCATTGAAATGCTGCAATTTTGTCACATTTGACCCCAAAATGTAATTACGTTCACCTACACTCTTAAAAGGCTTCGAAGCATTTGCTTCATAACTACACAGAGAATGAAGGCATTGTAGTCTGAAGAGATGCTTCGTATTACTACGAAGGATTTTGCTTCATAATACGAAGCAATTCTTCGTAGATTTTACAATGCCTTAATTTTCTTCGGATTACGAAGCGTTTCTTCGTAGAGTTTTTAATGTGCACGCGTTATGCAGGGCTTGTGTGTGCAGGATATTGCACGAGTGTTTATGCCATCGGTCCTGTCTGTCTTCTGCGATTTGTTTGGCCCGCGCTGCTTCGCGCGGTCCAGGGAGGGAGGGGACCGTAGGATCGGCTAATAGGTCCTTCTGCCGTAGCGACAGTTATCACTGTGACGCGGATGAACCCCTTTACGTAACCGCGGCGCCCAGAGACCGCGTCACTGTGCCGCTTCCGCCACTGCTCACGCCTCGCGGCTCGGCCAGTCGTCGGCCGGAAGGGCGTGACTCTTCCGCGAATCCATATCAGCGACCGCGGAGGCCGCCACCCCGTAACAGAACGCGTTTGTTTTGAAGTGGAATCTTGTTCCGTTATGGTTCAAATCACGTCAACACGGTAAAGACGGAACCTGTGTCTTCCAGGAAGCCAATGTTAAAGGCCTAGGCGATTTCCTGGGAGTTCCTGGGAAAACCAGGAACAGTTTTTACTGTAAACGACCCCCTTCACTGGTAAAACTAAGGCGTACTATTACGCCCTTCGTGAAGCGAACAGCCAGTACGCCCTTCTTCAAGCGTACAAGAGTTCATGCGCTCCTTTCTTCCTATCAAAATGCATGGGGGAATTGCCTTGAAGCGTAGTTGTACGCTTCAAGAAGGGCGTACAGTCTTGAAGCGTAGTTGTACGCTTGAACGAAGCGTACAACTACGCTTTAGTTTTACCAGTAGTGTTGTCCCCAACCCTCTCGCCAGTTTGTTACGGCTATTTTTCACTCTGAAATATTTTTTTTGTAAAATTTCGTACGTGGTCTCAAACAATTTTAAACATGCGAACGTTTTTGTACAAATTTGGGAGACCACGTACTAAGTTTATACAAATGAATTTAGAATGTCGACAATTTGAAAAAAGTCTGAGAATACACAATGTCCACAAACGACCTTAAAAATTTATGAGCATCTTCCTCGACCCTCGGGGCACTTGAGGTAAAATTTGCATCCAGATAAGTCACACCAAAAACTTACTTTGAGCTTCTAGATAGGTGTTCACTCGACTTCTCAGGTCAATAGCCTAATAGGCTTACAACTGCACAGCATTTATCGGCGTTGGCTTTTCGAAGGCTTACTTGGGGTATTCACTGCAAAAACAATTCCTGGTGTTTCCAGGAACTCCCTGGCAATCGCCTATGTCTTTCCTATCGGCTACCTGGAACCGTTTTATCCGTGCACCGGGGCTGTGGCGTCTCAACAGAAAATTGTGTCAGGCCTGCTTACCTTTCTCAAGGCGCCGACATCCAGATTTGAGATTGGCAGTTTTCGAACCTTCACGTGTGCGATTCTTCCGGCGACTGCGGACAAGGACGACGGGCGTGTCTAGCTCGCGGCCAACCTTTTGAGTTGGCCGTCGTGCGCGGTATCTGCGATAAGATAACTGAGGCGTCGCGTTTGAAGAAGATAGTCCACAATATATTATGGGATTGACCGAACAGCCGTTTAATTAAATTTAGATCTATCTTCATCGTGCGTGATCGTGACCTTGGTATGGCTGGTCACATTTGCGCCACTGTTAGGAAACGGACAGTCCGACGCGCTTAAAGGTTTTGTACACATTTTGTACGACACGTCAAAGTTCTCTCTGCAGATGAACTTTTCGCACCGATTTGTACTCGATTTTGCACAAAATGGGGTGAAAATATGCGGTTTTTTCGCACGAAAATCGTACAATCAGTTCATGAATAAAAAAAAAAACTTTGACGTCTCGCACGAAATTGTACACCGTAAGAATGGTTTCTGGTTTCCTCAGGAGCACCCTGGAAGTCACCCCTTTATCACACCTGACGAAACAAGGAACCACTTTTGCCCTGTATATAACTTTTAGTGCGAAGGGTCAGTTGGGGTAATTATGGGACATGGGGTAAATGGGACGGCTGATTCTTGGTCAAGATTTGACGCTTTTGAACTCATACCACACCAAATGATATTTATATTGTGTAAATAGTAACATTTGGTATGGCGTGAGTTCAAAAGTGTCAAATCTTGACCAAGAATCAGCCGTTCCATGTTAACCCTGTGTCCCATAATTACCCCAACCGTCCCTAGTCATCACACCCTGTGTGTTGACTCCAAAATGCTCCAGCATTGCCCGGAACTGTGCTGAAAGCGTTTTTGTCCGTTGCAGGACCAGTCGCCCTCCTGTCCGTCCGCCTCCGAGTGACTGTCGGAGAGGATGAGCTCGAACCAGGACCCGCAGGGGAAGCTGCAGGGAACGCCCCGTCAGGCCCCTCCGCCCGCCGCAGGGATGCAGAGGCCGTTTGGAGAACGCAGCCCGGCGGCCCCGCCGCCACGACGCGATTCTGCCAGGTAGGTTCTGTTTTTCAAATCACTGACAGAAATAAAGTGGGTTGTCACTGTCAGTACACCGTACGATGTAGATTGCGGGAATCAACGAAGGTTCCTAGGGCAAAAATGTTGGCACAGGTTCCTTTGTACGCTTCTAGTAGCAGAGCCTGAAGTGAAGCAAAGGGAATAAGAACAACATAGACCGGAAACAGTACAAGAAATCGGCCTTTTACGAGGGTTTTGGCGCAGGTTTAAATTAGATTCTATTATAAAATTAAGCTTTCTTCACTTTTGGGATCGAGAAACACTCATCAACAATTGAAAAGCATTATTTGGCAGCTGTTTCCGGCTTTGTTCTTCTACTTGTTCTTCACTTCAGGCCGAGCTAGAAGCGTCTACCCACGAAAATCATTTGTACAAAACGAAGAATCTTTATGCCGTTGCGCAGAATCTTCGTCAATTTACGATGAGAGTTCGTAGATTTATGAAGAATTGCCGAGAATCTTAGTTAATTATCACACTATGATTCCCAACGGCACGCACATAGCACGTATCGTGCAATGCACTGTAAAATGAGACATTGCACTCTCAGCACGTTACCGACTTTTTCTTCATTAATTACGTATTCGTATAAACAGCAATAATACTTAGTATTTTCTAAGTAAGTATTCCTTTGTAAAGTTATGAACAAAACAAAATTCCCAGTGCATTATTTAATATTTCGTAAGTAGTTCTTTTAAAAAAAAAGGAAGGAAAAGTACGTATTATAGTTGCACAAATTGCTTGCATAAGTACTGACAAAATGAGCAAGAAGTCAATAACGTGCTCGTGCAACACACGTGCAGTGCCACATCCACATTGCTCCTTACGTGCAATTCGTCCTGAAAATGCCCTAGGCTAATGCATGGAAAGGCACTGTACTAATGTAAACATTTGAGAGAACAGTGCAGAGTGCTTTTCTGATCACTTTGCTTTGAAACTATTTTAGACGCTCTTTGTCTTATGAAGTCTTCCAGTAAGAAGGGCGTCCCACTGCCCCGATATATTTGAATCCTCGATTTCCTTGTTCCGCAGTCCGACTCGAGCTCCGATGGGATGGAGCCTGTTGCTGTCGGTGGAACGCGCCCGGCGGGCCCTGGAGGAAGAGATGCAGACCCAAGCTGCCATGGCAAGCAAAGCTGCAAAGACCAGCGAAGCGGAGGTCGCGGTACGGCAAACGTTTTGTCTTTTTTGTCATTTTTGTTTGAAGGCTGAAAACCCTTACGAAGTATTTTGAGCATATGCAAGATTCAAACTAGTAAGATTATGATACGAAGAAATAGTTCGTTAGTTTACAAAGTAACTCTAAGTATGCTCGAAATACTTTGTTACGACAAGCTAATGTTTAAAGGGTTCTAAGGCTGTGAGAGTGTTGACTGTTGTTTACTGTTGCAGTTAAAGGAAGTAAAGCGTGAAGTGCAAGAGCCGTCGCCCCGGCGGACGACTGGTGGGCCGGCTGGCCTAAATGACGATCAGGAAGTTTATCGATTGGAGCAGCAGGTATGTCGCTCATTTTAACAGATGGGTTTCTGGAACCCAGAGAACATAATGTTGCATTTACAGTGCACGACTTTCCGCTATATTTTGTTGCAATGCCGTTGCAGGTTGCGTCGCTGAGAAAGAACAACACACAATTGTTGGTACGTCTGCAGGAACAAGAGGAGGCCCACTTAAAGGTAAGGAAGCATCGCCTGGCTCTGCACAGCACTAATTTGTCACCCGGTCTCGCCGGCCAAGTCTTTTCGAGCAAAAACGTGTTCCTCATCCAAGAATTTGGGGGCATAGTACAGCATTTGGTGTTTTGTAGAAAAACTATGATCTGGGGTACGCTTGGGGCCCATTTGCTTACGGTAGCGCCTAACTTTCTAAATCTTCGTCGATTAATCGGGTCATGAAAATTATTGCATGAACATGTCGTGGAGCAGCACTCTACACAAGTGTGTAGATGTGTAGAACTTTATGCACAATTTAGCTCAGCATGGACAAAATTTCTTGGGTTTGAAGACTTTAGCAGTATTTTCTACATATCAGTGTTCAGGAAGTCTCAAGGTCCTGTGCATTAGTCCTTAAATTGCACAGAACTTTAACCCAGTAAAACCTTTTGCACGCTTTTGTTGATCAAAATCTTTGTTAAGCCACTGCACTGTGGAAAAAAAGGGACATTTTCTCCGTTAATTTATGGCCAGAACTTTCCGTGATTGGAGACCCAGGATTTTCCGTGATTCAGACACAGGATTTTCCGTGATCTCAGATCCAGGCTTTTTCCGTTGTTGAAACCCAGAGATTTCCGTAGTTTGCGACTCGAAGCCATTGGCAGAAGGCAGACTTGTGAAGGACGTTTCTAGCTGGCAAAGAGGCCGCCACCTACAATGGTCATCGTTTTCGAGATTGGAGAAAGTTCCTCATCCTAAACACAGATCGATGGGTCGAGCTAAATTACCATTCTGATCGATTCACAATTTTTTGCATATGACCGTTCAGGTGCGAAATCCTATGAGAAATGGAACAAACGACAATTGATTACGTCTCAGGAAAAGAGGATACCCATCATGTAAAGGTAAGAACTCGCTGGCCTGATCACAGACTAATTTGCACCCGTTTTCAGGCGTGCCAAAGTCTTTTCGAGCATAAAACTTGTTCCTCATTCGGCAAGATATTGACATAGGTAGCATTTGTTTCGTTGAGACAAATACATGATCTACGTCAGTTTGCCATTTCTACGTATTTAATTTTTCACCTTTTATGTCAATAGTGCAAAAATCATTGTATCTCATTCGAACGGAACTTTGGTATGTTTGAAGCTCAAACCCATCATTCGAACGTGTGTTTAGGATGTGGATGACATTTTTTTGGTAATTTGACAAGACAATGCATCATTTCTGTAAGTTAGTGTTTCTTTGGCAAGTTTAAAACTTCCCTCACAAAGTCTGCCCTTTACTGCCATGGCCTTTCAACGCACTGTGCAAACTACGGAAATCTCAGGGTGTCAAACAACGGAAAAGCCTGGATCTGAAATCACGGAAAATCCTGTGTCTGAAATCACGGAAAATCCTGGTCTCAAATCACGGAAAGTTCTGGCCATAAATTAACGGAGAAAATGTCCCTTTTTTTCCACAGTGTGACTGTTCAGAGCGTGGATAAAAGTGTAGGAGTCACTGCCTAATGTGTGTGCTCGTATATTGACTCTCATTCAAACTATATTCATCAGACGAACTCGGATCTTCGCCTTCAGATCGAGAGCCTAGAAAGCCGTTTGAACGCTGCCGAAAATCTGAACAAGGTAAGAACTTGAGACCATATAGTTTTTCATGTCTGAATATGCTCTGATCGGTGAGCTCACCTAACGGTTTCTTCAGTTCCAGGTTGAAGAGAACAACAAGTTAAGAAGCAGCAACATCCATCTGTCACAAAAGCTGGAAAAATCTCAAATGGAGGTATGACTGGCTATTGCCATTAATAGGTACACCGTCCATCTAGATTATTACGGTTTGCTAAAAATAACGCATTTGTTTTCTAGAATAAAGCTGCGATACAAAAGTGGTGCGACAAAGTGGGGTTATTGAAGCACAAAGTAGAGAAGCAGAAGAAGTACACTTCTGATTTGGTGCACAAGCTGTCGAAGTCCACGCAAGCCGCCGGGCAGGTGCAGGAGATGGAGGAGTTGGTGGTCTGGCAGCGGAGCCGACTCAAGGACCAGGAGGCTGAGCTCTCCCAGCTGAAGGGTGCTTTGGCCAGGGAGAAGCGGAGGTCTGCGTCTGGTAACAGTGCATATCCTGTGGAGTCGAGGAGAGCCGCTAGACAGGACGGCGTCCGTCATGTGGAGACGCAGACACCCTCGAGCTGCCTCCAGCCGGAACCCGAATGCTCTGTTGTGTTGCAAGTAAGCTGCTTTTCACACTCTCACAAGGGATCGCTTTCAGGTGTCTGTAGCCGATTGCTCCCATACTTGGGGATCTTCAAGACCACCTCAAAAAAGAATTTTCGGGACCCACAGTTCGTGTTGAAAGTCACTAAAACGACTTTTTGGTCAAAAACAGGTTTGTTTTTTTCGAAGTTCTTTCAGTTTTGAGGAGACAACTATGTTTTTGCTCCAAAATCGAAAAAAATCATATCATTGGACCTTTTAGACCACTTGGAAATCATTGTTTCTGGTAAAAATCAGCTTTTGGACATTTTTATGAAAATTGGTCAACTTTCATTTGGGGGCGTTGTAGTGACTTTCAGCACGAATTGTGGGTGCCGAAAATTATTGGGGGCCTTGAAGATCTCGAAGTATGAGAGCAATCGGCTACTGACACCTGAAAACGTTCCGTTGTCAGTCTCATATTGACTTTTTACTCTATTGCTTGCTCACGAAATTACTATGCACGTTTTTGTGCATAAGCGTCGCACAAAATTGAGCATGGGTTTTGAAAGGCACGAGTTCGTGCGTAACTGAGCACAAAAGGGTGCGTTGTTGCGCTTGAAATTCGTGCATACCGAAACGTATGCTCAATTTTGTGGAAAGCTTATGCACTAAAAAGTGTGTAAACTCTCTTTTAGAAAAAGTTTTAACGTACTTTGAATGTACTTTTTTCTCTGAAGCACTTTTTATACACAATTTTGATCGTTTCTTAGATTTAATTGTTCATGCACATATTTAAAAGTACAACTTTGGACAAAAAGAGAAATTTAATGACAAAAATACTTTTGGTAATGAACAACATCGTGCAAAGCTAAAGAGAAAATAGGACATTTGTCTGTATGTCTGCACAGAAAACTTAGTAAGCGAGATAGGAAAATGTCAGTTTACAGTCTAAAAACCTCACTACAGGGCTAAGAGTGCAGGTAGAAAAAATGTTCAGAATGTTCAGAGTAAGCTCGTTCTACTTTTAGAGAGATCTCGCAATATTAGTGAAGTGTCGTCAGATTAAGTGGAACTTAAACTTGCAAAATGTTTAATATCTCGCAGAATTTAGAGGGATCTAATGAGACCTCTGGTGATGTCGTAAAATTGAATATAATTCACGGAGCCTCACGGGTTCCTTCAAAATTTTGCAAGGTCTTATGAGATTCTGTAAAATTTCATAAAATTGCAAGATCTCATGAAATTTTGCGAAATACACTCTCATTCCAGGAACGTGTCATCACGTTGAAACCAGCAGCGAAGGTGACAAAATGTCTCCTTCGTTTGAGCATTGAGTCACATTCGTCAAAATGTCACGTTCGTTTGAGCGTTGTGTCGCATTCGTTTGAATGTGAACAGCCGATTCACATCCAAGCGAATGTGACACAACGCTCAAAGGAACATGACATGTCACGTTCGTTTCAACGTGATGTCACGTTCCTGGAATGAGAGTATATCGCAAATCTTGTGGGATGTCACACATCTTCTGACATTTCGCAAAGGCCCTTCGAAAATATTTTTGACTTATTAGGATGCTCGTCTTGAAAGCATCCCACAAATCAGAACGTCATCGTGGCATGCCCACCATTTCCGCCTGCACTGTGAGAAAAAAGTACGGAACAGCTCAATAGCGGAACGTGTACTTTTCCGTACATTACATTTCATAGGAGAAGTCAACGTTCCGTACTTTTCTCCGTACTATATTTTTGCTGCACCATTTCCGTACAAAAGTACGGAATTTTTTTTACAGTGTGGCAGCTCAAAGTGTCTTTCCTTGCAGGTGGTAAGCGAGGCCTACCCCACGGCAGCCAGCATCATGAGGAACTACGAGGAGCTGAGCCTCTCCCTGTCCGCCCTGCGCTCCCCCGTGAAGGCGGCCATCGCCGCCATGCCCCCCGCCACCAGGAGCTTGTGCCTCAAGAACATGATGAGGGCGCTGCAGTCGGAGCAGACCAACGCAGACGAGGAGGAGTCCTCGCCCAGCGCCAAGCCGTGTGACCAAGGTTTGCCCAAAAGTTCTAGTGCATACACACTACATGTTTATGTGCAATTCTGTACGAGACATCGTAGTTTTTAGTGCACACGAACTTTTCGTACAAACTTCGTACGAAAATCTGCGCTTATTTCCCCATTTTTGTGCAAAATCGCCTACAAATTTGTTCTGAAAGTTCGTGTGCACAAAAAATTGTTATATCTCGTCCAAAATTTGTACAAAAACGTTTAGTGTGTGAGCCAAAATACGAAGTAGGGGTTAGAGTACAGAGTGGGAGAAGAACAACTATTATGAAACTGATACCTTGACTTATAGAGCAATCCCTCGACTAGTTACTTCAATTAAACATGAAAATCTGAGTGAGAAATTTCTGCCAAATGTATGTAGAGATGCATCCAGCAAAATAGTTTCTTAATTTTAAATTTTCTTGGTTTTTGTAAGGTAAAAAAATATCACAAAAAAATTGGTTCATACAAGGAAAAAAAAAGGTTTGTATCAAGAAAGATTTCTTGAAACATACGCCGAAAATTCAAAGTTTTCTTGATCCAAGTAGTGGTGGTGTCCCTGCTGTAGGTCAAATGGGAATGTGTACGGTAAAAACGGAACCTGGTTTTCCCAGGAAGCCAATGGTGAAGGTATAGGCGATTTCCAGGAAGTTCCTGGGAAAACCAGGAACCGTTCTTACCGTATACTTTTCTTCCCCAAATCATCCATTGTAAACATGCATAGCGTTGCGACCATTTCCATTGAAATGCGTGTTTCAATGACGTTTGCAGGAAAATTAACATATTTATTTAGTGTGCATCTACGGCTTGAATTAAGATCGACCATCCCTTGCTGACCTATTCAGAAACGTGCTTCCCTCGCTTTCTCTGTCGTACTCTTGGGGCGTCCCGTGGGGGTGCGAGAGAGACAGCCGACACTTGATAGTCGTCGCTATAAATTTTCCTACTCGCCGCAGACTGAAATTATATTTCCGACAGAAAGTCACTCTTTTCGGACCAATACTCCGAATTTTTCATTTCAATTTTACGAATTTGCTCTCGGATTACCAAGTCTGACGAAATCGGTCTGAATCTCGGTACTTTTTTCAACAGTGCTTTCACCCGTGAGCGCGGTGACCGATGCGGGCGACGCAAGCGGGGTGGTCAGCCCCAAGCCGTCCCCGCCCGATGCTGCCCTTCCGCCACCGCCGTTCGTCCTGCCTCAACACCTGCCGCTGCCGCCCGTTGCCGTGCCCATCGACTTCATGCTCGCCTCCAGGAAGAGAGCAGCGGAGGACGACGAGGCCGCGTCGGGAAAACAGGTGAGTGGAGTCGAGCACTGCGAGCCCAGTGCACAGTGGGCCAGAAGACCGGTGCAAGGCAGTCAAAATCCCGGACGGTTTTTGATCTCCAGAGTCACGTGATGGGACTCGAACCGAACGTTTGACCCCACCAATGGATTGCTCTCCGAACGAGGAACCCATTGGTTGGGGTCACACGCTCGGTTCGAGTCCCTGTTCAGCGACTCAGGAGCTCAAAACTCTTCCAGAGTTTAGGCCGCAGTCCGCAGAGCCGAAAGCCGGCGAAAATCGACGAACACCCCGTCCGAAAAGCGAACCCCCGTGGGTTCGATTCTACTTAAGCCCGATTTTCGAACCGGGTGAGAATTGGGACCGCCTTTTCACGGTTCGAAAATCGAACCCCCTTCTAACAGTGAGTGCGGTGGGGAGTGTAACGGGACGAGTCTTGCTAATTTTTGGCATGCGAAATGGCTTGCCAATTTTAGGGTAAGCTGACATGCCCCGGGCGTTGCAGTGTGCTGTGTGTACGCACTAAAACCGTAACCACTTTGGATCGACTTTGGGCCCATAAGATGGGTCACTGTATAAAAGTCCGTGCTTTAGGACGGAAAATTTGCAGTAGAATAATACGTAATTTATTGAAAGGTATTTTGCGCTTACTGCCAGTACAGAGGCAGTGCATATTTTACCACTTTGTGATACATGTGTTCCACAAATAATTGAGTGATCTCTGTTCTGATTTCAGGCAGTGACCCAAAGGATTTCATCTAAATCATCTCATCATAGCAATTTTCCCCTCTTTTAGCTAAATGCTAATTCATGATATTTTAAGTGTTTTTTTAAGTGCAGTATTATTTTAAATCATTTTGCCCAGCGCGCAATGTTCCTGCAAGTGCAGTATTATATTTTTAAATAATTTTGACCAACGCACAACAACACAAAAGTGTGAATAAAATTATATTTTTATCAAATGTGCCCTTTATTGAAGACAAAACGGTCTCAATCAGGCATGTTTTTTTAATGTGCTCAAGCGTATTGTTGATCCCAGGGCGAAGGAGTTACACAGGGACACTTCCACTTTCCTCCAGAAAGGCCATCCCGAAATAACTGAACCAAACAAAGGTTCTCACTTTTCATGAAATGGCCCTTTCTGTTTTCAGACGTTATCATTCTACCGCACGCTTGAAACCAAGCGTGACAGGCTCATTCGCAAAGATTTCTCGTATCTACATGCTCGAGGAAACTTCCGAGGGGCAAACAGCTTCGAAAAATTTTGTACGCCGTCATTTCATGGTACTTCGACATTCGTTATTTCCACGTTATGTCCAATGTTCTTTCTGGTTATTTCAAAATTATTTCCCGATATTTCAAGGGAAACGTACACTAGAATTCTAGTTGTTTTCCCCCTCGGAAATTTCCAGTGTATGCTCCATCCATTTCAAGCGTAACTCTGCTTGGCTGAAGCATAGAACTACGCTTTAGTTTTACTAGTGAATTTCGGTGTAAGGAAGGCTGGGGATCCATTGCTACATTTTTTTGGTCCCTCGTCAAGTGCAAACCCGTTTTTGAAGTCCATGAAACTTCGTTTTATTTCTATGCTTGTTTCTGCCACCACCAGCGCAACGGCGCTCTCTGTCTGTCTGTCTGTCTGTCTGTCTGTCTGTCTCTGTCTCTCTCTCATTCCCTCGCCGCTCCCCCTCCCTGACTCACACACTCACAGTGTCCCCACTTGAGTAATTAACGTTCTTCTCTTCTTCCATCTCTCCTTCCCGCTGGTCCAGCGAGTGGCTGGTCCGAGTCTCGTCTCGATCGCGGACGCCACAGGTACGCCTCGCACCGTCGAGAGGAGCCGCGAACCGAACGAAGAGACGTGGACCGCTCCTCGCAGTCGCGAACATTCCGTTGCATCGCGGAAATATAAGTCGTTTCAAAAGTGAAGGTAATCGCGGAACGGGCGGGAACTCGGCGGTGTTCAACTGTTTGTGCAACAGATTTGGTGACGTGTCGTAGGGACATTATCTGTGGCGAATATTCAGAATAACTTCTTGGACAGCGAAATACTTGGTCGTGGGCGGCCGGCAAGAGTTCTCGTTTCTTGTCGGGTCTGCTTTAACCGGGGTCGGTGGTTTTCCGATTGACATTACTTACGCTCATCAGACGAGTGATCATCTGACAGAACAACGTGTCTTCGTAGGGAATCCCACAGCAGATACGCTGTTATGTACGAATGCCACTCAGATAAGCCGCGCAGTATCAGTCTAACTTCTGGAAACAGGATTACAGTGTAGTGCCTCTCTACGCGGACCGAGTGAGCAAGATTTGGACGACCGACGACAGCCAGGTAAGACACGCCTAGCTCTGTCTGTACAAGTCCTCAGCATGGGGCCATAAGTGGTCGACCGCAAATAGAATGAGTCATCCCAGACAAGCAGGAAAAAGATTTTTCGGACGAAAGATAGTTTACTTGCCAGCCCCTTGTGAGCTAGCTTGGTATTCCCTTTAGTCCGAAATCTCATTTGAAATCCTCGTATCATAACTTTCAATAATGTCAGTCAATGTTTTACAAAAAACAAGAAGTAAAGAAAAAAAGTTTAAAGGATGGTGCGAAATATCAATGAATTGATATTAAATAAATGACTCGTTCTTTACACATTTTTTTTGTGAATGAAGGATGTCTAGTGGTTATCAAAAGTGGTCAGGTGGTTAAATAATTGTTAAGCTCGAAATGAAAGTACGTTCAAACTCTACCGCCATTACAGTAGTTCGTTTGAAATTCGCGTGGTGGCGCCACGGGTCGCCGATGTTAGCGGCAGGCCGTCCAAAAGAAGGTTGAAAAACTGCAGATATTTTAAATATTTGTTTGCTAAGAGAGATAATCCTCAAATGAAAAATGTTAAACAAAGCACAGGGAGGTGGATTTTTGCTATGGCACATGCCAATTCGATATGAATCACGAAAAAACGAAGTGTTATAACCTCTCATTACTAGACACCAGCCAGTTTTAATAAACATTTTCAATCTTCATTTGCTCAAAAACTTTCATAGTGAAATGAAAAATACTTCATTTACGCCTTAAAGAGGAGGCTTTGATCTTTCAAATGAGTACATTACATATGGTTTTCCTTGTGTGCATAGCGAGTTGAATCATGTAGCTAACAAAAACCGATTTTGAGCACAATACTCGTTCTCTTCACATTAACCTAAATTTTGAAATGAGGGTGTAAAGAACGAGTAAAAAAGACTCGCCGAGCGGAATTTGTTAATTTTTGAGACCAGCTATTGAGTAGAGATCAGAAGCAAAGGGGAAAAAATCTAGCATGTACCTTATGCAAATAGTTAAGCTAAAAATTTCGTGGTGAGGTTAAAAAATTTAGCTTCCGTGTGACTTAAATTTTGCCTGCGCGTGGACACGTCAAGATTGATTGCACGTGCAATTTTTTTTCAGCTAAGCACTTGTGATGTTTGTGTGTGTGTGTGTAGGTGTGTGTGTGTAGGTGTGTGTGTGGTGTGTGTGTGTGTGTGTGTGTGTGTGTGTGTGGACACGCGGTGACACCTAATACCTAATGATCTGCCACTATTTGCAGAGAAGATTTTTGCGGAGTGGCGAAGCCCGAAGCTGTGACGACATCCCCGCCCGCACGGGCGACCACACCGTAATGGACTTGCTTGTATCACTGACAGTGGCGGTAGCGGCGGCGTTTCTACCTCTACACTGCGAGGCCGGTAAGAGCAGGCATCTGTCACAAACGTCAAAGTCCCAAAACCTGAGAAGCTTGGGCGGGAGCTTAATTTCAGAACGTCAGTCTACTTCCAAATGTAGCGCAACAATTCACTGATAAAAATTCTGTCGTATAACTTAGCGACACATTTATTGCTAAATTTTTTTAGCGACAAGATTTGTTGTGAAACAAATAGCTTGTTAAACCATGGTCGTATTGGAACTAAAGGATAATTTTACAACGACAAACTTCTTGTAATAACATATTAACAGTCCACCTTCAAAATCAAGTTGCTGACCAACAACAAATGTTGTAAGTCAACGACAAGTATTGTTAGTCGAAAAAGATTTTGTAATGTCTGCACACTAAATTTAATGGGACTTTTTTTGTCCCACGGTTAATGCAATTTTAAGCACATCCGACGCTGATACAATTTTGTTCCTGTCTGGTGACACATTTTGTCCGGCGCCAGCTGCAACTTGTACTTTCACTAGACAATTTGTCCCGCCTGGCGGACACAAAATTGCATCACCACCGGATGTGCTTAAAATTGCATAAACCGTGGGACTAAAAAAGTCCCATGATATTTAGTGTGTGCGACAAGTACTGATTGAGTACTTTTGTTGCTAAATTTATTTTTCATGGTTCTACTTTTAATAACGGTAATTTCCCTGTGACTTAAAAGAACTTTCATTGAGCAGATAATGGGAAAGGTGTTGTTTGCACACAACCTGTATTGTTTTTTTTTGTTCTTCTACAACAAATTGTCGCTTACTCGATTCAACAATATTTGTTTCGCTTTTGTTCATGATGATATTCTTCCATGTTTTGGAACGACTAAATTTTCACTCATCTGATTGTTTCTGTACAACCATGAAGCCTAGCTACTTCATCTGTAACCAAACAAAAGGAATAATTTCCTCTTGGATTTCAAACGTGGTGCCTTTTAGAATTGCTTCGTATTATGAAGAAATGCTTCGTATTATGAAGAAATGCTTCGTATTATGAAGGATTTTCCTTCATTATACGAAGCATTTCTTGGCAGATTTTACAATGCCTTGGTTTTCTTCGTACTACGAAGCGATCTTTCGTTGAGTATATACTGTGATAACAGTGTGTGCCCGCATGCTCTGCAGTGCACTGCCCGCCGCTGAGCTTCAGGACGGTGGACGTGGAGTGCCGCTGGGTGATGGGGCGGCCGGTGCCGTGCGACGTGCCCGCCACGCCGGGCACCCGGGCGGCGTTCTCCTGCAAGCCCCTGTACCGCCTGCCGGAAACCGTCGCGCACAGGCTCACGCAGCCCGACGGCGCCGCCATGGACCAGTCCCTGTGCCGCGAGGACGGCAGCTGGGCGCCCATGCCCTTCACGTGCGTGCCAGGCAAGTCCCAAAACAACAAGTGTGAGACACTGGAAGAAAAAAGTACACAAATTACTGGCAAACTTTTCATCAGGAATCTATTGTACTTTCAAAGTACAACAATTGTTATATAAAGTAGAATGGAACCGGCATGGAACCGCACTGCAAGAAAAAACCACAACTAAAGTTCACAAATTCCTGGCAATCTTTTTTATCAGGAATTCATTGTACTTCCAACATGTACAAAGTACAATGGAAGTGCTCTGCGGTCCAGGCCTCGTTGTGGTTTGTACAATTCTCGTTGTACTTTCTACAATCCCTGTCATAACTCTATTGTACAGTTTTTGCTGTACCTTTGTTGTAGTAGTCACACTTTTCCTTGCAGTGGAGGCCACACTGCACTCTTTCTCATATGGACCTTTTATTCACTTGCTTTTTGAGCAGACGAAAATTGTACATTTTTTTCTTAAGCTTATGCACAATTTTGGTAGTTTTCTTTTTTTAAATATAAAATTGTCAATTGATCATGCAGAAATCAAAAAGTACACTGCCGTTGACACAAAGTCGGCCTGAGTTTTGGTACGCTGTGCCACATCAATTGAGCATCGAGCTGTGTATACACTAAATGTCATGGGACTTTTTTTGTCCCACGATTTATGCAATTTTAAGCACATCCGACGCTGATACAATTTTTTTCCCGCCTGGCGACACATTTTGTCCGACGCCTGCTGCAAATTGTACTTTCACTAGACAATTTGTCCCGCCTGGCGGACACAAAATTGCATCACCACCGGATGTGCTTAAAATTGCATCATTCATGCTCTACAAACTGAAGTGTGTACTCAGTATGCATCTGTAGACGCATACTTGCAAGTACACACCTACAGATGCATACTCAGCTGAGTACACATCATCAGATGCATACCTGGATGAGTTAGGTATGCATTTGTAGGTGTGTACTCAGCCATGCATCTGTAGATGTGTACTCAGCTGAGTATGCATCTGCAGATGTGTACTCATCTAAGTATGCATCTGTAGGTGTGTACTTGCAAGTATGCGTCTACAGATGCATACTGAGTACACACTTCAGTTTGTAGAGTGGGACAAAAAAAGTCCCACGACATTTAGTGTGTAGCGCCTGCGAACTCAGTGATAGGCAACAAACGAGATGCATGCATGGATGCTGGCTGGGTTGCCTATAGGGGCAAACCAGGGCCAATCAGCAGAGCCCAAAATGGACCATCGACGATTTGGCCCATTTTTGGCTCAAATGTTACCTACCCATAGGTAAACATCGGGGTAAAATTTCAGCCACCTAGGTGTCGTTTCATAGGAGTTATGGGCAATCTTAGTTTTTGACTTTTTTTCTTAAGTGGTTTTTGACCAAATTGCTACATTTTCCAAAAATCCCTCTCAAGTCTACAGTTTTACCCCTAGTTGGCTGAAAACTCTTAATCCAATGTAAAATTGCATGAGGAATTCGATTTCAGGGCCCAAACGGAGCCCTGGGCAGTCTATCATAGAGAAAAACGCCAATTTTGACGAAAAATCACTTTTTTTAAGGTTTTACGTCGGTGCGTTTTAAAGCTACACCCGAATCCAAACTTGGTCAACTCTATGCGGGAAATCGTACCTCATACCACCACCTAAAATAGCACGGCTCGACATTTGGGTGGTATGGGTATGGTTTGGGCGCTGCAGCCTTGGGAACTTTTAAATTATGAAAAACTAGCAAATTCCCCCTTACGGCGAGGTCAACCCTCATGCATTGGCTGTTTCGGGTTCAACTGAGGCCCCGCGGTAATATTTGAGTTTGAAAGGTCCTTCTTACCCCTCACTACCATCACTGACCCTCTGAGAAGCGCACTGAGGTCACTTTTGGGTCCATGGCTGCAGCCAAAATGACAGAATTGACGAAACGCTTGAAGGGTAGGCAACTTATCCTACGCGCCATGAGGGGGCTGTTCTGGTCTAATAAAACATAGTCTAACATCTGCTTCTTTTATTTTGAAGAGGGTAATGATCACAATTTTGACAAATTTGGCAGTTAGATAAAATACTAAGCAAGGAACAAAACTAGGCTCATTATACATTGAACTAATATCGCAAATTGCTGATCATTACACTAAACTAAGAACACAACTTTGCTTAACACGTTCACGACCGGACTCGTTTTGGGCAAACTTCCGCTATGGGACCGGAGTCTGCTTTGACCAAGCCATGCATCTCTCAGACCTCGCGACTTGATATAAGCACGAATCATGCAATAACAAAACCAACCAGCCGAAGAAAAATCTGGGAACCCCGGAACGCGAGGGCCATGCCCATTCACGCGGGTACGGGGTTCCCGTGTGGACGCCGAACGACATAAGATGCGGGAACGCAGTACGGAAACACGGTTCTCAGTCAAAATGAGTACCGAAATCATTTTATATTCCGAAAATAAGGAAGAAAACGCAAAAAGTCTCAGTTTGAAGCTTGTATGGCCGTTTTTGAGTCCGGGAACCGTGTACCCGGACGGTCCTCCGAGACATGTCCAGTTCGGGAACACCCGTACGTAAAAGCGGCCCAGCAAGCTAAATGAGGGTATTTTCGGAATCAGCGGAGGGACCCCAGGCCATTCGCACACTTTTTGACCTGTTTTGAGCTGTTACAACCAATCCGATTTCCACACGGCCTTCTTGACGTGCAGCAGAATCGGGCCGTGTCAAAATCGAGTTGGTTGTAACAGCTCAAACCAAGTCGAAAAGTCTGCGAATGGCCTGGGCTCGATCCGCTGATTCCGAAAATACCCTCATTTAGCTTGCTGGGCCGCTTTTACGTACGGGAACGGTGTTCCCGGACTGGACATGTCTCTGACGACCGTCCGGGAATCATGTTCCCGTACCAAATTCATCGTACGAGGTCCGTTCGAAAGTAACTTGCGTCTTTCGTAGAGGCGGTTCCAAAACAATTAACGTGTCTCATGATCGTGACAATTCTGTGAGGCAAAATCGGATTTGTCCGGAAACGGTGTTCCCGGATGGTCGTCTGGACTAGTTCCCATGGGTTAAGCAAAGTTGTGTTCTTAGTTTAGTGTAATGATCAGCAATTTACGATATTAGTTCAATGTATAATGAGCCTAGTTTTGTTCCTAGCTTAGTATTTTATCTAACTGCCAAATTTGTTAAAATTGTGATTATTACCCTCTTCAAAATAAAAGAAGCAGATGTTAGACCGAGGGGGTAACCACTCGCGTAATACCCTGTACACAAAAGCCGTGTATTACGCGTAATACACGTGATCGTAATACCATTTTTGGGTCAAATGTGCCAAATTAGGGCATTTTAGGGCCGTAATACACGTGTAATACACCCGTAATACAGCGTAATACCGAGTAGTCTGTACACGATTTCTTGAAGTGTTTACCCCCTCGTGTTAGACTACATGTTTTATTAGACCAGAACAGCCCCCCTCATGGCGCATAGGATAAGTTGCCTACCCTTCAAGCGTTTCGTCAATTCTGTCATTTTGGCTGCAGCCATGGACCCAAAAGTGACCTCAGTGCGCTTCTCAGAGGGTCAGTGATGGTAGTGAGGGGTAAGAAGGACCTTTCAAACTCAAATATTACCGCGGGGCCTCAGTTGAACCCGAAACAGCCAATGCAGGAGGGTTGACCTCGCCGTAAGGAGGAATTTCCTAGTTTTTCTTAATTTTAAAGTTCCCAAGGCTGCAGCGCCCAAACCATACCCATACCACCCAAATGTCGAGCCGTGCTATTTTAGGTGGTGGTATGAGGTACGATTTCCCGCATAGAGTTGACCAAGTTTGGATTCGGGTGTAGCTTTAAAACGCACCGACGTAAAACCTTAAAAAAAGTGATTTTTCGTCAAAATTGGCGTTTTTCTCTATGATAGACTGCCCAGGGCTCCGTTTGGGCCCTGAAATCGAATTCCTCATGCAATTTTACGTTGGAGAACGGGTTTACAGCCAACTAGGGGCAAAACTGTAGACTTGAGAGGGATTTTTGGAAATTGTAGCAATTTGGTCAAAAACCACTTAAGAAAAAAAGTCAAAAACTAAGATTGCCCATAACTCCTATGAAACGACACCTAGGTGGCTGAAATTTTACCCCGATATTTACCTATGGGTAGGTAACATTTGAGCCAAAAATGGGCCAAATCGTCGATGGTCCATTTTGGGCTCTGCTGATTGGCCCTGGTTTGCCCCTATAGCCACTTTGCAGGCGCTAAGGCGGCGGGCCAACCCACGTGCCGTCTGGTCCGTGCATCTCAAACATGTCGAGGGGGGAACAGCTTCCCACATTCGTTGTACAAAATTTGACCACATTCCAAATTGAGGTGACAAAGTCGCCTGTAAGTAGGCAACATTTGTGGCAAAAACGCCAGAAATCTTCGGAAATCTTGCACATTCACACCATCATTGTACTCAAAATTTTACAGTGGGTCACCCCTCGGCACTTACCGCGAAGAGTCTCCTGCACTGTTTTCAGAATGCGGGCGAGTGGTCGGGAACGGCGAGACGCTGGTGGTGGGCGGCAAGGCGGTCAACTCGCCGGTGGAGTTCCCCTGGCACGTGGCGGTGTACGACCGCCTCTACCGGACCGGCATCTCCCAGGTGTGCGGCGGCACGCTCATCACCACCAAGTTCTTCGTGTCAGGTACACTGCGTGAGAAAGTGCTTGTATGCATGTAATAGGAAATTGTATAGGACTTTTCCTTTACATTTTCGATCCGTGTAGCAAAAAACCTATACAAATCGGAAAATTCCTATGCATGTATCGAGGGGTCCTATTCGAGAGATTTTACCTGGGCATTCCCCCTAAGAGGATCTCATCTTAAACGCAGGTGAATTTCACTCAGTTTGATCATTTGATACGGCTACATATCATTATAATTTGCGATTTAATTCACTTCAATCTGAAGATGAAAGATCAAAGGAGTCAATAGTGCATGTAGAAATATATTCCGCTTACTCTCGTATCTGTCCCAAATGGTCAAACTGAGAAAAATTTGCCTGCGTTTTAGACAAGATTCTCTTGGGAGAACGCTCAGATAAGATCTTTTGAATAGGACCCCTCGAGTATCGGAATATCAGTATTTCATGTATAGAAATTTTGCTAGACTACTGTATGGTAAAATTCCGATCAGGAATGCGCTTTTCTTTCGTGCTCGGCTTTTACAGAAGCTCAAATACCTACGCACGATCTACTAGGTGCCATCATTACAAACCAACTGTCTACTTAGTACACATTTACAAACGCACACTTGGACAAGTACACACGGACAGAATTTTTGGATCTTGCTCAAAAGTGCAACCACAATACGAGTGCGTGAAACTATGAAAAGAAACGACTACTTACGAAACACCTTGATCACTCCCATTCCAGGACCGTGACGTGACATTGAAACGAGTGTGACAAAATGTCACGTTCCTTTAAGGATTGTGTCACATTCGTTTGGATGGGAATGATTGTGATCCGAAACGAATATGACGCAATGCTCAAAGGAACGTGACATTTTGTCACATTCGTTTCAACGTGATGTCACGGTCCTGCAATGGTAGTGTAGTGAATGAAAGCAGCGTGTTAATGGCTTCTCTTTCCCACAGCTGCACACTGTTTCGCGGCCCCTTCCCCCGGCACGAGCAAGGACGTGCGGTTGCGTCCCGCCAAGGAGTTCGCAGCGGTCGTCGGAAAACTGCACCGGGATTGGGCAGTGGTGGACAGCGAGGCTCAAACTAGAGATGTGAGTTTTTTCATTTATACAATAGAAAGAAATAGTTTCCACCTGAATCGTACGAGAGCAACACCTACAATTTAAAATCCTGTATGAATGATATCGTGTTAACTGTGTGCTCACAAAATGCTTTGTATAATTTTGTACGAGATATCGCAGTTTTTTGTGCACACGAATTTTTCGTACAACTTTGTACGGAAAACTGCACAAAATTCCCCATTTTGTGCAAAATTTCGTACAAATTTGTACGAAAAGTTCGTGTGCTCTAAAAACTGTGATGTCTCGTACAAAATTTATACAAAAACATTTAGTGTGTGGACCTTTAACAGAATAATTAACATAATTATGTTTTAAGTCTAGGGCGTCAGAAACGCCTGTAAGTGGTCACAAAAAGCACGACAAAAAGCTCCGACTTCGTTCGGAGAGCAATCCATTTGCTCGTCACACGTTTGGTTCTAGTCCCATTTAGTGACTCTGGAGCTCAAAACGCGTCTCAAGTTTTTGCCGCCTCTACCAGTCTTCTGGCCTATTGTGCAGAGTTGGAGTGCACTCAAACGTGCACCAAATTTTGGTGCTTGTCATTGTGACCTGACACTGGTCACTGTGAAAATTTGAGTCGTCACTTGATGACAATTTAAAGGCTAATTTGCCTACAACAATATCATCAAAACAATTGATGACATTGTTGTCACGCCCATGCAATAAATAGGAGCTTTGATGAAAATGTCATCAATTTGTGATGAGATTGACATAATTTGAAAATGATGAGAATATCATCCACGTTTTTGTCATAAAGTGACGATAAATTTTCACAGTTGTCAGGGGACTGATTAAACCTGCCTGCATCTGATTCGGATCAGAGCGACCCGGCGTGCAGTTCTCGTCTCCTTTTTCCTCTCAACGAAACCAGCCAACAGAGGCACTCGGAGTGCACTCACTGCAGTCATCGTCTCTTTTCCCAAGCGACCAAATCAGTCAGTCTGCGTGCGGTGGAAACGGAGGTGGAAACCTACCGCGGGTGCCGATTCCTCGAAGCGAGCATCCCGCCTTTCCCACAGCAGACCGATTTCGGAGAGCCGTCTTGTCTCTCTCGCACCCTTAGGGCACGCCCCACGAGTGCGAGAGAGACGGAGCGACGGGTCGGGCTGCAGGCGGACTGCGCCCATGCAAATGATTTGGCTCAGGTCCAGCAGGTCCACGTGAATGGGTACGGCGGGCCGCGCCTCAACCACGTCCGCGACTTGGCGTTGGTGGAGATGGCCTCGGCCGTGGACCTGACCGCCGCCACGCTTCCGGCCTGCGTCGACTGGGGCATGGAGGGCCGTCGACTCCGCGACGGGGACGTCGGATCGGTGAGTGGCCGCCGCAGCGCGCCGCGTAGTGGGCCAGAAGCCAGAAGACCGGTGGACACTGAGAATGAGAAAGTGATGATCAGTACCCCATTTTGAGCGAGGTATACTTTATCACCCAAATATGGGCGGGGATTGTTTCCTCGCCCAAATTTGGGTGAGGAAGGCTTCCCCGCCCAAAATGTGGTGAGGTAAGATGTATCAGCTGCCTATATGGCTCCGTAGTATTATGACCCAAATTTGGGCGAGGAAACCTTCCCCGCCCAAATTTGGGTGATAAGGAACTCGCCTCGCCCAAAATTTTAGTCATGATCATGACTCTTCCATTCTTAGTGGAGGCGGTCAAAATCCGGGGCGCGTTTTGAGCTCCAGAGACGCTAAAGGGGACTCGAGCTGAACGTGTGACCCCATTAATGGATTCCTCGTTCGGGGAGCAATCCATTGGTGGGGTTTTACACGTTCGTTTCGAGTCCTGATTAGCGACTCTGGAGCTCAAAACGCGTCTTGGATTTTGACCGCCTCCACCGGTCTTCTGGCCCACTGCGCGCCGCCCGGTAATGAATGGATGGAGTAACGACGCCGCGGTTGCAGCTCCAGGACAACTGACGGAAACAAAAACTTTTATAATGGCCTCGCATTGGCTTTTAGGTCAGTGGTACAGCGACGGTGGTTTTCGAAGCCCCGAGGTCTTGCACTCTTAATTCCTTGGTGCCATTTTTGAACATGGCCTCAAACAGTTGGCTTCGCCTTGAAAGTAACAAAGTACACACAGTAAAAACTTGACGAATAGTCGCTTCGTAATACGAAGAAAATTAAGGCATTGTAAAATCTGCGATGAAATGCTTCGTATTATGAAGCAAAATCCTTCGTAATACGAAGCATTTCTTCGTAATACGACGCAATTCCTCAATGACTCCATTTTCTTCGTCGTCATGAAGCAAGCACTTCGTAGGGTTTTTAGAGTGCACTCTAAATTGATCCAGGAAGCAGAAGAGGGGGATAACTCAATTTTGGCCATTTTCCAGGAGAAACCAAAATTTGTTAGCAGGGAAAAACAAAACAAATGAATGTTGCAGATGTTAATAATTTCAAAAAGCATTAGTAAAATTTTGGAAAAAAATACGATTTCAAGAAATCCTAGGAGTCACGAAGTCAATTTGATTATTGTGTAAGAGTGTGGAGAAAGAAAAGAAGTGGTGTTGTGAAGTTGTGGCTCAGGGGACTACCAATGGCAGTGGTACCAATGTGGTCGATGTGCCACCCGTCGAAATTTAAACTTGACAATAAATAGAAATCAAAATGCTGGTAAATTCAAAAAATTCCAATGCGAATGTGTTCCGCAGTGTTCCGACAATGGAACATCTTTAAAGTCCATCATTATTAAAATGTTCTTGGCAGAAAGAATGCAGTAAATTAATTTTCACGGGTTGGCAACTAGTTTCTCGGCGTCTGCGCCCTTGCGAAAATCGCGAAGCTGAAAGCACCAGCAGTCGCGCATTAAAACTACCCATCCATTGTTGCTGACGTTGCATTGTTTGGCTTGTTTCAAAAGGCTATGGTTCTCTGGTCATGTTTTCTTCAATTCTGTCTAATAGTTCTCCCTTACAACGTATCAACACCACGACGGTTGGTTTGACAAACTTCATAAACTCGGGAGGGATGGTTTCGAAACGCAGGTGAGTCTTGTTCGAGGAACATGAGCACTGCAAGTCGCGAGGTGGAGCGAAGTGGTCCTAGTGCTAACTGAATCACAACAACAACAAAATTGTTTTATTGACAGAAAAAAAAGGAATATTTGAGAGACTATATGTCAGAAAAAAAAAGAACTTTTGTTTTGCTAATTTTCTGTGAATATTTTTTTAGAAAGTCATCACACAAAAATTGAAAATTTGTTTTATATGAATTTTCACAAGCTGGAAACAAAGAAAAAACAAGAAAGAGAGCAAAATTGATACAGATTTCAAATGCTACAGTTGGTTAAACTGTTTAACAGGTTGCAAACCTACTGCGCATGTCCAAAAACACTCCAATCAAGAAGTATTATTGGATAGTTCTACCCGAAAAACTGCGTTCGAACCGACACCAATTCTATTGTTGCATCTTGTCTACCTGCAGTCAAAGAAATTTTTCATTTCGAACGTGCTGATTTCAGCTTTTGGAGTAAGCTGTACAGACCCAAAAAGAAGCTCCGCTATTGGTCCGCCCCGGCTCGGCTCCCCCCACTCCCTTTTTTTTCCTTTGACGAGTCGAGTTTTGCCATGGAAACGGCGATTTTGACAGCAAATTTCTCAAAATTGGCCACCAACTTTTTAACCAGATTTCAGCATGAGAATCAGCGTTCAAAGTTCTACAAGTCTGCAAAGTCTCATTAAAATCGTATAGAAAATTTCCGAAATGCATAAAGGGCCACACAAATTGAATCTCGGGCCGGCTGAATCCTGGGTATACTATAAGGCTACTTCGTGCCTAAAAAAATCAAATGTGTAAGGTCACTCCGTAGAGGATTTCTGCGACTTATCGCTTTCCGTTGAAATGGAAAACAGAGTCAGCTCACCTTATATTTCCTCAACAAAGAGCAATTTGGAGACCAGTCAAGTGGAACAAAAGTCTGCATAAAGTGTATGTTACTCTGGTGTACTATTTTTTGGATTTAGCTCTTTTTTCCAAATTGAAATTTAAAATTAAGGGGGGGGGGGTTAAGTTGAGTTGATTCTTTTTACACAAGATTCATAAAAATACAAGTTGATTTATATCCTTTTGCCAATTTGTCAAACGGACTCATGTGGACTAAGGTTGAGTTATCTCCATTTTCCAATGAAATTTAGACCGTATAAGGGGTTAAGTTGAGTTATACCCTTTTTCCATGTGGATTTTCTCCCAAACTGCTTGGAATTCAGTCAAAGAATTAAGTGTAATGATGGAAACAGTTCCAAGGTACAATAATAAAATAAAAACTTTATTTGGGGATAAGTCAAGTTATTCCCTTCTTCCGCTACCTGGATCAATTTTGTACAGTAAAGATTCTCTATGTTATTCTGGGCATCTTTGGCACCTCAGGCGTTGCTGAGCCATGGGTAAGGCAGATTCCTTAGTGGTCCGTCCAACCCGAGACTAGGCGGCAAAGGTGCCCAGAAACTGGGTGACATTTGGCACCCTATAAATCGGGGCGGGCGACGAAGGCGCTCAGTTTCTGGGCACTTTAGAGTGTAGGGATTGGGAGTGTAGGAAATGGTAGTGTGGTCACATGAACTCAGTGACTTCCCCATCTGTGTTCCATGCTCGCGTGCTGTGCGGCTGAAGGTGGTGGGCTGGGGCGGCCTGTGGAAGGCTCCTGCCAGTAGTCTCCTCCAGTCGGCCTCCCTGCCCTTCGTCTCGAAGCAACGCTGCCTCCAGATGATCCCCTCGCAGCTGGTACAGTACGTCTTGCTTAACGACGACCGCTTCTGCGCTGGAATCATCAACAGTGAGAAAGCACGCTCACTAACTATTTTTTGTACTTTTTTGTCAAGGGGTCCCTCACTTTTTTTGGCTGTACGCAGATTGTTTGATTGTTGGAATGTCAGGGATTCTGTATGATTTTGCCTGCTTACAGGCGTTTCTGGCGCAAGACAGACCCTTTTCAGTCGTCGTCAAGGAAGGAACAAAATCAATCAAAGGAGCCAGTCCTACTGGTTCCTGGCTTTTTGATTACTTTTTGTTCTTTCTTCGGAAACGAGCGAAAGCGTCTATTGTTGAATTGTCTCCTCCTAGCGTACACAGATATTGTTCAAGTGCGAGACCCCTAGACTTTTGATGTCCATACCTATTGACAGATTCGAACACATTTTAGTTACGTAGCGCGACCCCTCCAAAGAAAACCATCCTAACTCGTCAGGGCGTTGCGAGCCCATCCTTAATCTGCCCGGGCGCAGAAATTGACGAAGTCCTTCTCGCAGCGAAGCAAATAGTTTGTAAGGACCTCTTTCTCAAAACATTTCGTCTGAGCCGTCCAGTAAGACTCTCCAAAGTGAATGTCTCCACATTATGGAGGTGCAGTTAACTAACCCCACCTTTCGGAATTCACTGTACATCTAAGATATTTTGAAGAAGTTCAATTGTATAATGGGTAAAATATTAATGATATGCTGGTGTAGCTGTAGCGTATCACCGAGACACATTTATGTGGCCTTCGTACATAACTGCGTAGCTACTGTGGGATTGCCTGTTGTTCTATCAGATGATCACTCATTTGGCGTGCATGCCTCGCCTCCTGGAATCTCACGGTCGAAGAGAGTTTCAAAGCCAGAGTGGCCACCAATGTTTACCGTGCATTCTCAGACTCGTACTGAGTTTGTGTTTAATAATGTTTTAATGTTTGTGCGCATGAACAAGCGTGTTAACATTTTTATTTGTACTTCAAACATGAATTTCGTCTTGAAAGACCTTAGATTCTTAACAAAATTCTTTTGATGCTCACAAACGTCAATGCATATTGATAAAATGTCGCCTGAAGGATGAGAGTCTCGCAGGCACTAGAAGTCGGTTTGACACCCGCAGGCACGACGGTGGCGCACGGCGACAGCGGCGGCGGCTTGACGTTCCAGAGCCCCGACCGGAAGTGGTACCTGCACGGCGTGGTGTCCGTGGGCATGCCGGACATGCGGACGCTCACCGCCTTCACCAACGTCACGTCCTTCGTGCAGTGGATGGCCGACAAGATCCAAGACGAAGAGATCCGATCGGCCGCCACAGAACATCAGGTGAGCCCTGTCGGTTGGGTTCGGAATCCTCAAGCCCAGTGTGATTCTTCTGTTTTGTATTCAAAAAGTTCCCTTTTAAGGAAGCCCTGCCGACTTAAACTCTCAGACTGGTACTGAGTTTTTGTTTAATACCAACGGTATTATACCGTATTGACGTTTGTGTGCATTAATAAGCATTTTTAATATACAGTTTTATTTGTAGCAGAAATATTAATATCAATTTCTCTTGACAAATCTGTAACGCTTCTTAACGAAATTCTATTGATACCCACAAACGTCAATGAATAAATACACGGTACGTACAAAACGGTTCTGGGTTTTCTCAGGAAGCCTATGGAAAAGACGTAAGTGATTTTCAGGGAGGGGTGTGAAAACGTTCAAATGAGTCCATTCAATTGAATAGCCTTTGATGTGCAAAGTTTTGTGACAGTCCCCAATTTTGGTGTGGCTTCACGAATTTAAATTTAAATTCGAAACCGAATCGGCCTGAGGGGTTATTTGGTCTAATCGACTATTGCTCTCCCAGCGTACAAATGTTACACTTCATCAATCGTGTAACGGTGTCCGCACAGACTTTGTGTACGTAAGTGTTTTTGTACGAGGTCAAAGTTTGGATGAACAGGTGCCTAAATTAGGTACAATTTTTAAATACCTAAGCTCAATGGCTCAATTTGGGATACATAAACCATGTATGAAATTCTCCATAGCTCCATTGACGACTACGTAGAAAACTTGATAGTCATCGCTCTAAATATTCAGACTTGCTAGTCTGAATTCAAATTTCTGACAACAGGTCACACTTTTCAGACAGTTGGTCTTAATATTCGTACCATTTTATGAATTTACGATTCAGACTACCAAGTAAGAAGAAATCGGTCTGAATTTTCAAAATCTTTTTAACAGTGGATGTTTGAATAAGCCAACATGGACACTGATCTAAACATTTAGTGTGTTGTGTGCCGTGCAGGTGCCCCTGGAGATTCCCAGGGAGTACACGGCCAGCGACCTGGAGGAGGAACAGAAGGTGGCGTACTTCCGGGAGGACGTCGGCCTCAACCTGCACCACCTGCACTGGCACATGCACTACTCCAACCTGGGGCCGCGCCAAGCGCTGGCCAAGGGACGGCGGGCAGAGCTATTGTTCTACATGCACGCCCAGCTCGTAGCCAGGTCAGTGTGGTGGTGTGCGGATACTCCGAATCGAATCAGGGGCGCATTCGATTCCATATCGAAAGAAAAGTGCAAAATTATGTCCAAATTGAATGATGTTGGCCCGAGACGTCGAGACAGTGTTCATTTCACCCATTTTTGGATCCAAATGTACGTTGCTGGATCCAAATGTACGTTGCGGGATCACATCAAACATGCCCTCAATCAATTGGATTCGGAGAAATCTTCCAACATTCGATTTGGGATCTGGATTAGACGGAGAGGAGCGACTGCATTTTTTTCCCCTGAAGGCAACATCGCTTACTGTGGGAAAAAAATCACAGTAAATCCTGTAGTGATAAGTGCAGCCGTCACTGAAATTCAGAGTACAGGATTTACTGTACTTTTTTTTACAGGATCTACTGTACTTTGTACGGTATTTACTGTACCACAGAAGTGGAGTACGGAATATCACCAGGAGCAGTAAATACTGTAGCCAGACACCAGACAAAGTAAATCCTGTGTACTGAACTGCAGTAAATCCTGGCCAAAAAATTAACGGGATTCACTGTTGTGTTTCCGACCAGTGCTTGGCGCCTACTGTATTGAGCGGATGAGTTGACGAACCGGGATTTCCTCTCGCCTGATCGTAACAGCAATGTCTTGGGTTGCGTCGGGAGCATCTTGCCTCATCTCGCAGAGTAAATGACCTTTCGGACGCGAGTCTTGTGCGACTTCATGTACCCCTTAAATCAAACCAAAATGGCTAAAAATGTGCAGTTTTTCGTGCGAAAATTGTACAAAAATTTCGTGTGCTCAAAAAACTGTGATGTCTCGTACAAAATTGTACATAACATTTAGTGAGCGTGACCCACTTCCCAGTCGCTTGAACGTGTCGCGGGGACGAAAATGGCGTCGCCATGTGCTGTCACGTTTGTTGTTGCGTCACCGCACTGTCTGCAGGTACAATGGCGAGCGGCTGAACAATGGCCTGCCGCGAGTGAAGCGACTCGAGCTCCGCGAACCGATCAAGGAAGGTTATTACCCCAAACTGGACAGTCTGGTGTCGTCTCGCGTCTGGCCGGGTCGGCCGCCTCACACTCGACTGCAGGTTAGTACACATGTTTGTACGGCTTTCACGCACTAACACAAGAAGAAAATATGTATCCACGTCCTTAAAAGCTAGGATCGCAAACTCAACAAAACATTAAACTCACACTGCTTTCATAACGCAACGAAAGACCATGTTTACTAAAGGTTAAAAGGGTATAAAATGTTGCAAGTACTTCCAAACACAAATTCGAGAAGCTAGAAAAATAACTTCTCCTTTTTAACTGAAGTCATAAGTTACACTACAAACCTAACTGTCTACTAAGTACACACTTACAAGTGCATGCTTGCAAATACACACTTACAAACGCATGCTTGGCCAAGTACACACTTTCAAATGCATGCTTGCAAGTACACACTTACAAACGCATGCGTGGCGCATGGACTTAAACGGCGTCAAGCATGCGTTTGTAAGCGTGTACTTGCAAGCATGCATTTGTAAGTGTGTACTTAGTAGACAGTTAGGTTTGCAGTGTCCGTTTCGAGCGGTAAGTTAGGGATCCCTGCTTAAAAGAGTGCTTTTGCAAAAGCAGCGCCCGGGATTCCCACGCCCACCCTGGAAAAAGGGGTATATTTTCCAGGAGCCGCCTTGGAATCCCAGGCGTTTATTTTACTGAGTGTGAAGCCAATGCTCTGCAAAGCCAAGTTAGTGCCAAGCTCGCACTTCATGGAGACGAGCATGCTGCATACCTGGCAGGCGTGCACCAGTTCAGGGATTATAGGAGTGCAGCAAATCTGTGCGTGCCTGACGTAGTGCGTGCTGGACACACACTTGAGATTTCCAAAGTGGACTCGAGAATCCTCTTGGCACAATACGCTTGTCCATCGAGGTTAATTTTCTTTAGGTTCTAGAACACACTATTTGAGGTGGATGTTGATGACTTCTGTTCTGCAGATGAATCTGTTTTCAAATCAGAAAAACTTAACTCCTTAGGGTTGAATGTTACCTTTTGTCAGTAGGATCTAAATCGAGACGGCTTGAAGATCAACATTGAAGATTTGGAACTTTGGTCCTCACGGATTTACGATGCAATTTCAGCTGGTGTTGTCCAAAAGGTAAGACAGTTTGAACAATGTGGATGAGTTACGCAGTAGAATTTTATGCTATCAGTAGTATCTTCAGTATGCTATCAGTAGTAACTTCTTTGAAATCCGGACCTTTGTCTTTGATTGATGCGCAGGAAAGAATCTTCCTTCTAAATGTTAAATCCCCAACATGTTTGCAGATTAGTAAATTTTAACTTACAGACTAGCTTTTATGAAGCGTCATTTTCTTTTGTGAGCCATTTATTCACACTCTTAAAGTCCTTATGGCGAAGATTCTCCATATTATGGTGAAAATTCTCCATGTTATGGTGGTGCAGCTGACTTTGTAGCTTTCAGTTCAAAATTCACTGTACCTACAGATATTTTGTCGAATTTCTTTTGTATAATGGAGAGTATCTCCACCATAATATGCTGGTGCAGCCTTTCACCGTAAGACATTTAGATTCATTCATTCATTCATTCATTCATTCATTCATTCATTCATTCATTCATCAATTCATTCATTCATTCCTTGTGAAATTATTGAAATGTAGCCTTGTGTTTTACAGGCGTCTGGCGGCACGGTAAATTTCACGGAAGAAGGCGGTGCAGAGCTCCTCGGCAACATTGTTGAATCGAGCATGCTTTCACCGAACCTTCGTTACTATGGCGAACTTATGAATCAGGTAACCTTTTGCGGATCTATAATATTGGCTCCTTCAATTAAAATGATCATTAAAAGTTATTTTCTCGTGTTAAGGGCCACATCCTTATTTCGCTGGCCCACGACCCGGACGGCCGATACCTCGAATCGTTTGGAGTCATGGGGGACGCTGGCACCGCAATTCGGGATCCCGTGTTCTACCGGTGGCATGCCTACATCCAGGATTTTATGCGGAAATACAAGGCATCTCTCCCTAGCTACACGGAACAACAGGTTTGAAACCAATCTCGATTAAAATTAAAATTTAATGTTTGGGGTATAGTAAACTATGTTGATATATTCGTGGACGATAAACTATGTAAAGTGGGAATCATCATAGAGTGGTAATTACTTCATGCCTTTCTCTATTTGACTTTTCAGCCAAATAATATTGATTTTCTTTTGGAGTTTTTACTAGACGAAGTTTCAATCGCAGTGTTCATTAAATAACCATCTGATTACTGTATGTATTTCAATGTGCTCTAAGTGATGTGGTCTTGCTTTCCAGAAGAGAATCGGGAAAAGAGATTGCGTAACCATGGTTACGAAAATGCCGTCACATTCGTTGGAATGTGAATTTTGTCGCGGTTGTTTGTCTATAAACGCCACATTCGTTGGAATGTTTTTTCACGTTCGAACAAAATGTGACATCTTAATAAAAAGGCCGGGTCACGTTGAAACAAATGTGACTTCACATTCAAACGAACGTGACAAAGTTAACATTTAAACGAACATGTCACGTTCGTGGAGACTCCATTTCAAACCACCGAAAGCGAGGGGTTACCCACTCGGTACTTGGGCGTACACACGATTCCGGATTCCCGCGATTCCTGAACAAATCTTGCATAAAAGGAGAAGTTTTTGAAGATTTTTCTTACCTTTTGAGTGTTTTGTGTCTCTTACATATCCCTCTCCATGGAAACTTCTAAGATTTTCGATAAAATTTTGATCAAATTACGAACGATTCCCGGACTGAGTGTACACGCGATTCCCGGAGTGGGTAACCCCTCGACCGAAAGGCATTTTCCTTTCTAAACGCTTCCCGGGCTTGAAACACCCGCCGTGAAGTGCACTCGCTATTTGAACACGGCGCGCGGAATAGTTTGCAAACTCAACCGTGTACCCAGCACACAGTGTGCTTATGTGCAATGCAATTCGGTGTGTGTATTTGGCTTTTTGGCTGAGCGATAGCGAAGCCCTTGCCGTGTTTGGGCGCTCCAAAAAGTGACTGGTCGTGAGTCTGTCTGTCCGTCTCTCTGTCTGTCTGTATGTAATCACTCACGTTTCTCAGCAACTACTGAACGAATAGCATCCAAATTTCACACCTGATGTCTCCTAACCATCCTACAGGGGGAGTTTATCTCAGATTAACAATTATCATCGTTTGAAATATTCAAAACATCGTTTTGAACTAGGTAACTAGCGTGGTTAGGTTGGTAGCAGCGTCTGGCTGAACATTTTCTCATACCGGCTGCCGCGCTTGCAAGCCGTCTGCAAGACGGGACGGCACTTATGCAAATAAACAAACCAAAGAGCAAAGGGGTTCTCAAATAGGTTCTGAGATAGTTTTTTAACATTCTAGAATGATTGAAACCCTTCCGGAGTGTCATCAGAGGAAAATACGAAAACTGAATGTGAGAATGAATGGTTTGCGTGTTTCGTTCCCCTCTCCCCCCTCCCCCGTCACAGGGGAATCTTGCTTTAGGTCAGTGCACTGTGAGTGTAGTTGTGGATTGTAACTAGAATGTTTCCTTTCCCTTCGTGTGCATCTACTGATTTTATTCTCTTTGAAACTATCCTTTTTTTAAAATTTCATAGTAAATCAAATCTGGTAAATGCATTAATAACTTCTGTTGAAATTAGAAGACATGTTAATTGTCTTGGTTTGTCTCGGGAAATGACATTCTATTGCAATGCTGCAAGCTAACATAAATATTCTAGTACTAACATCTATTGATTAAAAGAATCCATAAATAGATGTATTTAGTGCAATAAATAATCCATATATTTAGTGCTAACAGATTATGAATTGATATTGGGTTCAATGACACGATTCAGGTTTTGAGCGGGTGGGTGACTTGGTAATTGGATTTAATGACACGATTGCTTTCACTTCACCAAAGTTTGTGTCCGACAACTGGAACTAAGTATTGGTAATGGTTTAAAAGCTGGCTCTCTGAATGTAAGCCCAATGTTAATAGTATACTGTATTCTTTTACTCTAAAGATAAAATATCACGAGGCATGAATAAGGTAAATTATGTTGGCATATTGAGCAACAAGTGGCCTCTGCATTTGACTTCATGAGGCGATTCACTGAATTTGACAAAACTTGTTCTCCGTCGAATGCTTCACATCAGCCTGTCCTCAACTTGGTCACTTCATGTTAACTATGATTACATATTCCAGTCTATATTGTTTAATTAACTGATTTAAAATGAAAGAATGACAAAAGGCTTCTCAAATATAACTAATAGATTTGTAAATTCATTAGTTTGAAGAAAAAGATGTATCAAATAGTGAGTCAAGCAGACGAATAGCAAATTAAGCGACTCAATGCTGGCAATGGAATGTTACTCGCCTAAAGGAATCGAATTGGTGTGGCATCAAGGTATTTGGTGACGACAAAGGGTGATCCATGAAGACCAACCCAGACCCATTGTTTACCCATTATTGATCAATTTGATATCAATATTTTTCAATCGAATCTCATATTGATTTTTGGAGTTTTTGGAGTGCTGATTATGAAAACCACTTCCATTTCTACTCCAGACTTATATTTTCATCTCAAATTAGGTCATTTCGGACCAAAGTTTTCAGGTCGAGTTGTATATTGTTTCCTGCAGTGCTTGATGAGCTGACCTCAAAAATAACTTCCAAATTTTTCCCAGACTCACGCTTTACCAAATTTAGACCAAATTTGGACCAAAATTTTTGAATTGAGTTTGATGTTGATCCTCACAGTTTTTTGTGTGCTGATAACGAAAATCACCTCCATTTCGACTCCAGACTTATATTTTCATCCCAAATTAGGTCATTTCGGACCAAAATTTTCAAATCGAGTTTTATATTGTTTCCTGCAGTTTTTGGTGCGCTGAACTCAAAAATGACTTCCAAATTTTTCCTAGACTCACGCATTACCGAATTTTAACCAATTGTGGACGAAAATTTTTGAATTGAGTTTGACGTTGATTCCAACAGTTTTTTGTGTGCTGATAACGAAAATCACCTCCATTTGTACCCCAGACCTACATTTCACTCAATATGAGCCCACAAGCTGCACATTTCGTCTACATAAGCAAAGTCCGAAATGCACAAATTCGCATCGCTCAGCCACACTACGCGCCCACACTAAACGGCGCGTACCCCTAGTATTCCTGGACTATGACGTCACATTCGTGTTGGTGAATCGGCTAGGCTCGACACCAACGAAATCTCTATTCATGTTAATGCGAATGTGACGTAATGTTAGCACCGACTTTTTAATGTTTTGCTACCGACAGTATATTGACGTTTTGTGTGAGTTTAAGTTACACGGTAAAAACGGTTCCTGACCGTTTTTACCGTATACGTAAAGTTTGCACATTAAGTAGCCCTAATATTATTAATATGCGAGCTGAAAATGGAAATATTGTCCCTAATTTGTTTACCAAATACCTGACGTATAGCTTACATATGCACGAATGCGGCAATAGTTACGGACAAGGAAAGTGCACAGACATATAGTGTGCCTATAGCTGAAGCGGGGAGTGCTGTTTAGTTTAGCTCGCAGAAGTTCTTGTCCTGAAAAAACGGGATATTATATATGAGTATTAATTCACCCTGTAACATTTCAGCTGGCCTTCCCGGACGTGTCTGTGCGCGGGGTGGACGTCCAATCGGATGGCTCCCCGAGACCCAACGTGCTGTTCACTCATTGGCAAGCCAGCGACCTCGAGTTGTCTCGGGGATTCGACTTTTCGCCGAGGCCGCCTATCTTTGCGCGGCTGACACACTTGCAGCACCAACCCTTCTCGTATATACTCCAGGTAAGGGTCACACGCACACACACTAAATGTTTATGTACGTACTTGTACTGTCCATAACTTTTGTCATATTTCAGCGGCCGTTGGGCATATGGACGTAAGTCACATAGGAAACCCATTGAAAATAGGTTGTTCTGTCCGATGACCACTCGTTTGAGCATATGTAAGCTATGTAAAATTTGATAAATAATTTAGGAACAATATTTCCACATGGTGCTTAAGTAATTTTGAAACAGTTCCTAATCTATTTTAAATTTTTTTTTTAACTTTCCCCACACAAACGGCAATAAGCACAAAAATCCATATGCATCTAGGGGATAACACGGCTCACGTGTACACCTTTTTTATCGGCTTACATGATAGGCACGAGCTTACGCCGAAAATTTCAGTGTGAACTTCAACACTTTTTAATTTAATCGCTAAACGGAGTCGTGCCTCCTTTTTTTCAGGTTGAGAATAAAAGCAAGAAACGCAAAGAGGGGTTTGTTCGCATTTTCCTTGCGCCAAAGTTCGATGAAAATGGAGAACCGATGGCATTTGATGACCAGCGACATTTTATGATCGAGATGGACAAATTTCCGGCAACGTGTAAGTGCACACAAACACCTCGAATTGGAACCGCGTTCTTCCGGGGACTTTCGCCTGGGAGCCCTTCTAGTTTGATTAGAACGATACACTGGTGAATGAAAGGCATAAAAATTACGCAATTAGAGGAATAACACTGTTAAAAATAATCGTAAATTTACGACATTTTGCAGAACAATTATGTCGTTTTTAAACGACTTATTTTGTTACGACATAAGTCGTAAATATACGACTTGAGTCGTAAATTTACGACATATTTTTCGCTAATTTTGATAGCGACACGTTTCGTTTTCAAACGAATTAAGTCGTAAATTTACAACTTAATCGTAAGTTTGCGAACAATCGTAAATTATCTTTGGAACATGTCGTGCAGTTATGACTTCAGTCATACATTTACGACTCGTGTCGTAAATTTGTGTTATGAATCGTAAATGAACGACGCAAATCGTAAATAAGCGAGCAAAATTGTAACTTTTCGCCAACTTTTCGGGGATTTCAGGTGTCAAAATATGTAATCGCGATTACGACATTGTCGTAGAGAAATGTTTTTTTAGTCGTTCAGTTACGACGGAGTAGTTTAAGAACGATTTCCGTCGCTATGAAAATTGGCGACTTTTTTTGTCGCTAATTTACGACAGAATTTCTAACAGCGAACGGTCGTTGACACCCAGTGAGGACGTAACGAGGTAATGCCTTTGGATGAGTGTATAAATGTTGCCTGGAGGCCCCATGCTGATTCTCGCCCAGGGCATGAAACGCTTCACGTCGTGGCGTAACTCACACTCAATTTTCATGCCTTTGTTTCCCCAGTGAGGGTCACTAGCTTCTAACTCAGCGTTAGGATCTCTGCTGTAGGGTCAGGGCGGGGAAGAACTGGACGTTTTGCAATCTTTCTCGATTTTGACTCTTATTGACTATCTTTAGCCAAAGTATCCGTTGGGTCTGTTGATCGAGCCTCAAAGAAAGACATTTCAACCCTCAGCGAGTGCGTTTGCGACTTCATTCAGTAATAAATGAGAAAAAACAGTGTGCGATTCTTCCCCGTCGAAACGGGGAAAAATCGAACACCTAAGGGGAAAAATCGGACATAGGCTGTAATTTAACAAAAACCCATGAAAGTAGGTCAGAAATCTCTTAGGAACGATATTTGGGGGTAACACTTGCGATACCCACTGAAGCAGGCGCACGAGTATTCCTAGGTAGACAAAAATCATCGTAGCGTTGTTAGGGGGTCCGTGGCGGCACGTTTTTGAGGTTAAATGACCAAAATGTATGAAATCGTCAACAGCCGTGGTTGTTTTCCCACTAAATGTTGGGAAATGCTAAAATACACTTGTTACTACCACTTTGGTGGGATGTTAGGGCAATTCTTCGATTATTATAGAAAAAAGAGGTGTTCGATTTTTCCCCGCACCAGTGTACGGTTTTTCCCCGTTTCATATTTAACCCTTTATGTGTAATCCAGCTGGAAATCTGCTAAAACATTTGAACGTATCTTGGGCTCCACACTTCCAACTTTCGTTTACAATAAGAATATTCGTCACAGTAGGCTCGGAAAGTCGTTAAAAAGAGATATTGCTGGCACCAACTTTGAAAGTTTTTAAGGTGTTTTAAACGAGACCTCGTTTAAAGTTGTCTTTGAATACTTTCCGGTTCAAGTAGGCTAAATTCCTCTTAAACGGAATCTAGCAGATCATCAATAAGCAATACTGAATACTTTGCACGTCCCAAAACAGGCAAATTTGTGGCGAAAGTGCGGTGTGCGTTTCTTCCCCAACTTGCAGGTGTCCGGTTTTTCCCCGCCCTGACCCTACCCGAGAGACCCAGCAAGAAATGGGTCCAATTGTGTGCGGATAGAGAGTGAGGTGCGTCCACAAGCGTCCTTCGCACAGTGGGCCAGAGGACCGTGGAGGCGGTCAAAATCCCAGACGGGTGTTGAGCTCTAGAGTCGCTAAGTGGGACTTTAATCGAACGTCTGACCCCACCAATGGATTGCTCTCTGCACGAGAAATCCATTGGTGTGGTCACAAGTGGGGCTCAAGTCCTACTCTGGAGCTCAACACGCGTCTGGCCGCCGGCGTCGGTCCTCTAGCACGCCGTGTCCCGCCTGTCTTCCGCAGTGGCGCCCGGAGTCAACGTGGTGCGCCGGCATTCGTGGCAGTCGACACTCACGATCCCCTTCGAGCGCACCTTCCGCAACCTGGACGCCAACAGGCCCGCCGCGGGGCACGCCCTGGACGAGTTCACCTTCTGCGGCTGCGGACTGCCTCAGCACATGCTGCTGCCCAGAGGCAGCCCTCAAGGCGCGCAGTACCACCTCTTCGTCATGGTCACCGACTACACCAAGGACCAGGTAATGAGACACATCCACGATACTTCCAATATCCTACTGAGGAATGCCGGCAGTCGTAGTACTGCGTTATTTCTTAGTAATTTACGATGCAGAACCATCATAATCCTGAGAAATTTGTTTGTAATAAGAAGAAATTGGTAGTGAGTTACTGAGAACCATGCACCATAGGTGCATGGCCTTCGCTGTGCTGTCATAATACCAAGCTTTTTGTTCGTATTACGAAGGAAAAGCTCAGTGGGATCTTGAGAGTGTACAAATCCAAAGTTCATACACATGAATTTCAGACAATACTGATGATCTAAGTGTCTTGATCAATACCATATTTTGGGTGACGTATTCTGAAGGGGAGACCCTGGTGAAACTTTAAAGTAGGCTTTAAAATAATCCCAGAAAGATGAAACTTGGCTTAATTATTAGGTTCATTACGGTGAGTTCCCAAAACAAAATTCAATCCAAAATGTTGAACGGTCTCTGAGAAAAGTGCCACTTTAGTGTTTTTTGGAGTGTTAGGCCAAAATCTTCCTGCGTCTTTCATTGGGACGGAAAGTCTTGAAAAAAAATTTGGGTTATCCCAAAGATGTATAGAAGAGATTTTAGTGACAGAATTTTCAAATTCAACTTCTGTCCTGAGATGCAAATTTTCAAATTTTAACATTTCAAAAAAGTGAGTTTTTTTGCCTAGTTTTTAAACCTTTTTTGTGTTTGTAAAATAAAGTAGGGCTGATTTCAAGATTCCGTCACTAACATTTGTCGACAAATCATCAAATACTGGAGTCCATGCAAGACCACTCATTTATGTGTCAACCAGGAGCGCAGGAAGTCTTTCTACAGCAAAATTTTTTGTCAACTGAGCAAAACTGTGAAGTTGAGCCTGTAAGCCAACGACAACTGATCTTAATGTTATTTCCTTCCAAATTATAGAGAAACTATCCACTTAGCTTAAAGGTGTTCAACCTGTTGAATCTGAAACTTTCTATGCACATTTTTATCTATGAACTTTGAAAATACTATTTTTGGCCATTTTTTTCCAGGGTCCCCCCTGAATGCATTACGATATTTGTAGCCTTCAAATTGCACTTTAAATGCAATATCTTTTTTATAGCTTTGACAATGTTGGAAAAAATCGTACAGCTCTTTGAAACTAGTCCATTCACTCTCAGCCCTTTATCAACTATTTCTCATTAGCAGACGTATTTCTGTAAGCAACCATAATACTTAGTATTCAGTTCTTAAATACTTAAAAATTTCTTTGTAATTTACAAAGGAAACGGTAATATCAGTACAGTAATTAGCAATTGCTAAGTAATACTGACAAAAAATACTAAGTATTATGGTTGCTTACAGAAATGCGTCTGCTGATGAGAAATAGTCAGTACAGGCTGAGTGTTGGGATGACGGTGAGATGGTGACCCTTCCTTGCAGGTGCAGCAGCCGGCGCAGGGCTCGCAGGGTGCGTGTGCCAAGGCCACCAGCCTGTGCGGCGTGTTCGGCGGCAACTACCCGGACCGCCGCCCCATGGGCTTTCCCTTCGACCGGCCGCCAGCGCCGCGCGTCACCACACTGCGCTCCTTCCTGACGCCCAACATGCTCGTGCAGGTGAGCAAAAACGGTTTCTGGTTTTCCCAGGAAGCCTATGGTGGTAAAGACAAAGGCGGTTTCCAGGGGGTTCCTGGGAAAATCAGAAACCGTTTTTACCGTGAGCATGCCGTGCCGCATTGTGGAAAATCTTGGTTGTCACTTGACGACAGTTCTGCAAACTGAGAAGTGAGGTACACTCAAGGTTTACACTGACTTGAGACTATTATGAATTTCCGCTTCGAATAAATTGAAAACTTCTCGAAATACCAAACCAAAATGCTGCAAATAGGGCGAATTTACTTTGCTGTGCCGGCTTTTTCAGTGACTGCAGTGTATACACTGAAAGAAGGCATGCACTGTTAAAAAATGGTTGTACAGAAACAATCAGATAAGTGAAAATCAAGTCATTGCAAATCATAGACTATAATCGTGAGTCAAAGCGAAACAAATGTCGTTGAATCCAGAAAGCAAAAATTTGAGAAGGACAAAATTCTTGTCATCACCATTAAGTATACAATTTGTGTGCAAACAAGATCTTTTGTCATTATTTGCTCAATTAAAATAAATGATGAATAACCATCTATTTTATTCTTTTAAGTCATGAGGAAACTACTTCCAAAACTACTTCTGAGTAGAACCATGAAAAATAAAATTTAGCGACAAAAGTACTGAATCAATACTTGTTGCAGACATTACAAAATCTTTTTAGACTTATAATACTTGTCGTTGACTAACAACATTTGTTTTTGGTCAACGACTTGTTTTTTAAGGTAGACTGTTAATATGTTCTTACAAGTTTGTCATTGAGAAATTATCCTTTAGTTCAAGAACGACTATGGTTTCACAAGCTATTTGTTCCAAAACAAATCTTGTCGCCAAAAAAGTTAGCAATAAATGTGTCGCTAAGTTACGACAAAAAAAATTCAGTGCAGTGACGGGAGTGAGGGGTGTACTCTGACCGGACGAAAGTGTGGGATCCCTCACTACAAGTTCAACAGTGTGTGTACTCAGTACACTCTATTTGGCGTGTACTCACTATAGTACACTCCGACTAAAATGTAGTCTGAGGAGTTCACTCCCATGACAGTGTGCTCAGAAAGAGTACACACCCAAGCACACCTGGCAGTAGTATATGCAGCTGAATGTGCGTTCTTGTCTGAGCACACTTTTCGTTGCACATTGTAGTTAGAGTTTACTCATGAGTACACGCTTGCAGATGTGTACTTGTGAGTTCTCGCCAAATACAGTGTCCTGAGTATGTAGAGTTTGCAGGGAATTTCATGGTTAAATTTTCCTTTTAAGAATGTTATTCAACCAGTCAGTTGATGACAGGGTACTCCACTTGCTCATCCCGGTGGTTTGTTGCGCAGAGCGTCGTGGTGCGGTTCAAGGACTCAGTCTTGGCGGCGCCGCGCAACACCACGGTGTTCGGGACGAAGGACAACGTCAACAAGCTGCCCTCGGTCCAGAACGTGTCGGGGGACGGCCCCAAGCGGCAGGCTCTCCGCCGGATGATCCAGATGAGCTCACCGGATGCCGAAGATGACGAGGACTGAACCCGAGCGCCGAGCGGCGAATCCAGAGCCGGTCGCTGCGGGAGGGGAGGGGAGGGGAAGCACCTTCTGCCTACTTACAGGGGCGACGTGTGGCTTTTGCGTGGCGAAAACCGTAGACGGGTTTTGAGCTCCAGATTCGCTAAATGGGTCTCAAACCGAACGTGTGACCCCACCAATGGATTGCTCTCAGAACGAGGAATACATTGGTGGAGTCACACGCTCGGTTCGAGACCCATTTAGCGACTCTGGAGCTCAAATCAAGTCTGGAGCTTTCGCCACCGGCGCTGGTCTTCTGACCCAGGTGCAAGATGGGGTCAATTTCCCTTTCGGGTAGGCGCCTGCGACTGCCGACTGTTCCAGCCATACCAAAGGTTGTGCAATGTACTGATGACAATGGATGTATTCAAAAGCTTATTTATTTTGATTAAAAAAATATTATGTTTTCATGTAATTTATTATCTTGCCCCAAGGGGCGAACCACTCAGTTTTGTGAACGTACAGAGGATTGTGTGTGTATGCATAATTGTGTTAAATGAAGTGCACCTCTGACTTGTTTGCCACACACGCCTGTTTTACTCCCAATTTGTGATCTGAATGTGGTGTGTGGTTTGCCCCTCGTCTTGCGCCCCTCACTTTCTAAAATCGCCCTGCTGGTTGCTTCAGGAATGATTTTTTCATACGACAGTTCAGTGCAGTGCCTACTTACGACTTCTGCAAAGAAAAGTGTGACTACTAAAACAAAAGTACAACTAAAACTGTACAATAGAAGTACGATAGGGATTTGTTTGAAGAGAATGGTTCAAACCACAACGAGGCCTGGACCGCACAGCACTTCCATTGTACTTTGCACAACAATTGTTGTACTTTGAAAGTACAATGAATTCCTGATAAAAAGATTGCCAGGAATTTGTGTACTTTAGTTGTGGATTTTTCTTGCAATGCGGAACCACCAAAAAAATGTTGACCTAATGCCAAAATCTGGAATTGTGTTTTTTGTTAGTTTTTATCGCAAAACCTTCACATAGCTGACCGTCTGAATACGTTTGTTAATACAGATGAGATTGTTGCAATAATTACAACTTAAGAAGTATGTCTTTGTCGGCAAACTGTTTGCCTAACAGAATTTTTACTTGTAACGTAACTGGTTATGAAGTTAGTGTGGGGTATCTTTTGGGCACCGCGACAGAGAACATACCTGAAAAAGGTAACAGAAGCTTTTTTCAGGGATCCTTAACTTAACTTAACATTTAACTAACACTACTTTCATAACGTAACATAAGACAATGTTCGCTAAAGGTTAAGGGTACGGACTTATGAAAGTACTTGCAAAAGTATATCCACACAAATTCGAGACATAAAAAAATAACCTGCCCTTTTGAAAAGATGTTAGAAGTTAAGGGTAATAACTTTAACTCTTATCATAACGTTATGATGCCCTTATGAGGTAAGTTAAGGATCCCTGGCTTTTTTGGAATATCTTATTTATTTTAGTAAATGACTTGCATTAAAAGAAAAAAAATTAAAATTCCATGTTTATTTTGAACTTGAAAATTTGGACCCTGTTAAACTTAACTGGCCTTTCACAAAAAACTTGTACATGGGTTAAAATAAATTTCATCTCACCACTCTTACCCTCACTGACAAAATTTTCTAAATGCCAGCAATATCTCAATAATTTGAGTACCCTCCTCTTACAAAGGGTGTTGGTTTGAGTATATGATTAAGTGCAAATGACCGATTTAGAAAAGAATTTGAGCAGAAAAATAATTTTGAGTCAGATTTTGGTTCTGGTGTTGCCGGTTCCCTTGAACTCTGCAACAACCAATAATTAAACTGCGGAGGAAACGCTCGTGTGGAATGCCATTGTCCACTTACTTGCATAGGACTTTTAATTCCGTACCATCAGTATCAACATCGGCGAGCATATTATCAATGTCTCGGTGGCTGAGAGCGCAGAGGAAGTGGTTGTCCCGAGGGAGCACTCGGGTTCGAATCCCCGGTGCAGGAACTGTTTTCTCAGTTGACTGCTGAGGTACTTTCAGTCTAAGTTAAGACACCAAATTTCATTTGGTGGACACCAATTCAGCCCACTTAGTGGGCTGAAGAGTCGGTCGTGCTTTAGAAGTGATTGTGTTCAAATCCCGGCTGGGTACGGCCCTTTTTAGGGGTTCCCAAGAACCCCTATTGTCCGAGGTCCGTGGATTCCTTCCCCCCCCCCCTCTTCGATTTTCAAATAAACAACGCTAAACTATTTCAACTATAAAAAAAACGAAAATTCCAAATTTTTTTGAAAATTCATCGTGGAAATTTTCCGTAAACGCGAAAAACATAAATTTGCAACAATCGAAAACCAGAACCGTTCATGATATGAAAAAATGGTTCAAATAAAAAATGTACCACTCCTCAAAACTAAACCTTCTGGCTCATCAAAGTGACAAGAAATTGTCTGTGTTCTGAGAAAATGGTTAAAACATGAAAAAAAAATCGCCATGGCAACGACACGACACCATCATGCCAACTGTCAAAATTTAAAGTGACCCATCAAAAGAAATCAACACGCCGTGAAATTCGAAAATGCCAATGCTAGCGCATTGCACTGTGTCCTGACATTGGAACATCTTTGAAATCCGTCATTGGTAAAACGTTCGTAGCAGAAAAGACGCAATTAATTAATTTTCGTGGGTTGGCAACAATTTCTCGGTGTCTGCGCCCTTTCGAAAATCGCGAGACTGAAAAAAAGAGTAGTCGCGCATTGAAACTGCCCCTTCATTGTTGCTGAGGTTGGATTGTTTGGCATGCTTCTAAAGGCTGCGGTTGACTTGTCATGTTTTCTTCAATTCTGTGACCAGCTAAACGGTTGGTTTGACAAACCGCACTCGCACTCCGTAACAAAGGTGTTCTAAAGGAAGGCCCAAAGAGTACCCACCCGTTGAGGGAGAACGATTAGCCGCTTTAGATTAGTCGCAGTGGGTGCCTAAAGTCAGCTCAAACCACGATTTCTGCACATTTGTTACCGTTTCAACAAACTTTGCTGCAATACCGCTCCCAAACTAAGGCGGCTAATCGCACTCCGTAACAAAGGTGTTTCAAAGGAAGGCCCAAAGAACACCCCCCGTTGAGAGAGAACGATTAGCCGCCTTAGATTAGATGCAGTGGCTGCCTAAAGTCAGCCCAAACCACGATTTCTTCACATTTGTTACGTTTTGACAAACTTTGCTGCAATACCGCTCCCAAACTAAGGCGGCTAATCGCACTCCGTAACAAAGGTGTTCTAAAGTAAGGCCCAAAGAACACCCACCCGTTGAGGGAGAACGATTAGCCGCCTTAGATTAGACGCAGTGGCTGCCTAAAGTCAGCTCAAACCACGATTTCTGCACATTTGTTACCGTTTCAACAAACTTTGCTGCAATACCGCTCCCAAACTAAGGCGGCTAATCGCACTCCGTAACAAAGGTGTTTCAAAGGAAGGCCCAAAGAACACCCACCCGTTGAGAGAGAACGATTAGCCGCCTTAGATTAGATGCAGTGGCTGCCTAAAGTCAGCCCAAACCACGATTTCTTCACATTTGTTACCGTTTTGACAAACTTTGCTGCAATACCGCTCCCAAACTAAGGCGGCTAATCGCACTCCGTAACAAAGGTGTTCTAAAGTAAGGCCCAAAGAACACCCACCCGTTGAGGGAGAACGATTAGCCGCCTTAGATTAGACGCAGTGGCTGCCTAAAGTTAGGCCAAACGATGATTTCTACACATTTGTTACTGTTTTGACAAACTTTGCTGCAATACCGTTCCCAAACTAGGACTCCTTTTTATTGGTATTTCAAAACTTACTTTTAAACCAGTTATGAAACTGGGAACACCCTGCAATGCGATTAGCATTGGAATTTTTTTCCGCTGCAGCGCTACTTTTGTACTTTTGCGTGTCGAATGGGTGGCCTACTACCTCGGCGGCGCGCCTCTGCACTGAGACGCAAAGCAAACCCTCGTCTCTCGTGAAGGTGTCGAAGAGTTCCGGCCGCCGCGCTCCCACCCACCCCAGCGCACCCCAGCGTGTCAAATGGGTGGCCTACCTTGGTGGCGCGGCTCTGTATAAGGGCCAGCTTTCCCCTCCAAGATGCAAAAGAGTTCCCACCGTCGTCCCCCCCCCCCTCCGAAGGAGAGCGGAATATAGGGTTAGTAAAGGGTTAGAAGGAGCAGAGGTGCAGACACCGCTAAGAGAAAATCTCAAATTTAACAAAATTTTCCGCAGCCGGACTGTTTGTAAACCCGGCCGCACTGCTAGGCGCGGGGTGGCGCCGGGCCCGGCCGGGAGATCCCTTTCTTTTGCTCCCATCACTCTGAGGTTGTTTGCATCACGGCGCAGATGGCTGAGGTGGTACAGGTGTCGGCCAGCGTTAGGAAGTTCTGGGTTCGATTCCCAGAGGTGGAAATATTTTTATTTCTCAAACCCGGTACCATCACTCTAAGATTAATCAAAGCTCGGCAGAGGAGTCGGCCGGCTGGAGGAAGACCTGGGTTCGACTCCCAGGCGAGCGAACCTTTTCCTCTGTTTACTTCTCAAACCATCACTCCAAGATTAATCGACTCTCCTTGCCGTGGCTGGGTGGCCGAGGTGGTAGAGGTGTCGGCCGGCGGGAGGATGTCCTGGGTTCGACTCCCAGGAGAGTAAACGTTTTCCTCTGTTTACTTCTCCCCCCGGTACATCACTCTTTTTTTACGGGCACCTGCAGGAGGTGGCCCGAGAGGAAGGGTCCCCGACGGGAGTCTTGGGTTCACTCCCAGGCGAGCGAATTTTTCCCTGTTTACCTCCCCCACCATCACTCAAGATTGATCGAACGGTTGGGTGGCGGGGGTAAGGATCGGCCGGCAGAGAGGTCCGGGTTCACTCCCAGGCGAGCGATCTTTTCCCCCGTTACTTCTCAAACCCTCCAGATCGATGGAGCGTTTGCAGGTGTTGTCGAGTGGTAGAGGATGGCCGGGGGGGGATGGGGGGTTCCTTGGGGGTTCACTCCCAGGGAGCGAATCTTTTCCTCGGTTCTTCTAAACCATCCACCCAAGTTTGTCGGGTAAATTTGAGGGTTTGGTGCCGAGGGGTAGAGAGTCGCCCGGAGAGGAAGCCCCGGTTTCCCATTTCCAGGAGGGAATTTTTCCTCCGTTTACTTCTAAGCCGGTACCATCACTCTAAGATTGATCGAGGAAATCAGGGGCCGGTGGCCGGGGGAGAGGAGTGGCCGGGGGAGAAGCCCGGGTTCGACTCCCAGGAGGAATTTTTCCCCCGTTTACTTCTAAACCGGTACCATCACTCAAGAAGAACGTGTCGGAGGTGTGTTTGTCGTAGCTCAGGTGGCAGAGCGGGGGGCCCGTGGAGGCCATGGGGCACGTTCCTTTGGACCTGGTTCGCACCAGCCAGGTCAGGTTAAACCCTTTATGATTCCCCCTACCCCCTCTCCTTCGGGAGGGGGGGTAGGGGGGGGGAGCCGACGGCGGGAACTCTTTTGCTCTTGGGGGGAAAGGGGGCAAGGGAGGGCCCCCAATTTCCACATGAGACGCCCACTGAAGACGCGCGTGGCGCGCCCCACCAAGTAGGCCACCAAGCGGCCTTGTACACAAGGGGAGCTGCCACATAATAGGACTGGGGAGAGACGGCGTTTTAGTGGCGCTCAAGGCCCGCTTGGGGCCTCCCCTTTGGGGGTCCTCCCTCTCTCCAAGGTGCAAAAGAGTTCCCGCCGTCGGCCCCCCCCCCCTACCCCCCCCCCCGAAGGAGAGGGGTAGGGGGAATCATAAAGGGTTAGAACCTGACCTGGCTGGTAGCGAACCAGGTCCAACGGGAACGCTGCCGCATGGCCGCCACGGCCCACCGCTCTGCCACCTGAGCTACGACAACACACCTACCTGACACGTTCTATCTTAGAGTGATGGTACCGGGTTTGAGAAGTAAACGGAGGAAAAGATTCACTCGTCTGGGAGTCGAACCCAGGGCTTCGTCCCGCCGGCCGACTCCTCTACCAACTCGGCCACCGTGCCACTGAGTGTTGCCTCGATCAATCTTAGAGTGATGGTACCGGCTTGAGAAGTAAACGGAGGAAAATATTCCCTCAACTGGAAGTGGAACCTGGGACTTCCTCTCACGGGTCGACTGCTCTACTCACTCGGCTACCAAGCCACTACAAGTTCACCCGAGCAATCTTAGAGTGATGGTACCGGGTTTGAGAAGCAACCTGAGGAAAAGATTCGCTCACCTGGGAGTCGAACCCAGGACTACATTCTACCGGCCGACTCCTCTACCATCTCGGCCACCGAACCACTAGGGAGTTGCTCGATCGATCTTGGAGTGATAGTTTGAGAAGTAAACAGAGAAAAAGATTCGCTCGCCTGGGAGTCGAACCCAGGAATTCCTCCCGCCAGCCGGCACCCAATGCGCAGTGATGTTTAAGTTTGGGCACGTCTCTTCTGCGTGGCGTGTCTCGGTGGCTCAGGGCGCAGAGGCAGCGGCCGCTACGAATGGGGACGTAAAGAGCAGAGGTATCTGCCGCGCTGGGAAAGACTGGGGTTCAAATCTCAAATGTAACAAAATTTCCCTCAGCCAGGCTGTTGATATATCGTAAGGTCGGCAGCATCACTCTGAGATTGG